CTGACAATTTATCTTTCTTTGACAGGTGCCACCTTGTTCATGAGACCTCAAGTATAGGTGCACACGCCACTGAAATCCAGCTATCTACACTACAGCAGTGGACAAATACGCTCCGTCATTGAATTGAACACTGAATCAAGATTCAGACCCTTTACATGCCATGTGTCACACGTCTTTGTGACACAATTGATGCTACCCTCGTCTGATAATGCAGAAGAAGACATCCATAGCATTAAGCTCTGGATGCCCTCCATGATTGTCACCCGGTCTTTATCTTGTGACAGAAACCTAGTTGCAGATCGAATGGAAACTTCGCAGAGCTCAGGGACATGAGGCGCTGCATGAACTTCATCAGCACCTGCGGCTCAAGCAGCATCTTCACCGGCTTCAAGAAGGACTGGATTACTGGTCAACGTGGACACACAAGGTCATGTGGGATCATCGACATGGTACCAAAAAAAATTGATGCGTCTGCTACTAAATATTGCATTGCTTAGACCTCCCTCAGTGCTCTTGCTGAGCCTCTTCTTGAAATTGACTGGAAGACCAAGTTCCCAATGCTCGAGAAAGAGGATGTCCAGCGGAATGACTGAGGACCAAGCAGTGAGTGAAAGTATTTCTGAGGGGAAAAGATTAGTTTCTATTTCACGGATTTGGAAGCAACATTATGGAACTTTCAGATGGCAAGCTCACCTCATCATCTTAGCTAGTTCCCTTCTGAACCATGTGTTCTAGCTATGCACATTGAGTGGTGCAAGACTCGTGCATGCGCTAACCAGTGGTCCGAGGAGGTAGAGCTGTTGCAAGAGGAAATGCGCTGCTGTCCTCTTACTTAAGGGTCTTATATACAACATGTATATAGTGACAGCACAACTATATAGGATAAGACTTCTTGCCAGTCCTTAAGTACACGGTCTACGACTTTTCTAGTTTTCGTGGTAGATAACGTGTGAGTTCTTGGGAGGGTTTACTTAAAAATGTCCCCTTCTTGCTTTCTCTCTGTAGGTTTGCTTTGAGGTCTTTTGTCAATTAAATAGGTTTATTTCACCCTATGAAAGTTTGCCTCAATGTGAAGTAGTTCTCTTAGTTTGATTCTCCCTTCCTATGAAAGAGAGAGGTTATTTGTATGTGTGAAGTTTAGTTTAAGTTTAGTGGGTTAGTTTGTTATATAGTCAACCCCTGTAAGGTAGTATATAACTCAGATAGATGTTTCTTAGTCTTACTTCAAGGCACTAGATTTGCCTGCACTTTATTTCTTAGGTAATCTCACTTGATTTGAGAACAGGGTTTAAAGTGGGAAGCTTAGATTGACAGTGGCAAAATGGGCTCCTTTTATACCTTTTTGGAGGCCATATTACTAAGCATGATTCAGCACATGGATTGGTAAGAACATCCTTACAAATCAATCCTTTTAGTGTGTTGAGTCAGCTTGTTTACTAACTAGCTTATGAATACAATGTAATATTACAAAGAAAGATGAATAAAAGACATGAGTCATCCCAAGGATTGGTAAGAACATGCTTACAAACCAATCTTTTGAGTGAGCTGAATCAGCCTTCTTACTAGGTAGCTTATAAATACACTTGCAAGTCTTACAAAGCATGACGAATCATGACAAAAACATGATGAGTCAAGTTGAATCCTTACAAATCAGATTATTAACCAGTCACATGACAAGCTTACAAACATGCTTTGTGGCTGGAGAGGAAGTTTGATGGATAAATATGCCTAGAAAAATGGAAACAGATAGAATCTCATGGAACAAAATAGAAATACATGGAAAAATGGAAGTGAAGTTTTGAAAGTGAAAATACTAGCTAATAACTAAGGGAAAAATGATGGGGTAACTTGGTGATAGGATACATTCTGGTGTATTATACCTCCCTTATTACTTCTACTATGTATATGTCATGGTATGAGTCACATACCATGCATGACACCGCTGAGGGCGAGGAATGATAGCTGCGTGCTAGGGGGAAGAGTGGGAAGTGGGCTCTCAAGTGCTCCTCTGGATACGAGTGGAAAGTCGTCCCAAGGGGATTGCTACTGAGAAAGATTCCTCTAGTGAATGGTGAGGGGGATCTATAACCAGTGATTCGGTCTCGAAGTCTGAATGGGACACTGAGGCAAATAATGCACCCAAAAGCGAAGTGCACTAGCTAAAGGCGCCTAAACTGCGCTAATAAGGCAGAAAGTGCAGAAAAGCGCGCTTCAAATGTCAAAGCGCACTTCAGTGCGATCACAATGGAGTGCTTCGAGTAGAGATGACAATCAAAATGGGGAATCAGGACTTTGATAGATGTAGAAATAGACACTTAAAGGTGTCAAAGCGCCAATAGGAAGGAAAACCAGTGTATTCAGATAGAAACTCGAGCTATACACTTCAGATGGTAGTGGAGCAGAAGTAAGTGACCGGAAAACAAACATGGTGACGTGTAGGTATGCTAAGCGAGTTCCCACGGCTCAGAGCCGAATAGGAAGTACTAAGGTAAATGGTGAGGTAAGTCAGGGTCCATAACGAGATATGATGATAAGTACCTAGTGCCTGCGTGACGGAGTATGAGTTCTGAAGAAGGGAAAACGCACCAATGGACCTTGGAGGACTGGGACGGGACATGCAGAGGACAGGCGACGGATCCTAGGGAAATGCGACGAAGTGCACCGTAACGCGCTCGAACGCACTTGAACGCGCTGGTACGCGCCAAAGTGCGCGTTGCGTGGAAGTCGTATTAGAAGCGCATTGTAAGGATATCGAGTGCGTCGTGAAAAGCCGTGAATTTGGCCCATATGAGCCTGGAGAAATGTGAATCTCTACAACCGCGTTCTCACATTCTTTGATTGGTATGCGGTGTGATGACAAGATATGGCTGGGCTGTAGGTAAAAGCACCAAACCAATATATATGAGTCTCCTGCTCTCCTAGCTGCTACTCTTGCTAGCAAGAACATTCAACCCTAAAGGATCTCTGACTAGGCTCAGGCTCAAAGAAAGAGAGTGGAGAAGGTACTCCAAGTCAAGGTAAGAAAATTATGTTCCAGGAGCTATCTGGTGAGCTGAGGGAGCTACAACTAGGAAAGCTACAACTAGGGGATGCTACTAAATAACCCAAGTGAATGGGGAGCAACCAAAGAACTGGAAACAAGGGAAACTAGGTAATGACTGTAGAGTCCTAGGTAAAGGGAAGATGATTATGTAAGCAGCAAAAGTGCGAACCTAATCTAAGGAAAGTGTCAATAAGAGGTGCATAGTGAAAAGTGCCTCTGCAAGGCTACAGAAAGTTTGAACACCACAGCGGCCTGGTGGGTGGAACGTGCAACATCCAAGACGTGGCTCGGGCCCATAGAGAATGAAGGTGCAGTAGCATATGCGTGTCGGCAAGCTGCCATTCGGAGGATGATGCATGACCACTGCTCTTCAATCTGGAGTGTCATCCCTGGCCTCATTGCCCAGTCATCACGCAGTACCACTATCTAATGTTTTGCGGGGATATGTTTTTTCCGTGATTTTCATGTATTTGTAATTACTTGACATTGTGTATTGAGCTATTTCCCCAATGGACTAGTACCTATCTGTTCCTAATAGCATAGCAGACGCGGTGTCCTCTTACTTAAGGGTCTTATGTATGCCACTTGTATAGTGACAACACAACTATACAGGATAAGACTTATTGCCAGTCCTTAAGTACACAGTGTGACAATCATATTGGCGCTAGGCATGTATACCTGCATAAGCCTTCAATAGGTGGACCAAAGCTAGACCTCATATCATTCACTATTCCCCTATACACGGTCTTCACTTGTCTCATCTATAATCCTTGTCTGACACTATTCTGCACTTTCCCGCACTATGCGCGCACATTCCCGCAGCGCTACTCATGTTCCCACGACTTATCCTGCGCTATTCCCGCGCTTATAGCGCTGTTGGAACCACCAGCAATGTGTTTTAGGTCCATTAGCACATGTCTGCTCTATCCAGCGCTTGTTCCTGCGCTTATCCAGCGCGCTGTTCTCGCGCTCTAGGAACCCTTCAGAACATCGGAATCCATCCATTGTCCAGCCTACCTCATTGGTATGTAATTTGCCTTGCCTCGAGTTTGTCAAAAGTGCTACAGTCTTATTACATGTACATGTACATCCTATCCCTTCCGAGTCCAAGATGGTATAGCTTACTAGTATAAGAAGCCTATGGTGATTACTTCGACTTTACTTCCCTTCGACTGTATTTCCTTCTCCTTAGGTTTTACTTAGAAGTAGTCACCTTTAGTTGCGCTCTATAGCCCCCTATTGGTTTACCTTGACTTTCCTTACCCTTGCAATCAATACCCTTGCAATCAATACCCTTGATCTCACTCACTATCCAGCACCCTCCTTTGACTCAGTGTCCGCTTTTCTTGACTCCCGCTTTTCCCACGCACTAGCGCTCCACTACCGACACATTAGCGACCCAATAGCGACCATCTACCGACCTGCACTTATGCTTTTCTCACGCCATAGCGCTCTATAGTTGCGACATACTTTCCCACGCACTAGCGCTGTATCTTGCGACGCGCTTTCCCGCACTATAGCGCACTTTCAGGTCTTTCTATCTTAAGTTGTCCTTAGTAGCTTTTCCCTCGGGTCAAACATTCTTGCTTTATTGTTTGCAAGTATAGCAGCATAGGCAGAGCTTAGACATATACTGGCTTAGTACCTTTACAAGTGCCTAGTCAGGTTGTGTTATTCACACCGGCTTAAGGAATCAATCCTTAAGCTTGGATAGAGATGGAAGGACAAATCCGAAGGTTTGGAAGTCCGGCCTAGGGAATCCTTCAGGTTGGATCTGGAGGTCTGGATATTGGATGAGCAGAGGAGTGAGGATATTGGATGTGCAAGGGTGTATGGATCTGAACCAATACCGAACTGGATGACTGAAGTCATGGATATGGATATGGATGTCTGGATGTATGGAGAAGGATATGTGGATGTATGATGGTGTATGGATCCTGAACCAATAGTGGACTGGATGTCTAGAGGCATGGACTGGGAGTATGGAGGTATGGATGAGGGTATGGAGGTCCAGATGTGCGTCCAGAAGGTGTGGGAATATTATCAGATGTAGGTCCAGAATATGGTATATGACACGCCCACCCGTCTATATTATATACCACCATCGGCCCACCCGTCTAATATAATATGCATCTGGGCCCACCCATGTATGTGATAATAAGTACCCTTGGCATACCCATCTATCTGATACACATCTACCTCGGTACACCCATCTGCATAAAATCCAACTACCTCAGCCCATCCGTCTATAGAATATTCATGTCCATCGGCCTACTCATCTACTCTACATATTCCCCACATGGGCCCACCCACCTCCATCAGGAATAATATCCCTCCCAGCCCATCCATCATAGTTGAGGATATTTCTACCATCGGCCCATGGTTCACTGGCCCGTCTTATACAGGATATTATGTACGTTGGTTCACTTGTATAATACAGAGTTAGGTCACTGTAGTATGTGACCAGCCTGGACAACTACTCCAACTACCTAGTCAGAAAACTGCGCTCCAAATGGCACCTATCAAGAACCAAACCATCACAATGGAATGCTATTGCCCAGTTTCATGACAGGGTGACCACAAGAATCATGGTGTGGTTGACTCCTGAAGATGGTGTACAGGAGGCGCCTTTTCTACTACTATGCAGACATGTCCTCGACATCACATGGTCCATTTTGACATCCAACAGTGCTGCATTTTGACATCCAACAGTGCTGCATTTGAGGAGGTATGTACTTATATATTGCAGGACAGCTGTTTTTCCTCACTCATTATGGCAGGTCAGCAGATGGTTCGAGCCTCTGCTGTTGCACTATCACACGCTTCATCGTCACAGCCATCCGATGGATGACAAGACAGAGGTCATGTTCACGAACCTCCACAACGACCCTGAGGGTGTTTGAATTTGAGAAAATTGAGGAGGCAGTCAGTGTGATGGACATGAGCCATGGTCTGTGTAGCGCTAACATTCACCTTCGCAGGTGTTTACCTGCTTGTGGGCACTCCACACGATGATGGTGCTGCGCCTCCAGAACAAGCTCACCACTACAGTCGCTTGCAGTCAGCAGAGCCAGCCTTTAAAGGACCGAAAGGAGGTCAATGAAAATTTTGAGAGGTTAGGATCTGCCAGCAAAAACGACCTGAAGATGTTGTGGAACATGATGGCATTGAGAAAGGGGCGGGGAATGGACCCCACAACTGAGCCGCAGGTAATTTGTGGGATCCTGGCCCTGCATGTCATGAGCTGGGACTGGAACAACTGCATGTCAAAGAATAGCAAGCGGGACATGGAGCTGTTCATCAAGGCAATATTGCTTGACCTTGGCAGAGAGTGCACTAGGCGAGAGGATCTCTTCAATGATCTGCTGGTTGCTGGCCTCCGAAAAATACTGGAGGATGTGATTGCAAAGCATGCAAAAGCTATCAATATGATTGGAGAAGGTGGCAGGATGATCAAGCGGAAGAGGTGGTCATGGTACAATGGTGCTGAGATTCCATCGGATATTGCCCCAACTACCACAGTGACACTCACGGATGCACATATACAACATCGCCATGAGTTGGAGGGATATGACCGTGCTGCTATTATCAAGCTAATCTCATACGTCAAGCACATAGCAGGTGTGAAGGCAACCTCCTCGACCCACAGTCCGATGGCAGTGAACATTGTTCGAGGTCTACAGAATTTGATACATGTATGTTCATAAATTGTGGCTGCTAATAAACACCACTGACGAGAAATTCATATTAGGAACTGGAGATCAATTCTACCTGTCTGCGCATACAAGCACTGGAGGGTGACAACAGTGTCTTATACAACATTAAGGATACCGTTGATCTTATGATTCCAGCCATAAAAGGCATAGAAGATCAAAACACGATTGTAAGTCTATGCACATGTATGGTTTTACTCTCGAGAGTGGACAGCTAATGTGACTCCCGCAGGACGAACAAGAAGATGAGCAGGCCCTGCCGTGTACCTCTATGGTTCCTGTGGTCATGCAGACACACAAGCCACAGCCTTAGATATTGACAAATTTTTAAAATCCCAGCGGCCACACCAAAGGCCCATTGTCCATCCTGAACTATCTGATCTGAGCATTGATGACCCCACACCCACCTCACATACTAGTACAACAGATACAATCAGGACCCTGCAAACTGAGAATGAAGGCAATGCAAGGGCCAGTACTGGTAAGTATGCACCATGGTCACCATTTCTTCTGCAGATGACACATTGTTCCAGGAACTGAAGATCCTATTGGTGAGCAGGGCGATGGCGATGGATGGTCTGACAGAATGGTGACAGATGCGGCTGTCAGTAGTGAGCCTAACTCGGGCGCAGAAGACAGTGGGCATGGTTACAATGCTACAGCTGCGGTGGTGTCATGTGAAGGCACCCCTATCAATATCGACCAGAGACACGCAAGTTCAGGCATGGAAGACCTTGGTACTTCTGTTGGAGATTTGGGGGTAGATACCAGTAAGTAACTTGCTCCCCCCCCATGACTATATTGACTGCTCCGTAGCAGGCACAACTACTGGTGCCCACATGATCAAGGTGACTGTCCCATCTATCCACAATGGTTGTATGTCCATTTATCATTAGACATTTGTTATGACTTTAAGATGCATTCACCAGCTCTAACCACATTGGTCCCTAAGACATCACGCGCTGAAGTTCCTAGTAAACAATTGGCCCCAAAGTCGATGACACATGTGACTGTGAGCAAGATATCGAAACATCCAAGAGGTTCAACAGGTACTTTGCTATTGTTGCACCTGTACCTGTCACTGACATTGATATAATGTCTCAGTGAATTCTCCAGGACATGCAAACAAGAAGGCTCACAGAACTTACACCAATGGCAATGATCTTGATTCTGATGATTTCGTTGTTGTGAAAGCAACTATGTAAATTTGGTAGCTGTCATATCCCGTATTCCAGACCTATGTCCGATGATGCTCCCACGCCTTCCGGACGCCTTCCAGATGCACATACAGACCTCCATACCCTTATCCATGACTCCATACCCTTATCCATGCCTTTAGTCCTCCAGTCCACTATCGGTTTCGGATCCATACACCTTCATACATTCATATATCCATACCTCTGGACCTCTGCAGCTAAGCCTGTTTCATCCACCCTTAGTCCTATCAGATCCGAGCTCATTCCATCTTGGACTCTACCTTCCCTAGACTATTGGTCTATATTCATGATCATATCCTAGTCTCGTCTTCGCCTAGATCTCCAGATCCGCTCATCTGATATCCAGACGCCCCATCCGACATCTCTAGACCTCTGGATCCGACCTATACTCATATCCGAAGCCCAAACCTTAAATCAGTGTCCATCTCCTTATGGTAATCCCCTTGACTCCGGACTTTGGTTATCTCTGTTTCCGTCTTGCTTATTGATCCTTGTACTCTGTTCATCTCCGAGTTCATTTACTTATGTTCCGTTCATACTTACCAATATGTTTCCATATGCTCGTACATAGCATTTGTCTTCAGCTTACTGATCCTCTCAGATCCCTTCCAGTATATAAACCTCTGTACAACTCCTGTAAAAGTTTCCTTAGTTCGAATATCATATTAGACTTCACTCATTCAACATAGACTTGCTCTCTCTCGCATCTGCTCTCAGGACTTCGGTCCATCTTAGTATTGCCTTTCCTTAGGCCTAGGGAAGGATTCCCTAGGCCAACTTTCTGGTCCTCCGGATTTATCCTTCCGTCTACATCCATGCATAGGGATTGACTCCCTAAGCCAGAGTTTTGCCTTTCTGGCACTTCCTGTTTTTCCAAGACTTCTGTCTAAACCCCGTCTATCTGACTCTACCATAGTGTAGTCTACCTCTGTTTGTTTCTACCCTGGACCTTGTCCATAGTAGCCTTTCCCCTCCTGTCCTCATCCTGTCTGCTCCTCTGCTCCTCTGCTCCTCTGCTCCTCTGCTCCTCTGCTCCTCTGCTCCTCTGCTCCTCTGCTCCTCTGCTCCTCTGCTCCTCTGCTCCTCTGCTCCTCTGCTCCTCTGCTCCTCTGCTCCTCTGCTCCTCTGCTCCTCTGCTCCTCTGCTCCTCTGCTCCTCCTAAACCTTCAGACCTTCAGACATCATAACCTTCAGACGTCATAACCTTTGGACATCTTAACCTTCAGACCTCCGGATGTCCTGTCCTTCGGACCACTCGTCCTATCCTATCCTGTTTTGGACTCTGTTCATTGCAGTCCCTCCTCTATGTGTTTCCATCTAAGAAGCTTACCATGGGAAGTCCTTCAGCACTCCACCAGAGTAGCCAGTCTCCAGAAGTCCTTCAGACTTTGTTGGATTCCATCCGGATTTCATTCTGAAATTAAGGGCACATACTCAGGTAAGGGACACAGCGCACAAGCTGAGGCCAAGCCCTTCAGATCCATTAACCCTTGAGCTACAGTCTTAACAGTAGCTCATTACATGAAATTCAGTAGACTATAGAATCGGATCTCTCAATTTGCATTATTCTTGAACTTCTCCCCATTGGTATCCCACCAGTTCTCCATGCGAGTCTCTCTCTCTAGCCTCATTGCAATGACAATGATCGGGACCCCCTGGCAGATCCCAGTGATATAGGCCCAAGCTGAGAGCATAAGGGGTGGAAGTGTTGTATGTAGATCATTTCCGTTCAGATCCCATAGTACCATCATTATCTCTGAACCTGTGGTGCACTCCTTGACACTGGAAGCCACAGAGGAATGCTTCCACAAGGAACTCGAGCTGGACAGGAGGGATGGCAAATACGAGTTTTCTCGTTATGAAGATGCAGGTATACTACTTGAGACAGCTGGACGTACTACAACAGATAGGGAATATACTGGAATCTATGCATACAAACATACTCAATAATACAATATCTCGCTTGATGCAAGTCGCTAAAAATCCACTATAAGTGTTCGCCCATATTTCAGTCATTTTCCGGAGATATGGCTGGGACCGCGACTCACTGGGGATGATCTCTGAGAGCATCGCACCCAAGTACGGCAACATTCAATTCATGGCGACCCATTGTGACTATGAACCAAGGGCAGCAGTATTGAGCCCACCCTCAAACCAACCTCTCGTCTGCCCTCCTCCTTGCATCCCAAGTCCACCAACATCCAATTGGCCCTCATCACATCAAGTCTAAGTCAGTGAGATCTGTTTGACTTTGTTATCTAACAACTAATCCTAACAGGCATCAACAACCATTGAAATACACGGATCAATTATGTAATATGATCTGAGGTCCATACTTCGAACTAAGTTTTCAATGTCTCTCTGGTCTGAAAATGACGATAGCGATTGGGTTCTGGAATCATTGTATGGTGGCTCCATCCATAAGGACCACAATGACTCAGATATCAATATCGCTACACCTAGTCCAATTGAAGAAAAGTAGCCAGGATGAGTATATTGTGATCACCAATGAAGAATGAAACCTCCTCTATCACCTACTCCACCCCTACAAGTCACTCGGGCCATTCTGAGAGATGTTCTTCAAAGACATGCACCAAATTTCACAGAATGTGCCAAACAATATATCAGGGTCAATTCTGCCTTATCACAGGGGACAATGAGGCACTCGAAATAGTGCATGTCATTCCAGTTGATAACACATATGGTGCATATGTACCTGCATGCGCCAATACACCCCCTTGGAGGGTGGAAGTGTGAAGTCGGGTGTGAATGAAGACTAGGACACCAATGAAGCGATAGAGTGCAGGGGAATGCAGATCAAATACCTTGACATGATTTGCTACAAATCCTAGTGATTTCGACATTTTGAGAGGAACACTGAGAGAAGGGCCTGGCAAGGTTTTCACAGTGTGGCCAGAATCTGTACGAAGAATCTGAATCATGGTCTCTATGGATGGTCTCTGTAGATTACCCTGGTTGAGGTCACTATCTTCATCTCATTTACATTTCTTTTTCTTCTTCTTGATGTCACTTGGTATTATAGTGGAAGTTTTCGAGACTATGCACCTGGAGCTTCGGCTTTGGACTTACGATCTTCGAGGGTCCAGTGATGCCCTAGAAGAGGGAGGGAAGGAAGAAGCCAGTATCGAGGGTGCTTGAGCCCTTACGGAGCCATTGACAGAGGAAGAAAGATCTTGATCATCCTCATTCAAAGCTGGGGTGACTGCAATAACATCATTGTGGTGAGACCATGGCAGATTGGGAGAATGTTCTTGAAGTAATAATATAAGCATGACATCCATCAGATCAAACAGGATGCCCCTTACAGAGCCATTGACAGAGGAAGAAAGATTGTGATCATCCCCATCCAAAGCTGGGGTGACTGCAATAATGTCATTGTGGTGAGACCATGGCAGATTGGGAGAATGTTCATGAAGTAATAATCTGAGCTTGTGCACAGAAGAGTGAACAGTGAATGTCAATGCACCCTTAGCTCTTGTAAGTGGTGTTGGAGGAGCAAAGTTCAGGAGAGGATACAGAGTTGTTATAGTTGCATCACTAAATAGAAGGGCACAGGACAGGTCACCTAGCATGAGCAGGACCAGTAGGGAGCCTGATTTTGTAGCAACTGTCTTGTAAACACAGTCCAGATTCATATGTTTTGCGCCATCGCTGTGCAACACATCAGTGTCCTAGTATTTGTGGTTTAAGAATATCCAGTTTTCACTGGGGTTTGGAGCTTACAGAACCCTACTCTGTGGAGTTGGGGACAATGGTGGGACCACCAGAAAGTATTGCAAGAGGGTCAAAATCAACTTTTACAGGATGTTGTACAAAAACTATGTGAAGTGTAGCGTCATTTAAAAACGAAACAGACTGTAGAGGCAAACAGTGTGAAATGAGTAGACTATGAGGACATGTGAGCAAGAGATAAAAACCGTTCAGATCACACCTCCTTAGGCCATCCTGGTCCTCTTCATAGACCCAGTGTCATATACCATATTCCCGGGTAAAGATCCGAAGATCCAGATCTCAGATCCGATCCAGATCCGATCCAGATCGATGGACATATCCGTCGTCCGGTCCACAGATCCGATCTAATCCTTGTTTCATGTCCTGTTCATATAACTCTAACTATTGTTCATCTCCTTTCGGCATTCCTGTACACCAGTATACCGGTTATCCTTTACTTCTGTTATGCTTACTGATCCGCTACACTTACTGATCCGCTTTAGCTTAGACTTCATTCCCGGTTATGATACATTATCCGTCCGACTTACCAGTACACTGTACACATACTTTTCTTATACTTCGTACATAGCCTCGCGTCCTTGCTTATTGATCATTCTGTTAGTTATCTGTAGTATATAAACCCTTGTACATGCGCTGTAGTAGATCAGTTCGAATATCATCTTAGATTGCACTCATTCTGTCTGGACTCTAAGTCCATCTGTTATCCATCCGGACTTGAGTACAATACTCTTGTCTACTCCGAGACTTAGGATTGATTCCTATAGTCTATATATCCGTCTCTGTCTTCGGACAGTCCTCGCCCGTTAGTTTCTAGTTCGGATCTGATCCGGATTAGCCATTACTATATACGTTCAATATCCGGAAGCCATAATGGATCCGTTACGAGACTTATCCGTCTCAATATACGCGATACTCTAGTACTCTGAAATAAGGGGCAAGACTCGGGAAAGGGGCACAGCACATGAGCTGAGGCTGAAGCCCTTCGGATCCAATACTACTTGAGTATGGTCTTAGTACCCAGACCCTCCAGTGGTCACTTCATCTTCTTCCGCCTTGCGCTTGATGATCTGATTGTGCCAAGTAGCATAACGTCCATATCCCATTTGCTTTGCACTGACAACGATTTCATCGGTGAGAATATCCCAATTGATTAGTGGCGTCGGTTCACATCAACCAAAGAGATAGTGAGGAGATCCTTGTGACTCTTCATGTAATCTCTGAGTTGGCCCCTGGTGGATTTCTTCGTCTGTGATACGCTGATCTCAGCAGCCCACAGTGGGATACAATCTCCACTCGGGTCCTTGTATTCCATCAACATATCTGGTATTCCGAGTTTCTTGCCGATGGCACTCAGTATCGCGACGTCGTTTTGCATACGGATCTGTCCGAAGTGGTAGGGAACACCTATTGACCCCACGGCGCCAAGTAGTGTGGCACTCATTGGGGCCGGGTATGATTGATGTAGTCGATTAGGCAGGGTGACAGTCAGAAGTTTCAGTTCTGAAGCATATGCTAGTCTGATGGAAGTCAATGTATGAGTAGGGGATTAGATGGATATGGATATGGATATGTGTGAGAACATACTTGCGCGTCATTTTCTCATCATCGATTGCATCTAAAACATAATGATAATCGTCCTTTGACACATTGAAGAATTCCTGTATCGTGGAGCATGAGTCAATGAAGATAACAGAATGAATTGAACGATTAGTACTTCGACTTCTTGCACATTGTCGCCATCTGTGATGGCTGCAATAATCCGTTTGCGGAAGTCTTTTGCTAGGGTTAGGGTGGCACTGGGTGTGGGATCTATCTTTTCTGGCAGAAAAACTGTGAAAAAATTGAATGAAAAAGACAAAATTTGTCTTCCATTTTCTTTTCCTAAAAAGTATGAAACAGAAAAATAATTTGTCTCAACATTATCAATGGCACAAATTGTGAACAAATTAAAATTTTCTACATTCAATTTGTTCATGATGGATCAGATGAAAATTGTAAAGTGATGTTCCAATTTGTAGTTGAACAAAATTATATACAAATTGAAAGCAATCTGAGTCAAGATTTTTTCCAAAATTTTGTACTGGAAACATTGAATGGAGAAATAAAATATTTCTGTATCATTTGTCTGGTGGAAAATAATGGACAAAATCAAGACCAGGGAACCATTTCAATGTTTCCTCACATTATCCAGCCAAAAAATCAAGACAATATTGTGACATTGTGTCACAATAAATATAATATGTGTGCAATGGAAAAACAAAAGACAAATTGAAAGCAAAATATTATAATTTGCCTAAGATTTAGAGATGAGAAAAAACAAGAAGCAATTGAACTGGAAAAAATTGTAAATATCATTCACATAAATGCTCAGTTTTGACAAAATGAAAATTTGAGAAAAATTGGAAAGAATTTCAGCTGTGATGCATTGTAACTGGTCAATTCAAGTAGAAATGACATATGACGTCACATGAGGAGGACAGCACAATATGAAAAATTAAAATGAGCATTTGGAGTGTGTTTGCACATACAGTGGCTCAAAAAACCGTCCGTATGTTTTGGCATTTTTCACTATCTATAATATTGTGTGAGAACAAACAAATGCCTCAAAAACATGCTTATACCACATTGTAGTATGGCTTCAGGGCTTTCATTTGAGCCCTACACCGTGGGAATCGGTGGAGATATGGTGGAGATACAAGGCTCACAAAATGGTGACTCATGCGGACAGTTTTTGACTCAAGTATTTTACAGTAATAACCAGGTATTCTAGTATTTTGTATGACCTCCCTTGGCTTTAATTACTGCCTCTATCCTTCTAGGCATACTCTCAATTAATTTCTGGCAATCCTCGGCTGTGATCTTCCCCCATTCCACTGCTACTCTCTCCCAAAGCTCCCATACTCCTTTAGGGGGGTTTTCATAGGCTTGAAGCTTTTTCTTGAGTGTTCCCCAGAGATGTTCAATGACATTGACATCAGGAGACTGTGCTGGCCAGTCAAGAACATTGATGTTATGTTCTTCAAACCATTCCCTAGCTCTTCTGGATGTGTGCTTGGGATCATTATCCTGTTGGAAAATGATATCTTCTTCATCAATCCCTGATTCTGCCAAGCTAGGCAGCAAGTGGTCATTTAAAATGTCCACATACTGCTCAGCATTCATCTTCCCCTCAACCTCAGCAAGCATTCCCACACCATTCCATCCCATACAGCCCCATACCATTAAAGAACCTCCTCCAAACTTGACAGTCCCATTAACCTCTCTGTCTGTTAGGCCATCTCCCTTCTTTTTCCATACATACACCTTCCCATCTGACCCAATCCTATTGATTTTGGTCTCATCTGACCATATAACATGCTTCCAGTCCTCTACAGTCCAGTGTTGATGAGCTAAGGCAAAGGCTAGTCTTCTCTGCCTATGTTTGATGGAGAGAAGAGGCTTTTTCTTCTTTGTTACTGCCTTGAGATGAGCTGCCTTGAGAACATTCCTCACAGTTTGTGAAGAGACAGGGGTAGTGATGGTGGAATTGATATAATGGGTGGCTTGGACAGCATTATCAGCCTTTCCTGTAGTGATATGTTGGATAATAGCCCTTTTGTCAGTAGAGGTAAGCTTGGATGGACGTCCTCCACAAGAGTTTTCCTTGTCTGGGTGGCTTTCTTTGATGAACTTGGCCACAGTGGACTTGCATATTCCAGTTCTAGAGGAAATTTGGCGAGCAGAGAGGCCAGCATAAGACAGAGAGAGGATATTATCTCTTTGAGCAGAGGAGATGACTTTCATGGTGATTATGACTATGATACATGAGATATTCTGGTTTATATAGTTAGATATAGTCATAAAATAACATAATGACACCACTTTATAATTTATATAATAGTGGCATGATTTTTATGGTGTCATAATAATGATTTATATAGTTTTAATATACACTCAAAAAACTGTCCACATGAGTCATCATTTTATAAGCCTTATATCTCCACCATATCTCCGCCGATTCCCACGGTGTAGGGCTCAAATAAAAGCCCTGAAGCCATACTACAATGTGGTATAAGTATGTCCTTGAGGAATTTGTTCATTCTCACACAATATCATAGATAGTGAAAAATGTCAAAACATGCGGACAGTTTTTTGAGCCACTGTACCAGGGCAGGCTCCATGCATTGTTTATTTTCAAGTTCCAATGTCCAATGTCTGATGTCCCGTGGCCAATGTCCAATGTCCTGTGTTGACATAATAGATGCATTCCGGATATATCACCTTTCTTGCCTCTTGCTATGTACTATACAGTACCTTCGCCACTCAGCCACAGATCCTCCATAGACCCTTATGTACTCACTTCGTGTTTTTCACCACCCCAGCGTCGTTCTATTAACTGTCACTGAGGTGAGCATTTCATCTTATCATGTAGTTGACACATCACTCATGTAACCTAGTCTTACCTAGGTACTTATTAATCTAGCATCATTCTATTAACTGTCGCTGAGTCTTTCCTAGACTTCCCAGATCCTGTAATGTCCCATAGCAAATGTCCAATGTCCTTGGTCAATGTCCAATGTCCCATAACCAATGTCTAATGTCCAACACCCAATTTCCAATGTCCCATGACCAATGATCAATGTCCTGTAATGTCCCTGGTCAATGTCCAATGTCCTGTGGGCAATGTCTAATGTCCCTGGTCAATGTCCAATGTCCAATATTGAATGTTCAATGTCCTGTAATTGTCTCATAGCCAATATCCAATGTCCCTGGTCAATGTTCAATGTCCTATATTCAATGTTCAATGTCCTATATTCAATGTCCAATGTCCCTTAATCAATGTCCAATGTCCCATAACCAATGTCCAATGTCCAATATTCAATGTCCTGTAATGTCCCGTGACCAATGTCCAATGACCTGTAATGTCCCATAGCCAATGTTCAATGTCCGTGGTCAATGTCCAATGTCCTTGGTCAATGTTCAATGTCCTATATTCAATGTCCAATGTCCAATGTCCCATAACCAATTCCAATGTTCAATATTCAATATTCAATGTCTTGTGGCCAATGTCCAATGTCCAATGTCCCTGGTCAATGTCTATGGTCAATGTCTACTGTCCCATAGCCTATGTCTAATGTTCTAGAGTCAATCTCCAATGTTCCTGGTCAATATCTGATGTCTTATAACCAACATCCAATGTCCCTAGTCAATGTCCAATGTCCCATAACCAGTGTTCAATGTCCCATGGCCAAAGTCCAAAGTCGTCCAATGTCTAATGTCCAACATTCAATGTCCAATGGCCCATCACTACTGTATTCAAGGACCAATGACCAATGTCCTGTAGTCAATTTCCGATGTCCCATGACCAAAGGCCAATGTCCCTGGTCAATGTCCAATGTCCGGTCAGCAATGTCCAATGTCCCATAACCAATGATCAATGTCCAATACTCAATGTCCAATGTCCCATGACCAATGACCAATGACCAATGATTAATGTCCTGTAATGTCCCTGGTCAATATTCAATATCCTATATTCAATGTCCAATGTCCTGTGGGCAATGTCTAATGTCCCTGGTCAATGTTCAATGCCCTATATTCAATGTCCAATGTCCAATATTCAATGTCCAATGTCCTGTAATCAATGTCCAATGTCCTGTAACCAATGTCCAATGTCCAATATTCAATGTCCTGTTATGTCCCATAGCCAATGTCCAATGTCCGTGGTCAATGTTCAATGTCTTATATTCAACGTCCAATGTCCCGTGGCCAAAGTCCAACATCCTGTAATGTTCCTAGTCAATGTCCAAGGTCCAAGGTCCAAGGTCCAAGGTCCAAGGTCCAAGGTCCAATATTCAATATCCAATGTCTAATATTCAATGTTCAATGTCCTATATTCAATGTCCAATATCCCATGGCCAATTTCCAATGTCCTGTAATGTCCCATGACCAATGACCAATGTCCCATAATGTCCCATAGCCAATGTCCAATGTCTTGTAATGTCCTGTTGTTAGCTGTTAGCTTAAACACGTCTATCTCTGCGTTACACTTACCTTAATCACCTTTGGCACCATATTCAGATTCTTCTTGGCCTTTCACGTCTCTGCTTGACAAACCTCTGATGCTTCTTGATCCTCCAGACCTCATGGTCACCTCCACTTGACAAACCTTCAGACTCTCTTAGATAATCATCTTCATCGTATTTATGTTGTCGTGTCCGCTTGTTGACACCTCAGTTTTGTTCCCTCACACTACTGAGGTGTGTATGTCTTACCGTCTTGCACATAGTGTCTTACTGATGTATCTTAGTGTCTCTTGTTCATCACTAGGTACTGCTATCAATATAGTTTTGTTCCCTAACACTACTGAGTGTCTCTCGTTCGTCACTAGACTGCGCTAGTGTCATTAGGTTATGAGCCCTGTGCTCTAGAGCACAGACAACTTAGGCACGAAGCAGAACACTTATGAACATGCGTTCATCTAATGGCTGGACATTAAATTTTGAACCCTTTCGTCATTCTCATAAATCGCATGATGGGCAAATTCGACCACATTTCCAAATTAACCAGGTTCTGATACTTACCCCAGCTGGAGGCGTGCAGTTGAGCTAGCCCTGGCCGTAGAAGGCTTATGGAACCATTGCAGCGAAGGCACCAACCCAACAGATGTCACTGAGTTAGCTAGCGTAATGCCTGCACCAGCGACGGCTGGTCAACCTACAGCTGCAGAGCTGGTCCTCATGAAAGACTGGATAAAGGAAGATGTGCAGGCGAAAGCGATCATTGGAAGATGGCTCTCCCCCGTTGTCCAGTATCTGTTAGGTGAAAAACTCACTGCGCATCAGCAGTGGGACACATTGACAAAACGGTTTGCTCGCCTTGATGTCACTTCCCAGTTCGAACTACGAACTCAACTCTTCACCGAAAAGCTGAAGGATGCAGATGACGCATCCCGCTATCTCAGAGTATTTGAAAATGGATGTCATCGATTTGCGGAAATGGGACTTGCGTTCTCGGATGAGGAAGCCATCTGGATGTTCCTCCACGGTCTCCCAGACACTCCACAGTGGGTTGTATACCACAGCCTCACAATGATGCACAACAAAATGGCATCAACCACCACAAAGACGTCCTCCGTGATGCTTACCTTCGAAGAAGTTGTCACCTCCTTCACAGAAGAGGCCAACCGTCAGTGTGGTCAGCAAAAGTTACACCCGGGTGGGCCAGGCTCCGAGTATGCTAATGCACTCTCTGTATCCTCGAATGAACGAAGAGTCAATCCTGCAACCAGTGTTCAAATTCACAAGAATAACCCCAAGGGGGTGGCCTGTGAAAATCTGCTATGCTTGGGTCTTCCACGTTCACTGACGCATGACAAGGAGCACTGCATGCAACAAGGTGGCGGAATGGAAGGAAAGTCGCCTTGGGGTAATTGGGGAGATCGCAGTATGGGAAAGAAGAAGGAGGTATCAGCAGTAGCCACTGAGTCGAAGCCTACAACCGCCACCGCGAGCTCTACCACTTCCCCCCCAGTCACTGAAACATCTGCCTTTGCCACTTCAAATAACTCCCACCATCGAGACTGGTCTTGCGCAGTTATCAATGATCTTGACCCTGAATCAATGCTGAGTGACGAGGACCTAGCCTGCATTACCACTCATGCGCTGTCGAGCATTCTAGACTCAGGGACTACATCCACTCTAGTCATGGACAGAAGCTTCTTCTGGACGTACAATACAGAGTCCAAGGTCATAGTGAAAACTGCTAACCATGGGAAGTTAGCCACATCAGGCAGAGGCGATTGTGTTGCAGAACTCACTGTGAATAATCGCACCCAATGCATTCACCTCGGGGATTGTCTCCATGCGCCAGGTGCACTAATCAACCTTGTATCTGTGGGACGTATGATCAGGAAGGGATGGGTTTGTAATTTTCTCCCTAGCCCACCACGATGTCAGCTCGTTTATCATGGGACAAACCTTGGAGACATTCCACTGAAAGGAAATCTCGCGTTCCTGGATCTAAGGTTTATCCCACCTAGCACGCCATCCCCACTCATGGAGCTCTCTGCCTTTGCCAAGGTCCCATTGTCCTGGGACCTTTGGCATGCACGCCTTGGCCATCCTGGAGGAAGTGCTGTCAAACGCTTGTCACATTTTTTGATTGGGACCAAAGTCGATACCTCACGTCCACTTCGAACCTGCAAGCCATGTGATACCTCACGTCCACTTCGAACCTGCAAGCCATGTATCATCGCCAAACACCCACACAAGCCATACCATGCATCCTCGATGCCACGCGCCTCCAATATCCTCGACCTTGTACATTCAGACCTTTGCGGTCCCTTCCCTGTCATAACTCCTCACGGCAAACACCACTTTGTGATCTTTCTCGATGACCATAGTAACCTACTCAACTTGCAACTACTGGCGACCAAAGATCAAGCCTTAGTCGCTTGGGAGGTTGTCCGAAAGCAGTGGGAGACACAAAGTGGCAGATGTGTGAAGATATTTCACTCTGACAATGGAGGCGAATTCATTGGGGCAGCTTTCCGTGAGGCTCTCGTATCTGCTGGCATAACTCGTCAATTGTCTGCCCCTTACACTCACCAGCAAAACAGAAAGGCAGAACGTGCCATCCGCACAATCGAGGGACGCCTATTTGCTATGCTTGAAACAGCAGACCTCCCTGCAACCCTTTGGGGAGAAGCGGTGCTAACAGTGTTACCTTTGGAATCGGAGCGAGTCGACTGCTCTTTGGCCGGGCCTTACTCCATATGAGGTTCTGAATGGACGGAAACCAGACTTATACCATCTGCGTGTTTTCAGCGCCAGGTGCTTTGTGTGTATTCCCACTGAACTCCAATCCAAACTCGGCCCCCATTCCCGACATGCTGTCTTTATGGGCTATCCTGATGGTACCAAGGGGTATCGCCTATGTGACAAGGAGACTGGTACCTTCTTTACTGCACGTGATGTCATCTTTGATGAAAACTTCGCTTCAATGGCATTCACTGGTGACTCTGACTCAGAAGAAGAGGATCTCCTTCCTTGTACTACCATTACTTCCCCATCCTCACCCATTGTCTTACTACTTAAGGGCCTTATGTACAACGCGTGTATAATGACAACACAACTATACAGGATAAGACTTCTTGCCAGTCCTTAAGTACATGGTCTACAACTTTCTAGTTTTCATGGTAGATAACGTGTGAGTTCTTGGGAGGGTTTACTGACGTGTCCTCTTCTTGTTGTTCCCTGGTGGAATACTCATAGATTCCCTAATGTTCTGATGAAAAGATCTGTTTCAATCTTGTAGATTGTGTCTCAACCTATGAAAGTCTGTCTCAACTTTGTCATGTTCTCGTGTCTCCCTTCCTGAAAAGAGAGAGTCTGTCTTAAAATACGTGAAGCCTAGTTAGAAAGCTGTTCTGGTGTTGTATACTCAACCCCTGTAAGGTAGTACACAACAAGTAATGAAGTCTGTCTTAAATACGTAAAGCCTAGTATGAAAGCTGTTCTGGTGTTGTATACTCAGCCCCTGAAAGGTAGCACACAACAAGTAGTTTATAAATAGATTGTTATATAAGCGACCCCTGTAAGGTAGTATACAACTAATCTCTGATACAATGTTTATCTTACTTCAAGGCACTCTTGGCCTGCACTTTAAGTCTTACGGACTCTCACGGTTTGAGAGAAGAGTGAAAAATGGGAAGTTATTTATTTAGTACTCTTGTATACTAAATAATACACTGATAGTAGTAACTCATTTGTAATATACTTGTAGCATAGTTGCTGCTTTCCCTGGGCTTTCAATGCCAGATACTAACAGACAGTGATGACTGATTCTCATGCTCATATTGTAATCCAACTTCTCACTGAGTGAGGGAAGTCTCTCTCTGATATCCTTGTTATCTGCCCTGGACTTACTATTCGTGGCCAGCTAATAACAGACAATTTATCTCTGGGCAAGGATCTGAACGTGTGTCTCTGTTTACTTCAAAGGCTAGACAAAGGCCTACACTTAAACTCTACTAACTTCCACATGAGAGTAGAGTACAAGTGGGAAGCTATTATTACTCAGTGTAGAATGGGCTCCTTTTATACCTTTTGGGAGGCCATTTTACTAAGCATGACTCATCACCGCATTAGTAAGTCACTGGCTTACTAACCATGCCATTTGGCAGTGCTGAATCAGCTGCTTACAAAGTAGTTTACAAATAAAGTTCATAATATTACAAAGCATGATAAATCATGACAAATCATGACAAATCATTACAAATTAGATTATTGCCTATCACATGACATGCTTACAAACATATCTGGTGGCTCACTGAAGGATTCTGTGGCTGAATGAGCCTGAAACAAATAGAAACAAATGGAAACAAATGGAAGCCACATGACAAATCATGCAGGATCCTTACAAAGCAGAATATTGCCTATCACATGACATGCTTACTAACACATCTTGGTGGCTCACTGGTGGCTGAATAAACCACGCAAAAGAAATGAAAAGAAAAGGGGAAAGGTGAAAACTATCATACTGGAAATATAAATACAAGTAAATCTGTCAAAATGGAACCAATCATAATAATACAATGAGGTACACCTTAGTGTACTCTCTGTAGCTACTTCCTGTCTATCAATGTCATGGTATGAGTTCCATACCATGCATGACACCGTGCCAGCCGTTCCTTTGCCATCCCTCACTTCCCCACCTGGTTCAGTTCCTCCACCCATCCCCAGGCGTTCAACTCATAATTGTGAGCTGACTACTGCAGGATGAGCCTACGCTGAATAAGTTGCGGCATCTAAGGTTCGTCTTCTGGCACTCCGCGAGGCACGCTCAGAGCATGCTGCTGCTGAGAATGCAGCACATGAGGGGTGCTACCTGAGGGGGTGGATGCAGACGATACTGACCTCACTTCTGTTGAGCCAAACGCAGATATTCCTGACGTTATGGCTAATGCCTGTATAGAGGAACAGGCCCACATCGTTCTACGGAGCAATCACAAATGCAATCCATCGAATCCTGACTACGACATGAGCTTGCCTCCCACTACCTACGATGAGGCTATGCAGTGCTCTGACCACTCTCACTGGCTCGCTGCCATGATGGCAGAACTCCAGACCATGAAGGATATGGGCGTGTACAAGTTGACGAAGCTCCCGGATGGGCGAAAGGCCATAGGCAATCGCTGGGTCCTAGAATTCAAGGAGGACAATAAAGGTGGGCCGGTCTATAAAGCGTGTCTGGTCGCCCAGGGATTTTCTCAGATCCCTGGTGTCAATTATGGTGCTAACTTTGCCCCCGTTGTCAAAACTGCCTCTGTCTGTTTTATCGCAGCTCTTGCATGTCGCAATGGTTGGGAGATCAACACCTTTGATGCGAGAAGGGCGTTCCTGTGGGGGGTTCTTAAGGAAGAGATATATATGCGCCAACTGAAGGGGTTTGAGGATGGCGATTGGGCACTGATGGTGTGGCTTATGCTCCGCACCATCTACAGCTTGAAACAGTCAGCTATGGAATGGTATGAGCAAGTGCGGGCTGTCATGTCAGAACTCGGCTTCACCAGATGCGCCGTTGACTATGCCGTCTTCATCTACGACAAATCCACCCCCTCCACTGGTCATATCTACTGCCTCGTGGGTTGGCATGTCGACGACGGTATGGGGACGTCCAACTCCAAGCCATTCCTTCAGTACGTTAAGGGTCGCATCGCTCAACAGTTTTGGAATAAAGGACTTAGGTCCTATCCAAAAGTTCCTCAGCGTGCAATTTGAACGCAACCGTGCAACAAGGGAGCTGTGGATGCATCAAGGTGAATACATCACTCACCTTCTCGATGAATATGATCTCCTTGACTGCAATCCTGTCCAACTCCCTCTTGATGCCACTCACCCATTTGGTCGTGCCGCCGACACATTCGAGGACATTCCCTCCCTTCCTACTCATTATTGCAAGATTGTTGGAGAGCTGCTCTACCTTGCTGTCTGCACTAGGGTGGACATAGCTTTTGCAGTCAATGCCCTGGCACAGCACTGTGCTAATCCCTCCCCTCGCTTCTATGCGGTGGCCAAGCGCCCCCTTCATTACCTTAGCGGTACGTTGAACTTACGTTCCCACTTTGGGGGTGACCGCGCTGATGAGGGCCTTCACGGCTTCTGTGATGCGGATTGGGCCAGCTCACCTGAAGATAGGCTGTCCATCTCAGGTTACGCCTGGTTCTTTGCGGGTGGCTTGATTGCGCACATCTCCAAGAAGCAGGTGACACACGCTCTCTCCTCAACTGAGGCAGAATATATGGCTGTGACCCATGCTCTGCAGGAGGGCATTTGGTTGCAGTCCTTGTTCACTGCCCTCCATGTCGCACTCACCCCTCCCATCATCCTCTACATGGATAATACAGGTGCCATCTCACTGTCCAAAGAGGCCAAGAACCACATCCATTCCAAACACATCGACATTCATTACCACTTCATCCACGAGTACATTGAAAACAGCTCTTTTGTTCTGCACTGGGTGCCATCTCATCGTAACGTTGCCGACATCCTGATGAAAGCTCTGCCACGGCCACTTTTCTTGAAACACTCCACCAGCCTACAGTTGCTGCCTCAGTGAGGGGGTGTGTTAGCTGTTAGCTTAAATGTGTCTATCTCTGCGTTACACTTACCTTAATCACCTTTGGCACCATATTCAGATTCTTCTTGGCCTTTCACGTCTCCGCTTGACAAACCTCCGATGCTTCTTGATCCTCCAGACCTCATGGTCACCTCCACTTGACAAACCTCCGGACTCTCTTAGATAATCATCTTCGTCGTATTTATGTTGTCACATCTGCTTGTTGACACCTCAGTTTTGTTCCCTAACACTACTGAGGTGTGTATGTCTTACCATCTTGCACATAGTGTCTTACTGATGTATCTTAGTGTCTCTCGTTCATCACTAGGTACTGCTATCAATATAGTTTTGTTCCCTAACACTACTGAGTGTCTCTCATTTGTCACTAGACTGCGCTAGTGTCATTACTGGTTGTGCCAGTCTTGGACCTGTTGGGTATATGCTTGCTTCCCTGCGTCAGAATCTGTATGATGGGGGATGGTTGCTAGCTGTGCTGCCAGCCGTGCACATTCCACCAGGGATCCTCCTCGTGCTCTAGTGGGGGTCTGGGGAAACCCTCTATACCCGTAGAATAGGTTGTTCCTTGCGACCGGTCCTGCTGGTGTGAAGAGGTTGGCGCCTTGTTCCTGGTTCTGAGGGGTCTGAGGAGTGAGTGGTATCTGGGGAATCTGGAATGTGGCTGGTGGGAGCATTTGTTGTGGGGGTGCCATTGACGGGGTTCCATAGCGAGGGCTGTAATGATAAGCAGGTGGTGCAATGTAGGGGTTCTGAGTGTTCTGGGGTGATGGCGTGGACGTCTTGCGGCTGCTACTGATTTGGTTCTGGAGTTTGTCAACATCCTCTCTGAGCTTGTGCTCCATTGTTAACTGTTGCTTTGCCCATACAAGTTGCAATGCCGAGACTTTGGCAATGTCTGTTTCGAAGTCGGCCCAAGTCATGTACTGATCAGATAGAAAGTCCTGTGGGACTTTGGGAGTGTTTTCCAAAATGATGTCTCACAGGTGGCATTGTGTATCATTGAATCCTTTGGCCATGCGTGAAACCTGCCTCACTGTCACGAGTTCCAAATACAAACCATTATTCTTACTTGAACACTCATAAAACATCCGTTAAGCGCCCGTCACAAGCGCCTGTTGTTAGCGCTCAGTCAGTGTCTGTACCCATAACCTTTACAAACCCTAACCCGAACTCATCCTTTACATTTCCGAAATTCTCTATTCCATTAGCACCCACTACTTTTATCTCCAATATTCCTGATTTCGACTTCCTTTCACAAGCGATCAAGTCACGTGACTCCAGAACCTTCGAGAACCCTTGCACAGCAGTCACACGTTTCATGACATCATAGGTGTAGTTATATTTAGATCATCATACGATTCCTTTTCTATTTAATGATTGGCTAGTTAGTTCAGATTCAGATTCAGTCTCCATTTCAATATATGTATATAGGTAGCTCATTGTAGTCGGTAGTTCTTCAGTTCAAACCTCTTTTGTATTAGCTTACTGCTAGCAATCCTAAGATGTCCCTGCTATCCTTTCCTCTTTGTTGTGATATCCTTGTTTGAGTCCTAGTCTCTGCCCCTGCGTTAATTCGTTATAAGGGTTGTGACACTCACCCACTTAATGTGTCCCCACTCTCTGCCTCTGTCCTCCTCAATCATTACTCCAATATCCTTGTCCTTGAGGGTCAGTGCACAAATTTGGTCCTTCTTCTGTGCAACTGTGAGTGTTATCTGTGGTGGTTGAGGCCACCATGTTCTGAAGGCTGCAAGGAAGGTGGCCCAGGAGGCTTTCTCTGCCGTCCCTAGGGTCGCAAACCACATTTCCGCAGGGCTTGCTGCTGCACATTGGAGCTCAAACCTGTTTATCTTGTCCACGTCCATATAAGACGGCGGAAATAAGAGGTCATACTTCTGTATCCAATTGGTAGGTTCCTCGCCATTCTCGTAGTCTCCATAGAAACTAGGTTGTGGTACGACAGCCTGGGTTGCTGCTGCCATTGTCTTATTAGGTGTAGGTGTAGAAAAAATCAGAATAACTAGATGAAGGGTTCTGTTTGGGTACTGCTGCGCATTGGCAAATGAATCTTAGGTTGTTCTGAACAATGCTGGGGTTGTCTTTCTTGGGGGATAGTATCGATAAGTTGTGTAGTGAATTGGAAGCACTCTTTAGGGGGGAGAGTCTACTGTCTGATGCAACTCGTTGTAAGGCAGGTTCGTTCTCGAGTGACTGAGGAATGTTGCGAAGGTGGCACAGGTCATCAATGGTAATGGCCGTGATGCCTGCCCACTCTAGTCACCAGGTGGAGAGGGCTAGGGCCTTGACACCTAGGTGCTACTGCAAAGGGAAAAGACAAAGACTAGACTACTGCCACCGCCACTCTAAGGCCTACTCTACTGGGTCCGAGACCCCAGAACCTGGCTTGCCTAACTGAGAACCACCCCTGAACCACTCCTGGGTGACCCTTGGCGACCCTCGATGCCCAAACACCCTACTACACCGCATCAGCACTCAATCTGCCTGTAGGGGCTGGAGAGCTCAACAGGAAGGTACCAGGTATGTTTCTTTTCTTTGCTGGCATTGTATTGAGGTTGTTTGTGTTAACAGTAATAAGGTAGAGGTTTGCATATTTTGACCAACCTCACGTGATAATTGTGATGAATGAGTGACTTTGAGCTGTAAATCTATTAACAATTCAGCAACACCACTTCTCAAAAATCTGTTCCACCATTCACTAGATAAATCAAAAACAAGAATTTTTGCTGTTGTAGAATAGAATTATCTGCAGGAATGAGAGAGCTAATAGTTAATTACAGTTCTGCGCACAACAGTAGGGACTCGGAAGTCAAACTCTGACAAATGTGGCAGCTCAGCTCACAGACTGAGGGCATCATGGCACCACGCAAATGCCTCCACAGCATATGGATCTCGAACTTACAGTCAAAGAAAGCTAGGGTGCAAGTTGAACAAAGCTCAGATAAGGAACACACTCAAGTTGTAAGTCAACTGATGAGAAACTAAACATGAAGGCTTGATGTTTTTGACAGGTGCATTTTGGTGCAGTAGTACAAACAGATTGTCGGTCAGTCAGTTTTGAAGATGTCGAGTGTGGTGCGTGGCGAGCTCAAAGGGTTCAGTGCGAGGAAGTTGAAGAGGAGGATGACCTTACCACAATCCGAGGAGTGCCTTGGTAGATTTGTCAATGCTTACAGGAAGGGACTTGATGGAAAGCAGGCTGCATGGGCAATCAAAAAATATCAGGGACACTGTTCTTCCTGAGTCCATAATGCGGGAGTTGGAGCAATCTCACTGAGCTACAATTTATCATAGTACAAGCTTAGTTACTACGAGTCCAGTTGTGTATCATATCCAGATCCTCCGAGTCTGTGCCATTCGGCAGGACACTTATCCTCACAGCGTCACACGTCAGTCACATCACGTGAGGTTGGTCGAAATATGCAGTCTTCTACCTTAGTAGGGGTCGGAGGGTCGGAGGGTGATCAGTCCTCGTAGTCAGCGGCCGTAGGGATAAAAGGTAGGTTTTAGATTTTAAGGCAGTTCAAAATATGTGGCATTCGAGGAACGTTCACACGTGAGAAGCTGACTTTTAGAATGGTCTTAGGGTTCGAACGAGGAAGGAACTGTCCGAACTAAGATAGTATTCGGGGGAAAAGGATCAACTGTCCTAACAGTAGTTTTACGTAGCATTTAAATACTGTAGGACTTGCTTATGGAATATGATGGAAACTGATAGAAGAAAGAGAGTAACTAGGAGGTGTCGCCTTGACAGTGGTCAAGGCTTTAGCGAGCGCTACAGGAGAGGACATCCCAAGCCTGTCTCAAGCCGAAATATAGCCAGAAACGAAAGGGGTAGATAGATTGCGAATTTGCAGGCGAGATGAGGCAAATGAATTCAAACCTCAAAGTCAAGTTACTGGTGCGGCAGCCGAGCAAGATAGATTGTCCGTCGATAGGTCCAATAGATGTATACTTACAACTAAGTATGAAACTTGGAAGAACAGCCATATAACGAATGGGTATGACGTTCTGTTCACTACATATAATACAGAGCACGCAGATAGATTGCATATTCAAGTGACAAAAAGGTCATGATTTCAAGTACAATACGGTAGCCTTTAGTCCAGCTAAGGCTTTAAGAAGAATATCAACTTTTGCTAGTGCCAACTCCAAAGCGTCGGTCTCTCGTTCGACAGTCGCGCGCAGACAGGCACCAAGTGGCTCGTTGGGTGTTTTTAAACAGGCCGGTAGATGATCCCCGTGCCGACGAGACAGGGGTTACAGCCTCGATGGTGCTTTGACGAGCCGCTCGTGGTTTTTTGACGATTATCAACTCCTTGATGCCCAATTGGACACGTGGATCGATTCCTCTGGTCCGTAGCACCATATTATGCTCTATGGAATAATCCAAGAGCGCACTGATGCGAGCTATACAAATGGTGAAAAGGAAATCAAACGCGATAACAACCAATGCTTACTGTTCAAGTAAGCAGGGAACGCCGACCTCCGGCGCCTGATCAAGACAAGCATTTTAAAAAATGCCGCTTTGTACGGCACTTGTTCCTCTGAACAAATCACGAGCAGGGTCGCGCCAATATTACTTGAATTCATAGTGGCGTATGCAATCTTAATTACCAAGGGCATCAGTGGAAGAGCCTGCTAGAATTGAAATCATATTTACCTCCGTAAGAGAGATGATCTGCAACGGAAATATTATCGTCAGTTGACTATAAGAGATGAGTAATAACAGAGACAGTACCTTACGACCGTAGTGGCGAATTTGGCGGTCTTCCGCATCACTAAACTTCATCATCTCACTCATTGCTTCCAGAAAACGGTCCAGAGACTCGAGACGATTAGCCAGTCTTCTAAAGACTCCCCAACGATAGAGATTAGGGACGTTGTTAGGCATGAGGAATGATAGTAGAAAGTAGGTGAGTATATGGAGAGATGCAAAGTGATGGAGAGATGCAAGGTGATGGAGAGAAGAGAGACACTGCCAACACGAAATATATAGCGCTCGGATGCCTGGGTCCACATATTTCAGAAGCGCTTGCCACAGGCCATGTAAGTACATCAAAAGAACAAATATAACTTTCGCCACATAGCTGCGGTGGATTCCGTGGACTCTGCCAGTGGAACGTCTTTGTGGCATCATTGTCCTTCGCTCGGGCACATTTACTTCGCTCTGGAGTCCCAGCACCATCAGTAACAGTTCCTAAAATGGGAAACACAAAATGTGGAAGGTGTAGACGGCGAGATATTGATTGCGAGCCATAAGATGCGTAAACCACAGATGTAATAAAGATCCACCTGTTTGAAGGGGCTCCAAGAATTTACCACGTTCGAACGCGTGGCTTGGATGCGGTGGTAGGTGGGTACGATCGATTTGAAAGTGTGTCAGACAATGACCTCATGAGTTCATAGTCCTTCCACAAGTCCCGGAGAATGAGAGAAGTCTGCTTCCTCGTCGCGCTCGCGCTGCCCTGTTGGTACGCCGTCGCAACATATGGCTCCACATACCGCACTTCATCGGTCGTAACTTCTTCACTGTATCCTCGTCCTTAAGCTTTATACTTGATATCGAAAGGAAAGATCACTGTGTTGCATTCGGACCTCGTTAAAAGACCTTTCGTAAGAAAATAAGAGAAGGAAATGCGAAGTTGGTTGGGTTACTGCAAGTATTCATGTACCACCAAGTATTTCGATAAAAATGTCTTGATGGAGCATACATCAAGAAACTCAGCGGTACAACATGCTTGGCGTGAGGAATGTTCCATCAGCCGCACTGCGGTAGCCTGCGAAATGCTTCCGTGCATATCAGCGATAACAGTGAGTTAGCGCTAAGAATGTGGCACGTACGAGGTTACATTCCAACTCGAGGCCGTAGGTGACGCTGGCGTCTGCTGCTCCTTGTGCTTCGAAGTTGACAGATATTGTTCGCAGTTCAGAAGGTCTGCAACCGTCACTGAGCATTGAGTAGTTCGATGCGGGAGGACTGAATGCCAATGCGTTAGGGGTTATGGTGGGACGAAGTAAACTGGGCGCACCATGCACCATGATCAAGTGACAAGGAGCCTGTTTTCAAAAGTTTCAGGCAAAAATTGTACATTTGTTATCTTATCTTACATTACATTTAACCGATTATGTCTTTCAGAAGCATGTGAGCCATTTCTTACCAGCATTGCGTTTCAAGACCCTTTTGCTATGATCTCCTGTAAGAGACGTCCGCGCGCGTTCTGTCTTTTTCTCTGTAGATTACAGGAGGGTGGATGCCGAAGATCCCAAACAGCGAACACGCTGTGATGGCACAGGCTCCCTGTGGTTGCATGAGGGGTCGTCAAGATGTAGGGTCCAATCTGCTTGGTAGAAGAGAATAATTTTAGGAGCGAGGAACTCCTGAACAGTCCATCCTCGCATGTCCCAAAAGCCGTTTGCGAGTGCGCCAGATTCCGATGAAGGAACATCTGATAGGCAGTCGATGGCGAGCGCTGAGTAGTGATACTAGATGAACATGGAGTTGACTGGTTCTTGGAGCTCGACATTGTCATACTGGTCGATGCAGCACGTATCGATCCACGCCTAGCGATACCCTGCATCGCGAGCAACTCCGCAGAACTTCTGCAACTTTACAACAATTCCAACCGGATCCAAGTCATATATGTCCTGTCCTGAATATCATGCAGTAGCAGTTCCTTAGTCTCACCTGTGGGATAACATGCCCAATTGAAGTACTTCGCGACCGTTTCTTTGATGGGCTCTATTTGGAGGGGCCCATGCATTACTGATGGAGACAAAAGCTGTCTGTACTCTGTATTCTCCATGAAGCCGTTGATCTGTGCATTTCAATCACATATATGCTCAGTGATGGTGTTGATTAGAAGAAGTGGAGCGTTTTCCAGTTGAGCGTGAATGGCTCGTCGAATAGTATCTTCTACTTTAGATGGACTGACGTATTGCTGGAATAGCTCTGCAAAAAATGTAAGTCATCCTCAAGTCGGCGCTCGAGTTGTTTGGGGCTCACGTCGTATCCGTGGGTCGAATGCATTGTCCAACTTGAAGAGCATTATCTTGAAGGCCTCGAACACATAATCATAGTGTGGTGCTCCGTGAAGAGCTGCACGCTTCAGTTCGTACCCGAGATAAGACGAAGGGTTGAGCTCAATGGCATAAGAACATCATCACAAATGTTAGAACAACGACGAATATCATCCGCACCTTGTTCGTGCCCGAAAGGACCTCCACATAGAGGTTTTGGTTCAACTTCACCTTACTGCGGTGTGCATGGACCAGAGCTGAAGATTCCCATCACAGTCCACTGGCGAGCAGTTCTCCACTGAGAAAAATTGCAATGCAGGAAACCCATGCGGTATGTTCGAGTGGCTGTCCTATCTGCTTGTGTGACTTGGTGTTCCACAAGCGCAGTCTCATCGAACGAGGCAGTGGCAATGAAGGAGCCATCAGAAGAAATGGCAAGTACCAATGCATCAAGGTTGACCGATGAGTTTGGGTCCCATCGACGAGTCTCAAAACTTGAGTGTTTTGTCGTCTGATGCGGAAACAAGTTGCTGGCCATCAATTGCAAGCGACCACACAACGCTCGGAACCCAAATATTGTTGTGAAGCGTCTATGTCGAACAGAAGCTCGGCGTTATCGTGCTTCAAACCGGGCCCAAACGATACTATATGATCCGCCGGATGCTAATTTTAGCCTATCTGGGCCTGGCGCGGTCAGAATCACTAGTCTAAGCGACAAAGATGAATCTATGCCAACGCGAGCATGGCGTGGGTACCTCCAAATGCTTGGTCTCTGCTGCTATGAGAGACACGCCCGTCTGTCAAAACCTCGTCAACGACTCTGAGATAATACTTGCCTGCCCAGAAACCTGCAACTTTAACTTATGCATGCAGGTTTCCGGTTCCGACTGTAATATGTAATTGTCCATGACGTCGCGGCAGTTGCCGCAGCCTGTAGCTATTTGAGTCTACCATGCCGTCCTAATTCCGAGCCTCCCTGAGGCCCTCAGTTGCCAGTGCCTACTCGGAGCTCACTCGCCGTGGCCATGGCCGTAATACACATTGTGAGTAGTAGTTCCTTGGCTGAAGCTTGAAGCTTGAAGCCTGACCGTCCCTGACGGGGACTGGGCCATTATCAGCAAGAAGTTTCATCCTCGTTTATCATCAATTTGTACACGCTAGTCCAAGTCCCGAATCAGGGATTCTGCATCCTGTCTAGTTGCCGTTGAGTCGTCGGGTTCGGCCGTACTAACTCAATCAGAAGACCTCATAAAGGCCCTGTACCATGTGTACAACTTCCTCTCTGGAGTAGCACACGCTCCTGCGGGTTTTCTTTTGGACTTCCCATTGGCTGTCGCCAGCGGGTGTTCACGCTGTCATGGACAATGTGAAGCACTCACGCATTTTATTGCTACACCCACGATCTCCATCAAAAATCATCGAAGCGCTACAACAATCCCCGTCAGGAACCATCCGGCCGATTGATTGGTTTGAGATGCTGTTCCATTGATAGGCAACTAGCAAGCCGGTTGGAACACATGACCCACTTATATATACCTGGAATTTGGATATCTCCCTCCAAACACCTCTGACAGTCCCTCAAATTCTTTCTATCCACGATGGTTGAGTCTCTGGCGCAGATGTATATCACTGGGATCTGGCTCGAGGCGATCTTGTATGGTACGTAGCTGAGGAATTTACATTGTACCGCCAACACAATCGCTTCTCATCCAGGTACCAAGTGCGCTCTGCCATAGCACACGGGGTTGTTTCTGATGGAGGTTGTAGCTGCGTCTTATTCAGCATTTGTCTTTTCATCCTGCTCGGCAACAACGGAGCATCTCGAAAGTGAGTAGAAGCCTAATTCTTTTCAAACAAAAACACAATTATGATATGATGTCTAGAACGCTCCTGTTTTCGAGCGTTGTCCAATTTTCGTTGGCTACAGCACATGTTATCATAAGCTTGCTAGAGTTGATGGCTGCTTTCGCAACTTCAGCCAGCGCTGCTGATAACTACTTCGCTAACCCTGGTGGCAACGAACTGTTTGTCGGTGGCTTCTATGTATATGTCGTCCAATGTCAGTGGCGAAGCATAAGCATCTCCAATGTCGTTTGACTGATACCTATTATTTCTAGACATTCGCTCAAGAACTACTCCTAGTGAGTTTCGGGTCCAGGCTCAATCACAACACAAAGATGAATGTTTGCCTTTCAGATTTGGAGACTATACGTGATCTGGGGTCGCAACTTCAAGATTTGTATCATACCGGTACGCTATATTGGTCGTGTCTACCATTAGTGTAACATTCGTGTTGATAACCTACCATCATTAGTTCATTATCTGGATGCTTCACTGCAGTAAGCTAGATATGTAAGACAAGAGGCTATCAGTGGTAACACTCTGTCAGTTATAGCATCGATCGCCGTTTCTGGCTTTATTCCCGCAACAGCAACGCCTCTCACCTCGCAATGTCCATTCATACGGACTCGCCGGATGGGGTCTCGAGACTGGTGTCAATTTTCTTGCATCAGGCGGCATAGCTTACCGTCTATGGCACGCGGGACGCCGGACGGCTGTTCTCACAGGGCGACCCAACTATAAGGCTAGCTTCTTCATCATTATTGAATGTGGGGCCCTTATCACAACATGTACCACGGTCATGTTCTCCCTCTATGCAGCAAACAAACCGGAGGGACTCGTTGGGGTCGGAGCAGCTACTCAAATTGCGGTGGGTGCAGAGTAGGCTATCCATGGCGTGTCGTTTGATTTTTTCTCTCCATAGACTACCTCGCCGTTACTAATCATCGCGCGGGTTGGATTCGCCATGTCCAAGAGAAAGACGATTTCGGCAGCGACCACCTTTTCTACCCTCCCGAATCCTTTGCAAGTGAATGTTAACAGGGCATCGTATGCATACAAGGATTACCAACTGGATGATATTTCAGCTGGGGGAAGTGAACTGAGGGACACGAAAGCAAGCGAAGACAGGGATTGCAGCTTGAGTCGATCACATATATCGGCAGAAAAGCAGTTTAGACAAAGACATTGATGTTTCTATACTATACAAGTTCAAAATAAACCTGTGTTTGATTGAGATTCAGGTTATCATGCTGTAGTGGTTGAGAACTGGAGTACAATTAATGTTTAATGCGCTGCGAAGTTGTGCACGGTTCCCTTATCGCTAGGCGCAATGCATGCCACCGTTTTCGGGTAGAAAAAACTTCTAAAGCCCCTTAGCGTGTTTCACTGACAATCTCACACCTCTTATTTGGCTAGACGTCAGTGATATATTTCAGTTGCGTCCGTGTCAGGTACAGGTTCGGATCACCAAATACAACTTTGTGATACTTGGGAAGTACTTGAACATGCTTTTCAGAACCAAGAATTACTACTAATCCATCGGAGGATGACAAATACTGGCATCATCAGACATCCCAAGGTGCCTCAAGCCGAGATGTAGTCATAAACGAAAGGGGTAGATAGACTGCGAATTTGCAGGCGAGATGAGGCAAATGAATTCAGGCTTCAAAATCAAGTTACTGGTGCGGGAGCCGAGCAAGATAAATTGTCCATCGATAGGTGCAATGGATGTATAGTTACAACTAAGAATGAAATGAAAAGGTTGTGATTTCAAAGTACAATAAGGGAGCCATTAGTCCAGCTAAGGCTCGAGAAGAACATCGACTTCATGATCATTGTTTCCCACTTCCAACCTCAGAGCGTCGGTCTTTCGTTTGACAGCCGCGCGCAAACAGCCTTCGAGGGAATGGAGGCACCAAGTGGCTCGTTGGGTGTTTTTAAACAGCCGGTAGATGATCCCTGTGCCGACGAGAGAGGGGTTACAGCCTCGATAGTGCTTTGACGAGCCGCTCGTGGTTTCCTGACGATTATCAACTCCTTGATGCCCAATTGGACACGTGGATCGATTCCTCTGGTCCGTAGCACCATATTATGCTCTATGGAATAATCCAAGAGCGCACTGATACGAGCTATACAAATGGTGAAAAGGAAATCAAACGCAATAACAACCAATGCTTACTGTTCAAGTAAGCAGGGAACGCCGACCTCCGGCGCCTGATCAAGACAAGCATTTTAAAAAATGCCGCTTTGTACGGCCACATGTTCCTCTGGACAAATCACGAGCAGGGTCGCGCCAATATTACTTGAATTCATAGTGGCGTATGCAATCTTAATCACCAAGGGCATCAGTGGAAGAGCCTGCTAGAATTGAAATCATATTTACCTCCGTAAGAGAGATGATCTGCACGGAAATATTATCGTCAGTTGACTATAAGAGATGAGTAATGACAGAGACAGTACCTTACGGCCGTAGTGGCGAATTTGGCGGTCTTCCGCATCACTAAACTTCATCATCTCACTCATTGCTTCCAGAAAACGGTCCAGAGACTCGAGACGATTAGCCAGTCTTCTAAAGACTCCCCAACGATAGAGATTAGGGACGTTGTTAGGCATGAGGAATAACAGTAGAAAGTAGGTGAGTATATGGAGAGATGTAAGATGATGGAGAGAAGAGAGACACTGCCAACACGAAATATATAGTGCTCGGATGCCTGGGTCCACATATTTCAGAAGCGCTTGCCACAGGCCATGTAAGTACATCAAAAGAACAAATACAAATATCACCCATAGCTGCGGTGCATTCCGTGGACTCTGCCAGGGGAACCTCTTTGTGGCATCATTGTCCTTCGTTCTGGCACATTTAATTCACTCCGGAGTCCTAGCACCACGAGTCACAGTTCCTAAAATGGGAAACACAACATGTGGAAGGTGTGGACGGCGAGATATTGATTGCGAGCCATAAGATGCGTAAACCAGAGATGTAATAATGATCCACCTGTTTGAAGGGGCTCCAAGAATTTGCCACGTTCGAACGCGTGACTTGGATGGGGGTGTAGGTGGGTACGATTGATTTGAAAGTGTGTCAGACAATGACCTCATGAGTTCATAGTCCTTCCACAAGTTCCGGAGAATTAGGGAAGTCTGCTTCCTTGTCGCGCTCGCGTTGCCCGGTTGGTACGCCGTCTTCGTAACATATGACTCCTCGAACCGCACTTCATCGGTCGTAACTTCTTCGCTGTATCCTCGTCCTTAAGCTTTGTACTTGATATCGAAAGGAAAGATCACTGCGTTGCATTCGGACGTGATAAGGAGATCTTTCGTAAGAAACTCACAGAAGGAAATGCAAAGTTGATTGGGTTACTGCAAGCATTTCATGATCGTTTTTCGATAAACGTGTTGTCTTTATGGAGGCTTGAGCATACATCAAGAAGTTCAGCGGCACAGCATGCTTGGCGTGAGCAATGTTCCGGCCGCACCGCAGTAACCTGCGACAGGCTTTTGTGCTTATCAGCGATGACAGTGGGTCAGCGCTAAGGATGTGGCACGTACGAGTTTACATCTCAACTTGAGGCCGCACGTGAGAGTTGTCGTCTGTTGTTCCTCGTGCTTCGAAGTTGACAGGTATTGTTCGCAGTTCAGAAGGTCTGCGACCGTCACTGAGCATTAAGTAGTTCGATACGGGAGGACTGAATGTCAATGCGTTAGGGGTCATGGTGGGACGAAGTAAACTGGGCGCACCATGCATCATGGTCAAGTGACAAGGAACCTGTTTTCGAAAGTCTCGCGCAAAAATTGTACATTTGTTATCTTATCTTAGATTACATTTAATTGATTCTGCCTTTCGCTTGGAGGGGCCCATGCATTACTGGAGACAAAAGCTCTTCGTACTCTGTACTCTCCGTGAAGCCGTTGATATGTGCATTTCGATCACATATATTCCCAGTGATGGTGTTGATTAGACGAAGTGGAGCGTTTTCCAGTTGAGCGTGAATGGCTCGTCGAATAGTATCTTCTACTTCAGATGGACTGACGTATTGCTGGCGTAGCTCTGCGAGGAATGTAAGTCATCTTCAAGTCGGCGCCCGAGTTGTTTGTGGCTTAAGTCGTATCCGTGGGCAGAGTGCATTGTCCAACTTGAAGAGCATTATCTTGAAGGCCTCGAACGCATCATCATGTGTTGTCCTCCATGAAGAGCTGCATGGTTCAGTTCGTACCAGAAATAAGACGAAGGGTCGAGCTCAATGCCCTACGAACATCATGACAAATATTAAAACAACGACGGATATCGTCCTCACCTTGTCTGCGTCCTCAGGGCCTCCACATAGAGGTTTTGGCCCAATTTCACATTCCTGCGCTACACAAAGTAGAAATCATATGAGGAATCCATACCGAATGCTGCAGAAAGCGTGTTCTTGATGTGGACCAGAGCTAAAGATTCCCATCATAGTCTCCACTCGCGAGCAGTTCTCCACTGAGAGAAATTGCAACGCAGAAACCCCATGTGGTATGTTCGAGTGGCTGTCCTATCTGCTTGTGTAACTTGGTGCTGCACAGGCGCACAGTCTCATTGAACGAGGCAGTGGCAATAAAGGAGTCATCAGAAGAAACGGCAAGTGACTTGATGTAGGAAGTGTGACCAATGCAAGGTTGACCGATCTAGGTCCCATCGACGAGCCTCAAAACTTGACTGTTTTGTCGTCTGATGCGGAAACAAGTTGCTAACCGTCGGGTGACCACACAACGCTTGGAACCAAATATTGTTGTGAGCGTCGAAGTCGAACAGAAGCTCGGCGTTACCGGTGCTCCAAACCCGAACACATCCGCCGGATGCTAATTTTAGCCCATCTGGGCTGAAGGCAACACAAAACACCCTTCCCATCTACACCTTGGAGTGTTGAGAGGACAGCGCCAGTCTCCGCGTCCCATATAATAACTCTTCTATCATATGACCCGCTTTCGAGTCTCTTGCCATCAGGAGATAAGCACACCGACGAAATCCGCCCTACATGCTTCACCAGCGGTTTGAATCCGTCTACTTGCTATCGATGTTCCAGATGATGATGGCTCCATCATCTCCATCACTGGAAATTCGCATATCGTCTGGAGATACAGCAACTGAAAATTCACAGTCACTATCCCTCGAATGGCTCTTCCACCGATGCTCTTTTCTCCACGTCCCAGATCCGCAGGGTTTTATTCTCTGAAACAGTGGCGATCCGTCCAATCGACCATCTTTGAAGAATGCAACTGCCGACACTTTCTTCGTACGAGTACTGAAGTGGATGTAAGCACAGATTCACCTCTCATCTAGCCAGGATTGACGAAGCTACCAGCTACGATTGGTGTACGTGTCTGCACGCGTGAGTTAGATGAGCCGTACTTCTAGCTTGACATCGGTTGCACTGACAATGTAAGGTGCAAAAAGCTTGAACAGTGGTTTCAGTCTTTGGGTTGGGTAGTTGCCGGGCTAAAACAGTATTGCTTACAGGACTTCCACGACCTCCCACTTGAGCGCGGACAGTCGAGCACCAATTATTGGTACTTGAGCTCCTCTGAGAGATAAATCCCGAGTGATTCAGTGGATGAGGCGTATCTCTATCTTGCCGTTGTTGCACTCGAGGTGCTTAGTTGACGTTGCGTTGAGGTGCAGAAGGATTCAAAGAATGGTTGAAAGATACCAAGTCGACTCGTACTCAAAGTCTCAAACAGATGACGATGTCATACAACGACTCGAGTAAATGACTTTGTTAGAGTAGACAACAACCGTAAGAGAGGGATATGCGAAAGCAAGATGATTACACCACGAAATTATCATAACTGAAAGCAGGATTGTCACGCCGGTTCTATTCAGTGTCCAGCGAACAGTTTGGCATATGGTGAATAAAGCTACAACTTGTGATCGGATGAACAAGATACCTTACCCAACGTTGTACTTGTAGTACCTAGTTAGTGTGGCTCGGTGTCATGTCCGATGTTGTTTCAATGCTGCAACAATTTGGGGATAGTTTTTTATTGAATAAAAAATAGCATCATCATTCTCTGTATAAGAAGCACCCATGTACCGGATAGTGCGTGTTGAGGACGACTATTGAGGCTGCTGCAAGACATTTTGCAACACTGGGCCACAGTAAGTAGAGCAAATGATATTGTGCGGTTAAGGAACTGATCTACACAACATTATTGCATAGCAGTGAATTATTGACATATACACAGAGTCCTTCTTTTGTGGGTATTACGGTTCACGGACCCGAGTGAATTCTTGAACATGGCGATGACAGAACTTTAATACCGTCCCGTCATTTCATGTGTGACGGGCTTGGCCGACGCTTCAAGATACTTCGTTGGCCAGTAGATGATGTATGTGCAAATACCAATCAACAGTGGCTGGGAGTCGAGGAGATAGAAGTAGACTTGTCAGGCGAGGGTCAGACCAAGCGCCCCAATTTTAGTATTTCCTAATGCTCACTTTCATGGGTGACGAGATAGCCGCCGTTACCTTGAGCAACTTCGATGACACGATAGATACAGCGAATCTGTATCGCGCAATATCAATGAAGATGTACGATGAAGTGTGGACGAAAGGCGTACAATGTAGGCTGATGAAGAAAACATCAATATCCAAAGAATTGGCCCCCATGGCTCCTGGCGGAGTTGAAAACCGTCTCGAAGGATACCATGCCATGCATGCACAACTAGGACCATGAAGAACCCAAATGAGAGTGTCTGAATGACTAATCCGGTGAGCAGTACGTTTGCGCCTGGCTTTTCAGTTGTCACTTTTGTCGACACTTCCAGACCGCCACCTACACCCTGCACAACGTCGTGATTAATCTTCCGTGCGAAGGAGACAAACAATTAAACTTCAAACCTGTACGAAGAACGCCGTGATATCGCTGATAACGAAGTACCGGACAACTTTCTCTGGATTTATCCAAGAGTAGTGTCTGTCCACGCAGTTCACGATAAAACGCCCGTAAATGATGTAATTGAAGGCGAGGTACGCAGCAGGTGGTAACAGGGTGAGGAGTTGTTGGACCATGAAAATCGGGAGAGAACTTGGGTTCATCGCCATGAGTATGCGCATAAAAAAGCCGACGGACATGACTGTTTTGACAGTCAACACATTTCGAAGTGGGTGGTGAGAACTTACAGGTTGAGGCTATAGGGAGACAAAGTCCCCACCCTGCCTTGTTCATGAATAAGCGCATGAACAGGCAAAGGCTGGCGAATGAGGTACAAGCCGCCCACCACAGCTGCCGCAGCTTTATTTGGGTCGTATTCTGGATGAAATGGATTAGACCCAACCCGAAAGATGATCTTTTGTGGACTGACTAAATACTGCGGAGACTAGTGTCGGCCTTTCGACGCTGGTTGTGCTGTTGCCGCTCGCTATTATATTTAAATGTCGAGTTCAACAGATATTGACAGATCACTGACCTGCCCTCACCGCGCTGACGAGGAAGGTGACAATGATCAGAATGTTCGCAGATTGCATGCTCCTTATGACTGAAGGCTTGGGTGTAAAAGGTGATATCGAGATGCGGCAACTCTCGGGTTTATATATACCCCAAATGCGATCCAGCATCAATACACCTTCCCAAAGAAGCGAAGATAGCTGCAAGCTTCATGACCACAACCTGTGAAAGATAGTGTGTTCCAGCAGTAAGTAGTACTCACTGAATGTCGTCCCAAAGGGCCCTAGGAGTGTTGTGCATGACACAATGATGGAAGCCGACACAATGCGTCTCCCAGAGATAGGGCACAGCTGGCTGGTAACGTACCACCGGATGACATCCGACGGGAAAAGCAAATTATTATTTGTCAAGTACCACACTTGGACGTGCTCACTAGAACACTGAGATGGAATACTCTCAATATGCACACGCGATTGATGCATAACTATAAGAGAATCGGCAATCGATCCTGTGCCGCACCGAGGGAGAGTACAGCTCTCGTCAAGTTTAGTTCAAATTACACGATGTGATGAAAAGGCAGTTCAGTAACACAACAGGACCTACTGCGTAACCAACCGTATCGCAAGTGGCTGTCGGTCCTTTACCTTCACTTCTACAAATGCCAAAAGATTCAGCTTGGCATCCCTACCGTCGGAGTCGCACGACAGCATTACACGTATGCCGCGATGTCAATGACCTAACTGGTAAATGAAGATCATGTTGATTCGCTGAGCACATGGCTTGCCCAATTGGTAGGCCTCTTCAAGCTGGACAGTGAAAACAAAGTTCCAAATTTTGAAATGGAGAAGATGCAAATGATATAGTATCCGACACCGTAAGCTATTTGTCGAATTCAGTTCCGATTCCCAAACATCGAGGTGGCCTAGAAAACCAGATATTTAATATCTTGAATTTTGAACTATGCATGCCATGGTGGTCGTCGATCATCGATGATTGATGATCTTGACTTACAGCACATACAACGTGGCGAAAGATGGCGATTGCTTCAATTCTCGAGGATTATTCAGAAGCCGCGTATCGATGCTGGTCCATAAGCGGACATGGAGCTTGCATGACAATATCGATATCATATGTCAACGGCTTCTCCTATTGCAACAACTTGAGCTGACTTGAGTACTACGGAACAGAGGGGCACAGTTAGGATCAGGAAGTACACCGAGTGCTAACAGTACGTGACTTTACTTGATGCCACATGCGAGTCAAGGTTGCTGCTGGTTGGAGGGTCGAAGAGCAGCTAGAGCAAACATCCTGGAGTCTGTGGTAGTCCTCCAAATTTCGTTATCACACCTCTGCTCTGAATCGATGTGCTAGCGGTAGGTCGCCTCTCAGCGCGTGTCAGTACTGATGGTAATACTCGGGATGTTTGAGAGTTCGAGGCGTCGAACGACTCGAACCAAACAAGAGGGTGCCGGGCATCGCAGTGGTCCCACACATTTACAAATTTGAAGTTTCCATATCCATGGTTAAAGTTCGCCGAACGAGTGGTAGCTTGTAGTGGTTGATGGGTCTGAGGGCAGGTGAGATGGTTTTGGGGACAAGACACCTTTGCAAAGAAGATTGTGCTTAGTAGGACAGACGGACTACTACCCGGACTGCCGGATGGACGGACGGACCGCTGAACTTTCGAGAATTCCGGTTTCTTCCAAAATGGGAGCCGTCCAATCTGGATTCTGCGGCACTCCGGAGTGGCCCGGTAGTAGTACTAGATTGATACGGGTTTGCAAATCAAAGCGCTTCTGGTGTATTAATGGTCGTCTGTTTCCTGAATACCCGGATCATGGATGGGCACCATTAATCCGAATCCGTTCTTCGAACCATCATTTATCTCATACCTATACCAGGTTATTTAGTACTAATCTTCATGCTCCGCCAAGTACCGATGATATTCCGAACTCTGCCACATCACATATGCTTTCGATCTGTCCTTTTTGTAATACACCATCCTTATTGCGTACACCGTGAACTTACTGTTTTAGTTGTGTGTATCCTAACAATTGTCGTCATTTGCCGTGCTGTAGTACACTGTTCCCTCATCGCTTGGCGCACTGAGATACTCACTAGTACCACAATGGGCATTGGATACGAGGCATGGACTTGTTTTCAATACTGCTGTTCTTGCTGTCCACATAGTCGAAAGGTGACACCACGCCACCGTTTCCGAGTAGGTGAAAACCCTGAGCGGCTGAGCCTTTCATGTCCCACTGACAATCTCAGCACACCTTTTATTTATCTAAACATCAGTGAAACCTTTCAGTTGCGTGCGCGTCAGGTACAGGTTCGGATCACGAATACAACTTTGGGATACTTAAGAAGTACTTAGGCGTGGTTTTCAGCGTCGGGAATTAATCCATTGGAGAAGGATAAATACCATCATCCATGAGAAGAGGACATCCCAAGCCGTCTCAAGCCGAAATATAGCCATAAACGAAATGGGTAGATAGATTGCGAATATGCAGGCGAGATGAAGCAAATGACTCCAGACTTCAAGGTCAAGTTACTAGTGCGGCAGCCGAGCATAGACTGTCCGTCAATAGTGGCATGGACAATGGATGTATAATTACAAATAAGTATGAAACTTGGAAGAACAGCCATATAACGAATGGGTATGACATTCTGTTCACTACATATAATACAGGGTACGCAGATAGATTGCTTATTCAAGTGACAAAAAGGTTATGATTTCAAGTACAATACGGTAGCCATTAGTCCAGCTAAGGCTTGAGAAGACCATCAACTTCGTTTCCTAGTTCCAACCTCAAAGCGTCGGGCTTTCGTTCGACAGCCGCGCGCAAACAGCCTTCGAGGGAATGGAGGCACCAAGTGGCTCGTTGGGTGTTTTTGAAGACCCGGTAGATGATCCCCGTGCAGACGAGACAGGGGTTGCTGTCTCGATGGTACTTTGACGAGCCGCTCGTGGTTTTCTGATGATTATCAACTCCTTGATGCCCAATTGAACACGTGGATCGATTCCTCTGGTCCGTAGCACCATATTATGCTCTATGGAATAATCCAAGAGCGCACTGATACGAGCTATACAAATGGTGAAAAGGAAATCAAACGCGATAACAACCAATGCTTACTGTTCAAGTAAGCAGGGAACGCCGACCTCCGGCGCCTGATCAAGACAAGCATTTTAAAAAATGCCGCTTTGTACGGCACATGTTCCTCTGGACAAATCACGAGCAGGGTCGCGCCAATATTACTTGAATTCATAGTGGCGTATGCAATCTTCGTTACCGAGGGCATCAGTGGAAGAGCCTGCTAGAATTGAAATCATATTTACCTCCGTAAGAGAGATGATCTGCAACGGAAATATTATCGTCAGTTGACTATAAGAGATGAGTAATAACAGAGACAGTACCTTACGGCCGTAGTGGCGAATTTGGCGGTCTTCCGCATCACTAAACTTCATCATCTCACTCATGGCTTCCAGAAAACGGTCCAGAGACTCGAGACGATTAGCCAGTCTTCTAAAGACCCCCCAACGATAGAGATTAGGGACGTTGTTAGGCATGATGATTGACAGTAGAAGATAGGTGAGTATATGGAGAGATGCAAAGTGATGGAGAGAAGAGAGACACTGCCGACACGAAATATATAGTGCTCGGATGCCTGGGTCCACATATTTCAGAAGCGCTTGCCACAGGCCTATGTAAGTACATCAAAAGAACAAATATAAATTTCGCCACATAGCTGCGGTGCATTCCGTGGACTCTGCCAGTGGAACCTCTTTGTGGCATCATTGTCCTTCGTTCGGGCACATTTACTTTACTCCGGAGTCCCAGCATCATGAGTTACAGTTCCGAAAATGGGAAACACAAAATGTGGAGGGTGTGGACGGCGAGATATTGATTGCGAGCCATAAGATGCGTAAACCACAGATGTAATAAAGATCCACCTGCTTGAAGGGGCTCCAAGAATTTACCACGTTCGAACGTGTGGCTTGGATGCGGTGGTAGGTGGGTACGATCGATTTGAAAGTGTTTCGGACAATGACCTCATGAGTTCATAGTCCTTCCACAAGTTCCGGAGAATTAGGGAAGTTTGCTTCCTCGGCGCGCTCGCGTTGCCCTGTTGGTACGCCTTCGCAACATATGACTCCACGAACCGCACTTCATTTGTCATAACTTCTTCAGTGCATCCTCGTCCTTAAGCTTTATACTTGATATCGAAAGGAAAGATCACTGTGTTGCATTCGGACGTCATAAGGAGATCCTTTGTAAGAAACTCACAGGAGGAAATGCGAAGTTGATTGGGTTACTGCAAGCATTTCATGTATCACCAAGCTTTTCGATAAACGTATTGTCTTGATGGAGGCTCGAGCATACATCAAGGAGTTCAGCGGCACAGCATGCTTGGCGTGAGCAATGTTCCGGCCGCACTGCAGTTATCTGCGCCAGGCTTTTGTGATTATCAACGATGACAGTGGGTCAGCGCTAAGAATGTGGCACATACGAGTTTACATCCCAATAGGATTCAGCTTGCAGCCAACACTGGTGTCCCATATTCGATGAAGTTGCTCTATGTGATGGCTGGCGTCCGGAGATTCTTGCATAATTTGTTAGACTTGTATAAAACAGAATATCGTCGGCATCGAACCGACTTCAAGGTGTGACTTCTGAAGGTGAGTCAGCCGAACTCATCTCGGAGCAATGAAACTGTACCCATCTTTGGCCACATCCGTCGTGTACTGTGTAGTCGGAATCACGAATACAATCAAAGCATTGGGAAGTTGAAACGTAGCTCAATGTTATCTTTCAGGCACCCAATTTTGTGAACGAGCAATACGATGTTGTTCATGCGCCATGATGCATCATGTCCTGACGAAGGCATGAAAGGGGGATGTCAACCGTATCTTTGAAACGAGTGTATTTATATGGACAGAATGCTCAACAGCCCAGTCCAATATTTTCTTGAACCTCCTCCATTGATGATGGGCATTGAAGTTAGGGTAGGGAATGTCAATGTCCTCGGCAACGACTATTGTGAGTTGGCATCATCGGATATCCACATCCATTCTCGCTGCGAGGTGTTACTGGTACGATATCGCTGATCGACGTTTATTCAAGCATGATTCAAGCATGTCGAGTATGATGGTTTAAACCAGAGACTTATGAGGTGAGTATATGCCTCTGTCACGGATGAATATTGGTGCTTGGCAAGGAGATGAAAAGTGCTGAAAGGGGAGTAGAGAAGAGAACCGGGGCTTCAAGTCGGAAGGCATCAAGCGCACCTGGAAAAGTATGAGTAAGGCGCCAACCACGATATTCTGACATGCGTACTTTAGTCAGATCGCACTGGCTCTATCGTGTGTCCGAGTAAAGCAGAAGAAGAAGTTAGAGGGAATCGTGAAACCCTAGATAGTTGATAATCTATTAGATCAGCGTGAACGCCTGGCCACCTTCATCCACCTGGGCCGCAGGGAAAGAGTGCCGAATCGTACGTGAAGGGTAGAAGCATGATGTCGATGTCCTGGAGACCAATAGTCAACTGATTAGGCACCGTTCATCTGATTGAACCAACCCATCGCTGACCACTGTAGATAGTCATGTCGTCGACAACAATTGTCTGTGTTCAAGTATGATCTAAGGATATGGAGCATGATGGTTTTAAAAAAACTTACGGCTCATGTATTTACCTCTATCATGGATGCGCATGTCAAGGAGATGTGATGTGCTGAGAGGAGAACAAAGCGCACCCGACAAAGTACCACCAAGGTACCAGTTGTGTGAGCACAGAAAACATGTGCAATCATCCATGTGGGTCGGACTTGTGAACCAGGAAAATAAAAGTAGTGTGCCTGATCTCAGGCAGCCGATAGCCCCAAGAATTTCACAATAGCCAATTCCATTCATGATCTATAATCTATCTGAGCACAACGAAGAAGGATAAATGACTGATGAATGGAGGCCCAGATAGGCTCGACTATGCTTTACAGGACAGTGACGTCTGCAATCCGGACTTGACTTCGGCGAATGGGGAAAATCATGTTTGTGAAAACGAATAAAATCTGAGGGGAATAACGGATGGGAGCGAGGAGCGAGACAGGAGTAGGAAATATTGAATTAACAGGCAACGATTCGTGATGCCAGTGAGTGGAAGCCGAGATAGTTGCTAAGGTAATGAGTCTGCTTCCTGGTCATCGTCATATTACCCATCTAGGCTGTCCGTATGAATAGAGTGCGAGGTGCTTGGTCGCGGGGAGTCAGAGCATATCCTGGATCAGGAAAGTTCACGGAAGATGCTTACCTTGTGTTGATGAGGTAAAACATAGATACAATCTCGCGACAAGAAATAGCACATGTGAACGATGAACGCAAAGTGTGGCAGTGAAGGCGACACTGTGGGACCATCGTCCCAAGTAAACTCGTTTTGCGCAGGGAGCACTAGTAATTACGTGAAAAAGGGCAGAGAGTGGGTGCGAGTGCATGCGATGGCGATGGTAGTGACCTAGTGACCAGGGTACCGGTTAGAGAACGTTCTGGATATTGGAAGATGTGAACTTTGACGGGTAGCGTTATATACAGCTTGTGGAAGAATGTGGACGGAGAGTGATTGTATCTATGTATGGTGGGAAGTCTTTGAGGCAAGACTGTATCTGCGTCCAAATCAGGGCAGCTTGAACTATGAACAGGTAGCTTAGGCTTCTGGGCCAGATCCGACAGGGCTTTGCGAAGTAAGTTCTGAAAAACACGTGAGCCAACAACGCTGAATTAATCGCAGTAGAGCCCACCAAAGAATGTAATAGGTGAGTGAATTCCAATTTGAGGATACCATGAAACCTCCACCAACGTTGTCCGGATACTTGACCTTGGGAGGAGAAACCGCTTCACCGGCTTTGTGCATCTCCTCAAATGTCATTCGAGTTGGTGGAATCGGGGTCACGGCTTCATGGAGATGAATACCTAGTACCAGCGTGGCACGATCGAACGACTTGTCCCAAGCGGCATCAATTTCTGGTGAAGGATGGTCGTCTACGTTTGTAGTCTCGTACTTGCAGCACTATACTCATAACTAGTTCGGTGGAACAGGTTACAGCTTATAATAGTTCTTCCCAAGATGATCAAAGTGAAAGGTGGTGACTCAACTGGTGACTCGAATAAGGCATTGTCCGATCCTCGCTAGCTCGAGGTCGAAATGTGGTACAGTGATTTGCATTAGGGAGAATCCGCGAATCTTGCTTGAGCCCTCTTGAGCCCAAAAAGTTGGCAGTGACTCATATTTGAATGGGGAATTGGGAATTTGGGATCGTCGACTTGAGGATTGATTCAAGTGACTCATCACGTGCTCAAAATGGAATAGTAAGCGCTGGCAGCCCTAATACCGCATCCAGTGGGCTCATCGATATTTGCAGCCGTGACTCGACGTTCGGTGACCTCCGTCCCAAGCTTTCACTCGTCCAGCATGTCCATACCTGAGTTTCATTAATTGTATATTTTGCCGATAGCTGAGATACCCTGGATATGAAGCAAGAAAAACGCGGACAAGAGCCACCATCGCCCATATACGAGTCTTTACCTCCGCCCTGGCTACCTAAATCACACAGAACTGCTGATGTTGGTGAGCACCCTCTACTACGTAAAGAATCCTACAGAATCATCCTTATGCATGTCTAGGATACCCTGGTTTTCATCCGCCCCGCCCAGGACAGGATGAGGATGTCTTGTCGGACAAACATATAAAGGACGGTTTCTTGTTACCGCTTCCCGTGCCCGTAAGCTTGAGGTTGATCAATGTCAAATGTAATGGCTGATGATGTTCAGGATGAGCACCAAAGCGCTGCAGTTGTATTTCTACAGCAGGATGCAAAGGGTGGCCGCATGTTTGACCAGACCGTGCTTGCAGACCTCGAGCACCTCATGAATGATATCTTTACTCGAAAGGCAGACAGTTACGGTTGCTATACAGTGAGCTGAATATCTCGGTGCCGAACTTCGTCCGACGGTTTCGTAGGTCATCAACATTCAAGATTCCTTCACGAGTGACCATGAGTGATACCAAGCGACAGACATGGTTCGCTGAACTCGCAAACCCCGATGTGCCCTTAAGTAAACTTGGCAAAAGTGTGCCACATGGTGCCAAAGGACACGATCTACTCGACCTTCTTCATACCAACAACGTTGCCATACCTCGTGCGGTCTGGTTTCTTCGAGTGTTCGGCGCGAATGAGACTGTGAGTGCTGATGTAGTATTTCTCAACTGCGTGATTTATATGATCCAAGGCTGGCCTGAGAAACAAACCGTCTTACAATCCAACCCAGTACAGCGTAGATTGGGCGATAGTGGTGACAAGCTATATCAAGAAACAGCTGGCTGATATTGCTCTACCAAGCGCCCCTAGACCTGGAATGAATATCAAACAGACATTTAAGGGCGTCCTTTCTGACGCAGAAAGCCGGGACCGATGGGTTTCCCGTTTCACGTACTGGTACAGTGTTTGATTCAACTATCCAAATATTCGCTAATAAAGTCAGCCTGAAACTATTGCGACCGTTCTATGATGAAGGTCTCGTAGACCATCGCACTTTCCTTACATGGATCATCCATCAGATGGCGGCCTGCAACCTTGCTCAAGCAGGATTTGTAGCACATTTGGCTGATGAGTATCTCGATGGAGTTCTTGAAAAACGCCCACTCGCGAAACCCCTTTTAGACGCATGCATCGCGAAATTGAATGAAGTACGTTTTATGGCCACATACATTAATTTATAGCTAACCATTACAGATCAGGACGATTTCCGCTCAGGGTCACCTGAACAAGCTTGAAGAGATTTTGAAGTCTCTGATTCAGGTATGCATCGACCACCGCATTACTATCGCATACTTAAAGATCCGAAATCAGCGCATCTGTGTAACCCTTCCGGACACATTCGTTTCTCCCAGCACATGGCTAGCGCATTCATCGCTCTTGCGTTCTGCACTTGCTGGCCCTGCTGATAGTGGTCTCAGTGACTGTCGACGACGTGACTTCCAGCAATTTATTTCGGATAATTTGATAGATATTCAGCGTCGCAATGACGCCATGCTATTTCGCAATCTCCCGCCGCGAAAACTCGAGCGTCTTGGGTCCCTGGTCCTTGATATTCAAATCCTAAATTCGATCTGCAGTAGCACGGACATGTCCACTATATCGTTTTTCTCCTCTCAAATTCCTGATTGCACATCAAGCTCAAGTTTTGTCGACAAACTCGACACTTTGTTGACGTGGGCTGTGACGCCACTGCAGTATGGCTCTCATCGTCCATATGCAGCTGTGACCCTTCTCCGAGCATATCACGAACGCAATGCACGCCGCGAACTATCTTCAGCCACCCTTCACGATCACCTCTTCGATTGGCTCGACTCGAAACCTGTTGTCCGGGAGGCTGGAAATCTCAGGGCAGTAGCGGGTCTGTTTGGGAAATTAATGAAGAGTGGGCTTTTTGATTACGCAGCTTATGTGCAGAGGCTCGTTGCGAGAGGCGAGGAGGGACTCTCTTTGAGCGAGGTATGTTTATTGTATACCATATCGACGTTATTCTCTGACTCAAATTATTCTTCAGCCTGACGAAACGGCTTCCCTTCATCGTAATTTCCTTCGCTGGATACCGTTACAGAACACGACATCATCTCTTTTAAACCAGCGCAAAGTTATTTTCTACGGAGCGCGTGCACGACAGACCCCTGAAGATGTCTGTGAACGTGAGATGCGAAGGGAAATTCGCGCAATCTTGCCACTTGTGTTTGGGGGTATGTGAGACTAATATTTTCATTTAGTATCTATTGCTAATAAATCATAGGTGACACTCTTCCGCCTTCAGTTTCTATGGCATCTCTCCGAACCAGCTGTCCTACTGTGCTCGGCGCACCATGTTTCGAACAAGTGCGAACGATCAAACAGTGGTTACTTCCGAATTTACACAAATTTACCTCGAGGTGCGCAAAATCAAATCCTTCATCTTCTATATTGACGGAGCGCGCAGATCGCAATCATTAGATGAGATCAGTACTCTGAAGACATACAGTACTGCGGTTGAACTCCTCAGGTACACTCATAGCTATGGCTCTTTACTGGAGGTGTGTTCTGCTCCTTCCAAAGTTTGAATTATTGACGGCTCTTGTGCAGCTGAGTCTCTCGGTCTTGTCCCAGACATCCCACGCAGAATTATTGACTGCCGTCGGAGAAGTTTTCCATCCGCTTCGCAACTATATGGACGGCAATGAACGTCACTGGCACGATTGCCTCCACACTCTATTCTACTTATTTACTCTGGCGAACGCAAGGGGGGAAAGCCAGATCTCTCCTGACCTTGATTATTGAGATGGACGATGGACGACAGCTCGATGCGACGGCCAAAACTCAGGTGGAGAACGATAACTCGGCGTTCACGAACGCGCTGGCTCCTAAGACTGACCATCCAGAAGCCGTTCCGTCAGTCTTGCCCGAAATTTTACTTCTAGCTGAAGATTCCAAGCCGGACGCTCCAACAATTCTCGCAAACAGTCTCTGGTACAGATATCGCACGTCCGGAGACTGGGCATGGAAAGTCTGGGACAATATCGTCGCTTCGTTACGCCAAGTTCCCGTCATGAGCGATGATCATGAGCGTCGTCATAAATACGCCCTTCGCTATGGTCAGTTTCTACTCAATGTTGACCACCACCTTCCTGGCGGCATCGATAATGACGTGCTCCAATGGTTTCTCGGTACTGGAAAAAGTGAAGTGCTAGGATTGACGCTTGAAACCTGGGATGTGCTTAGAGTCGTCCTTCTCTTCCTATGCGTCCGCGGAGCGCTATCGACAACCACGCTGCTTCAAGGATTAGTTTACCCTGCTTGGCAACTGGGAGCCGATGCAGGCCCTCTCTACCAGCCTCACAATATGGAAACGTTTATACAGGCAGCCAGTAAGCTTTTTGACGCGCTCGTGCTCCAGGAGGAGTGTTTCATCAGCCCGATTGTCCCACAAGAGCTCCTTGACGCACAACGGATCCACACTTGGAGACAGGATGCCTTCCGGGAACCTCATTTCACCCTTCTCGCCAGTAATATACCGAATTTAGTGCTCCTGGAGCACAATAACGTCGTTTCAGATGAACTTCGCGGAATTGCGCGAGACCTTCGCCTGCGGACAGTGCGAGAGTCGCGATATCAGACAATCATGCTATCGCAATCTTGACGCTGTCCGCAGGGGCTTCGAGCACCCTATTCAGTCGGGAATGGTCGCAGAAACGCTTTGCGAACCGCTCGTTAACGCATTGAAAATGATTTTGAGTGAATCAAACGAAGGTACGTGGATAATACAGTATATATTGACTCTGAGATTCACGTTCAACCGTAGATACAGATGTTAACTCGTTTTTAAGCACTGGGATATCATCCGTTCTGAGCCCGTGCACACTGGCGGCGACTGCAGTTCAGCTACAGTTTGGGCTGAGGCAACTCGGAAGGGCGCTTGCTTGTGAATCGACGAAACAGGGTGCAAGTGCATCGCTCGATAAGATGACGTCCTTGATATTCCACCACTCGATGGCCTCGGAAGAAGCATACTTCATCGCAGAGATGGCGAGGGGCGTCGATGGACCAGTGGCCATTAAGGTAAGTAGTCTATACTCGGATTTGGCGCACACTGAAAGTGATGAGTAGTTCATAAATAACGGCTTCAAGAGTATCGTTGATATTCTTAATCGAGCCCCTGCTCCTTCGACTCCCGAATCACTACTGGCACGGGTTGGCCGTGCTGGCGAGGTGCTTCGCGTACTATCACATGTCTCAGAGCCACTGCGAGAGGAAGGAACCGAACTAGATCTTGATGTCTCAACGCAAGAGCGGCTTGCGAAAATCGTTCTGGAGTCATTTCAATTCGCAAATACGACGTTTTCCAAAACGACTGATCACTCTCTGCGCGTTATCACTGAAGCTGTCATATTTTTGGCTCGACTCCTTCAATTCGACCTTGGTTTCTTTGGGATACGAACGACGCACTTTCGGGAAACATGTGAGAGGATGATGCCAGTTCTCTTTGACCTTGTCGTGGTATGTACATAACGCATTACGTATCCGAGCTCTGAGATAACATGATCGCAGATTCATGCATGCGGCCCTGCACAAGACGCTGTTGCATTCGCGCTCCTTCTTGATACCTTGTACTTCCTTATAGACGGTATGCTGACCTCTAATCACTGTGTTCTACCTCGTTTAAATCCAGTTCTCATAGATCTTTTCCTGCACTCCAAAACTTCGTCGCCAGACCCGTTCAAGTATTACCCCACGAAACTTCAGTCACCCCATCTACATTCCCTCCCTGGCTCACATCGTGTACGACTCATGACACTCTTCCCACATCTCCGGCCAAATGCAATTGTTCAAGACCTCGTCCATGCTCATCGAGACAGCACAGGTCTCCTCGTCTATGGCGCACCCGTTCAGAACCGCCCATGGGAATGGATTGAGAACCTCGACAAAGATGATGGCATGATCCGAAATAATGCCTCTCTGTCTCTCGAACTGTTCGGGGCGAAGGCCACAGGCGACCATTTGATCGGCTATGTGCAGGATGACGAACGTTGCATACCAACGAGACTTGAAAGTGTCTTCGAAGATAAATTAACGGCCGAAAGCGTCTTCCGTCGAGACTGGCGTGAAACACGACTTCCAGCCCACTCAGACGTCCGTGCTGGGGAGCGCGGGGTAGGAGAGGGGGCAGACGAGCTGGGAACTTTGCCTTCTTTTGGATTGCAAAAGCCAGGATCGAGAAGGGTGTCGCCTTCCTCGTCGGTGCGTTCTCGGGGATCGGTCAGCTCGGTCCGTCGTAGTCCGGCATCGCTCTCGGGCAATCGGTCCGCCGTTTTCTACGAGGGAAGGTACCGGAGAGAGTGGTATCGGTTCTGGTCCAGCGGCAGAGCGCAAACGAAAGGCTTCGGGTTCTGTGGATGATGATGACGAGGTCGAAATAATTGAGGGGCCTATAGCGAAGAAACTCAAAGTGAAGCCAAAACCAAAGAAAAAGTAGCTGTATACTTCCTTGACCGGTCTTGATCAAATGTTAATCAGCGTGTTGTCTTGTTTACATTGTGTCTGGTATAATAATGCCTACAGTGCAGGTGCTGTACCATAGTAGTTTATGGTATACATATGTATGATAGAATTACAAATAACGTAGAAGGATGAAGTATTTGTATGCAGTACACTGAAACTTATTATCGAGGGAAAAAGGCATCAAATGGACCCGCCTGCTGCCCACGAATATTAGAAAACTCCCGGGGAGTGTCGGGTTGCCCAAGGACGGTCCCGACGATGGAGACCATGTCCTTGATTGCAAAATTTACAACTGGTTTTCCCGCGACCTCCTTCCGACATCCCGGACAGGTATACTCCGGTTGCTGTTGTCGGGAAGCATTATACAATGCGCGCAGTTGCATCTGAAGCGGATACGAGATGTATGGATCAATGTTGTGAAGAACTTGAGGAAAATCCCGAGGCAAGGGTTTCCGGTTAATGTTGTATGCGGGATGTGCGCGAATATGTTTAGCGAGTGTTTCGTTGAACCAGCCTTTGAGGCACCCCTCGCAGTAACAGTGTCCACAGTCAGTGAGACTAGGGCAGAAAGGTTGGTACACGGAAAGCGAGTGAAAATGAGAACTTACAGGTAAGGAGAGTACATCAAATGCGCGCATATATCACAAGAGAGGCTGTCGCCCAACTTTGTAGCATCCTAAACAGATGATTTGAAAAGGATGAGAAAAGATGGAAAAGAGCACGTACAATCAATCCCGATGTGCCTTTCGCTTGCAAAGCGGCAAGTTTCTCCTGTTGCAATTGGATCTCCTGATGGCCGGCAATAATTTCTCGAGATTGTGCGGCAAGCTCTTGACTTTGCTCCTCGAGATGCTTCATCGAATTGTTAAGTTGTATGCGCTGGTCAGCGACCTGCTTCTGTAGGTGCTCGTTCATCTAATAGCCCCCTGTCAGTGTGAATTCAAATTCTTATAATCGGAGAGACGTACCTGCTTCAATTTCGAATTCTCCTTCTGCCAAGATGAGCCATCATTTTCCGAAGCTTTGACATGTATCGAGCCTTCATCGGTCGACGAAAATAACTCCAGGATCTCACTCTTCGGACACGGCTTCTTCCTTTTGAATCTTGAGGATGAACCATTTTTTCCCGGTCGGGTATCCTCGTCATCCGAAGACAGAACGATGACTTCGGGGACGGTAGGCACGTTTGATTTCGGTTTCGAGCGGCTGGGTAGATTTCGTGTAGGTGATGTGTTTCTTTCTTTACGAGAGCGCGGCTGGCTGGATGAGCGTGTCGCGGGCATGATGCAGTTAGAAAGTGTTGCGAATTGAGGAGAAATGACTTGGGTCCAATCACTTAAGTACCCCGTGACTTGTGGACACTGTGGCCCTGATCATAATGAACTGGACAAATTAAGCCCCTACCTCTGTTTATGTAAGGCCACTATTTCTTAATTTGTTCACTCCGCGCTCAGTGGACACTGCAGGATATAAATCGAACACCGACTTCGACGTGGCCGGTGACCACATCAGTGTGGAACAGTGTGGCCGTATTACCACTACCTAGTACGTACTTGTTGCTCAATTTGACCACACCACACCATTCAATACATTGTATGCTGGCAGAGGCTGTTTCTAGCACTACCGTGACTTAATGCCAGTGGATCCCGGATCACACAAGATAAGATACAATTCAATGAGAACCCTCCTTGACTCCAATAACGCAATATCATCGTTGATAACTTAGCTTACCGGTATCATTGGCAATAGGGCATAATTGAGAAGCTTCGCGTGCACTCCATGGCACAGACTGGTGACTTGTCTCGTAGAGGGGCTAGTCACCTGTCTATCCATGACAGTTCAGTGGTTAATACTGTGTACAGTACCCATAGAGCCACTATAAAAAGGGGCGTGCGTTATCTATGGTAATGCCCATTACCCAGTTGAACCTCCCCGTCTGGCTATCGCACTCCTTCCTAGAACATCTACTCTGACTTGGAACGGATAGAAACTCCAGATGAACTCGCCACTTGCTAGCAAGCCATCCATAACCTCTGGTTGCGATGTCGAAGTTGTTGTTCGGCGCCCCACTCCTTCAAACGTCCGTAGATATACTCTGCTTTTGATCTTCTGCATTACGCAGTTTATATACGCACTCACCAACTCGGCATTGTTCTCCGCCATCCCTTCCCTTGTCCGGAAGTTTGGCTTCACCCAAAGCCAGTCAGTTTGGATCATTAGTGCATACCAATTGACTTTTGCATCCTTCCTCCTTATGGTGAGTCCTGCCTTCGTAGCTGATTAAAGCATTCTTACCACATATTTGCAGAGCGGAAAAATCAGCGATATATACAATCCTAGTCAGTCTGACCGAGGGTGTCTTTGCGAGCTTTTTATTAACATTTAATGAAGAATACACCTTCATAACCGGCAAATTCATTGTCGGGGTAATCTCCATCGGCCTCGGTTTTGTCTCCGATGGTATCTTATTCCTTGCACTGAGAGCCCTAAGTGGAATCGGTTGCATTCCTTCGCTGCAGTCACGAACTTGGGGCTCATTTGATCATTTCAGCCGCATCGCTTACCGTACCATCGGCCCTAGCACTGCTTGTCGGACTTTTCCCTGAGCCTAGGCATCAAGCAGTAGCTATTGCGTCATTTGGAGCTTGGGGATCAATTGGCATCGGTGAGCGACTTCCGCTTCGTAACGTGGTCCAGGTATTCACGATCAAGATTTCAGTATTGGGTCTAATTACCGGTGCCCTTTTCGTCGAACATGCCGGCTGGAGCTGGGTATTTTGGTTTGTGCCGATGGTGATCATACCAACTACATTCATTTCTGCGGTACTTATTCCTACACCAACAAAAAATGTGGTTCGAGAGAGCGGTTTCACCAAATTCAGGAGTCTTGATGTCACCGGAATTTCAATTCTTACAGGTCAGTCACGATTTCAAATCGTCTATTCACACCATACTGAGCACATGATCAGTTGCCGTTATACTCTTTATATTTTCTGTGACAACAGGGTCCACTACGAGCTGGGGATCAGCCATCACACTAGCACCCTTGGTCATCGCCATCGCCATGATTACTGCATTCTTTTTCTGGGAGGCCTTTCAGCCAATTGAATGTGCCGCCGTGTATGTCTGCTCGATTGTTCAAGGTCTCTAATTGACATTGGTTCACAGACCATCTTCCACATGGTTCATTCCGAATTTCTCTGTTCTATTCGGAACGGCTCTTCTACCATATTTCTGGTGGGCAAACATATTCACCACCTATGTGTCCCTGTGGCAAGATATCTACAAATGGAGCCCTATGTCCTCTGCTGTCCACATGTGAGTATAGACCGTGTGCTTAAACCAGACCGGTGTGATGATCTAACGACGCCAACGTTCTTTCAGGCTTCCAATAGGCATCACCGCCTTTGTCTTCAGTTTTGCCAGTAGGGTAAAGGGACTCAGCAGCATGAGTGCCAAGTGGCCCATACTTTGTGGAGCCCTAATGATGATGTTGTCACTTGTGTTATTCGCCTTCGCCGACACTCCTGACAAGTACTGGCCGTTGGTATTCCCCGGATTCATCCTCGGTTCCGCCGGTGCAATGTTAGCCAACATTTCTGCAAAGTGTGTGCCAATCTTATTCTCAGAGCACTAGCGTTATATCAACTCACACAGCATCGCGATATTCCGAGCTACGACCCCCTCCTATGGCAGGCACCGTGGGCGCCATATTCAATTGTGGTCTGCAACTTGGCTCCGCTGTTGGGTTGGCTGCCGTCGGTTCTATTCAGGCGAGTGTGCAAGTCAGAAATGGGGGCCCTTCAAATTATCAAGGCCAGTCTGCTGGCTTTTGGTTCATGCTGTCCTGCATCTCTGTTGCTGCAATGGCCGTTATAGTCTTCTACCGCACCGACACGGCCCGAAATCGTGTCAAAGGAACAGTTGTCTGTGATGAAAAGTAAAGCAATGTTCAGTGATATTGCAAAAGGCTATAGTTTCTTGCCCTGAGAGCGAAGTGAAGGCGGAGTGGTGGATGCGACGAAGGAAGGCGCGCCGAAATGTGTTACATGAGGTGATGAAGGCAACAGGAGGGGGCACTAAGTCTTGAGGACTAGTTATGATCTTTATAGTGACAGGTTATGCGTATTGATGTAGAATAATGACAAGGCTTGGGATGAGGCTTTATGAAATTGAGACTCACAGAGTTCTATTTGCTTACCTCAGTATTTTTGTTGACGTGGATGGCGGCGGAGCAGCGGTAGAAGTCAGAGCTAGCGGACCACGAACATGTGGAGACCCGCCAGTTACTATGTGTTGACTCAGCTACGGACACGACTGAGGTACTCTGGGTGCGTGGCCCTTGCCCTTGGAACTCCTAATCCAGCGGGCGGTGTATCGGAAGGGTCGTAATGAGATTTATATATATTTGAGAGTCGCCCTGTGTTTAAAGTTGTTGTTCATGGAGTAACCTTTAGGTCAACGGTTCGCATTCGGTCATCATGGTTGTTCTAACGGTACCTGTTATTTGCCTCCATACTATGTTATTGGTCCTCGAGTTGCAGCCGGTGATCGGTTGATCATTCGGATAGTCAAAGCATTATAGGGTACATCTTGAGGGATGCTGCAAGGTTGGCGTACAACGGATGTCTATATGACATCGGTACTGTTATAATTGTCGGCCACACGCTACAAGGCGCTATCCGAAATACCCAATACAGGAAACTAGCCCAATCCTTAGAAAATCAGTCGTTCCTTCCATATCTGGAAAGGTACTATGATGGGTGATGCTTTAAGATCGCGAGGACGAGGGCATGGGAATGGATATATCTGAACATACAAATACAAGCTGAATCGTAGTAGAGTTCAGACTAAAAATGAGAGGGAGAAGGAATACTCGATATGTGTGAGTAGGGTGTAGATGTGGACGAGACAAACGAGTATGAGACGCATGATATAATATTGATGTCCGAAGGAAGATATGTGAAGAGCTAGTAGCGCATGCCTCAGCTTGTTTCGATAATTAGGTAAGGGATGTACGTGCCAGAAATGATCAACACTTGATCAATAACCACGGCCGTAACCTCCTGGATTGCCATTTCCACCCTGTTGACCATAACCTTGCTGGCCACTGTAGCCGGTCGGGGCAAAACCGCCTGCATACCCCGCGGCTTAAAAGTTACATCAAGAATGGAAATATACATGTGAAATGGTATTCACCTGGGTAGCCTCCACCGTAGCCACCTTGACCGTAGCCACCTTGACTTCCAGCATAACCACCCTGACCTCCATACCCAGGTTGCTGACCGTAACCGGCGCCACCTGAATACATGTTCAGGACCTTTGCTATATTTGCAAACTTGTCACGAACCAGAGTAGCCGCCACCACCACCACTATAACCACCTCCAAATCCTGCAGCGCCGCTGCCTCCGGTACCAGAGCTACGGGGATTAGCGAGGTTTACTTTAATCCTCCTGCCATCAAGCTCCTGCTCATTCATGTTGGCAATAGCATGGTTTGCTTCCTCAGTCGTCCCGTAGGTGACAAAGCCAAAACCCCGAGAACGGCCAGTGTCACGGTCACGCATGACAATAGACTGAACGGATCAACTCAATCAAAAAAGATAAACTGGGTAAGATAACTCGCGCACGTCAAGCACTGGTCCAAAACCGCTGAAAGCCTATATTGTGCAAGGTCCCAAGACCGAAAACGCGTAAGAACATGCACCTCGAGAACAATTTCAGACGAAGATGACATAGCGAAGCAGCCCAAATCAACAGCCCGCCCGTCACAATCGTATATAACTGACATTGCGCAACGTGTCATCAGTGGTGTTCCAACTCAAATTTCTACATGCAGAATTTAACGAATCAGTTTCGCTCCCCTCCGCCGCAAGACGGGAGAAGCGCTTGCGAATTAAGTCAGACGGCATAGACTGACCCAACGTAGATTTTTGCACTTGATTGTGAAGACATAGTGAAGGAGATCACTGGTAATACAATAGAGTCTTGAAAACTGTTACACGAGACCTGAACGAAACGGAGACCAAGACACTGTAACGGAACGTGGAGGTTCGAAAAAGAGTTTGAGCAAAAAGGATTTATCGACGATCACCCTTATATTCGAGCCCCTTTATTTCAAACTCCGGTCTGAACTCTAAGAACTTGACTCCAGACTAATTTCCTTTTTAGGCTTGTATTGATCGAGCTACCTCCGCGCTCCTCCCAATTCAGAACACCGTTTTTTGATGCTTGGCAAGCGATATGTTTTCTCTCACGATACATGGACTCAAAAACATTCAAACACTAGGTTTGACGACCTGATCCAGAGTCGTATTTCAGAACTTGTTTCAAATGCCTTTTTATCATCATCGTGATCAAAAGGAGCTAGGCTTATCTGCATTCATTCATCATTGAATCAAGCACGAGACGGAGACAGCCATCGTTTCTTATCTGACCCGCTTCTCGATGCCGGTATGGCAAGCTTGACGGGCTACATATCTTTCACATCCATCAGACTCATGGGAGGCAAGACGCGGATGATGCCGCCAAGAGCTCGTGCTCTCGTGTATGTTCTCAAATTTTCTTTCCAACGTTCGGCAGTCACCGAGCAGAAAAATTTCCGCGGCGTTGAATAGGACTTGGCAAGTACTGTTATCAACAAAAATTACCGTTCTAGTCTTGACAGAACGATCGAATTGGTAGGTGCAAGTAGGTGCAACGAGTATTTCTCGGCAGCAATATCCGGTCTAATGGCTAATGATGGGGCACAGGGTCCCGTGAACGGGTGCTCCGAATCCGTTCAGTTGAGTCAGAGTGTTAGCTTTTCGAGACAAACAAAAATTTGAGGGTTGAGTTCGATTTCAAATCAGTGCTATTCATTGACTTTCATTGCCAACCTGGAGCACTTCTCCCGCCTCCCACGCATGGCTTACATCTCATGTCGTATCTTGCTGGATAACTTGCGACAGCGTCATGTGTCACCTGTTGTGTTTGGGATTGGCATAGTAGCTACGCCCCCCCGTCTATCACATGGTATGTGCTTGTTTTTCTCAGGATCAGTACAGTGCTCACAGCATTGGTCAGTTCCCCTACGCCGCTTCGGACTCGTCTACGGCATCTACCGCACTGCCGTGTGCCTGGTATGGGTGCCGGGTCCTGCAGGGTCCTGCGTGATACGGCCAGTGATAAATGTATTACCTTCACAATAACTCTTGAACTCATTCTTGAATTGCCTCATTAGTTCAAGCAATATGGACGTCTGCAGTACCATGTACGGGTGTCCATAGGTGTCAATCTATCATTAGTTTGATCTATTATTTTAGCCTGCTAGATGCGTTCAGCTGAGAGCTATTGGAGATCGACAACTACCGTTCGGCGGATCTTGTGATCATACTCAAATTAACAGCCGAGCGCTTTCTACCTTTGGCAGCTGCGCCCCAAATGCGCTTGGCATTCAAACAACAAGATATTCATTGTTACAACGGTGGAACAAACGCGATCTAGTAGCAGGATGCAGCCAAGCTGATCAGGCAAGACCTCCCATGAGTGATATTTTTGTGGAAAGAGAGATCATTTGAAAATGCCAATGACAATTGGTTTGGCCTACGAGCACGCGACACATGGGCCACATGTACAGGACAAACCCAACGTTTTGGTAAGTGCGTTAATTGTCATGATTAGATCATGATGTCAGGGGGAAATTCATTACGCTAAATCGGCAACCGCCGGACGTACATAGTCCCAGACAGTCGCGCTTACGCCCTCACTAGCGCCTTGTATCAGTTATCATCGTATGGCTGCCCAGCGTCCAGATTTTGGATCCGGTAATTGCAAACTCCTCATGCTGTCTTTTTATTACAGTGGTCAGTATCTTGCGCCACACGACGCCGATGATCAGCATGGCTTTTATTGATCCTTTCTTCCTTTTTTGTGATGGACCGTCCATTTCCAGGTGATCAGCTTCACCCCGTTCAGCACGGCGAAGCTTGTACCAGTAACTCCTGATGTATGTAGAGAAGAGCGAATCCACGGGTTTGCTGTCCTGACAACAACAATTGTGTTATCAAGGTATCCAATTTTACTGTGCATCCCATTCTGGCACCAGATACGCATTTCGCAATGAAACTCTGATAGATAAGTGCAACGTCCAGCGAGTCAAAGACTTAATCTGACTTCCGGTCCATACCGTATACCAAAAAGGTCAATTACCAAAGGATACAAGTCGGCGTCGTCTTAAGTACGTTTTCATTTCAGCGTCCATGTCATATGCCGAACGGCAAGATAAGCAAGTTAACTCTGGTTTCACGTATCAGTGCGTAATGAAAGCTGTGACACCTGTACGACTGATCCAAGAGACACAGACTTGTGCAAATTAGTGAGTTCCCGTCATCCTTTACTCTTCTTCAACGATTTTTTTGAAGGTCTGCACTCATGAGCTTACTTATCCATCATGAGTTGCGCGACCCTCTCTGACATTTTCTGGGCTTCGTAACCGTCTTCTTGGTGTGGGGGGTGCCTGTGGGGAACACCGTAAAGTCCGTTCGAAGAGATGCCCATTCACTTGTTCTCGCAGTCGAAGGAAGGTCTACCAATGCAAATAGGATCGCAACAATTCGTGACACTAGTATTTCTAGTCGAGAAAAAATTCCAGTGCTACAAGTCGTTGAGTGGACTGTATCGATAAGCAAAATTGAATGGCTTCTACAGCTAGTCGACAATCATTCTGGACCTGGACCTGCTAGTGGAAGTTGCACTGTAACATCGCTTTCAAATCGAATAGCTTCCAGCGATGCAATGTTCGACGTACTACGCAGCTGAGGGACATCTGAACCAAAACAAAACACGTGCGATCATGACCTGCGTGTATACGCTGGAGTTAGGCGTCGCATACTAGCATGAGCTCACGACAGTCCTCAACTCATGGGTGATATGAGTTTGCGGAGTCGATTTTGTGGTGGTATCCATACATGCAACCGAACTGCTGTATGAGCACATCACTGTCCCCTCTGCTTCTCGTCTCACCAAAGACGCCGCATACTTCTTGACCAATTCGTGAATAGTTTCCAGCGATGTATTACGCACCTGAGGGGACATCAGAATCAGTATCAAATGCGATGGCTGGTGAATGAGTGTGTATATGCATACTGCGAGCTAGGCATTTCAAGTTGGAGGACTATCACGATAGACCTCTCACCACGCAATCTTACATACAGTCGCCCCCCCCTAGTCTCATACATCGCCCATCTAAAATGGCCGGCAGGAACGGCGGACTGGTGGGGTACGCCTTACACCAGTGCATTTGGGGATGTGACGAAGGGGCGGAGCATAGGGCTCCATGACTAGATAGTAGTGTCCTACATAGAGTATCACTCTCAATGGTCATAAAATTGGAAACAAAATAAAAAATAAAAAATTGGAGGACTGGACGTGCCAGAATGACATAACTTCGGAAAATCTTCGCGAAATGTTTGACTGTCTGTGCACACGTTGGACTATCTACCCAAAACCAAGTACTTCCCAGTACATTTGGTTGCGAATAGACAGTCCAATGGCTGTAATAATGCGTCTTCGCCTTGCTGAAAGTGTCGACATGAGTTACGAGGAGTTATCCTAGCGCATTTGTATGTGTATTCCCGTCGCACTAGTACTAGTGGAGGTAAAACAGAAGACGACTTGCCTAAGGGAATCTGCCCTAAATCGGATGAATCGGATGAAACGCGCTAGAATTCAAGTTGAAATGAATCGACAGCCAACAGCATTATTATAAGGTTTCCCTCGATGTGGAAAGCCTGTCGGAGTAAACCAGGATGATGCTAAGTGTGTAAATTAAATTTGGAGGATGTCAGCTTACAACGTGGGAGAGCGGTAAGAACTTTAACCAAGTCTTGTTCTAAATCAGTACACCCGAACAACGTTCATTGAAGTCGTACTTACTGCGTCTTGAATACGCAGTGCATTATCCAAAGGACATCTGTAGCACCTTCCAAGATCTCATCCTGCAAGATCAAACGTATCAGAACACCAAGCCACTTGAATAGGGTACTCACTCACCGACTTTCCTGCAACTGCAGTCACCAGTGACGCTCTTGTCGTGCACTGTATGTGCAAGGGAGAACCGGCTCAATCCGATTGACATCGGCAAGATTGACAAAAACCATGAATGATGCCGTCTACAACCAGCGTCTGGCCCGTCTATCGTGTTGGAATTTCCCCAGCACTAGTACTAGTAGAGCTAAACGAGCTGGTGACGAATGCGTTCTTCGGAATGGGTCGACAGTCGACCGTATCACAATAATCCCGTAACAATAGTTTGGGTGGGAGTAAGCCCTCGCGATTAGGGCAATGTCCGACAGAGGGTCTTCGACCCTAAAGGACAATAAATATGATTTTTGGTTTAAAAAATTCACGTGATACTGTAACGTGAAGCCTGTTGAGGTAAACCAGGAAGCACTGAGTCAAGTGTATAAATTAAAGTTAAAATCAGGTATTGGAGGGTGTCAGCTTACAGCATGAGAGAGCAGTAAGAACTTTGGCAAGGACTTGAAGGTTCTGTTCTAAATTAGGCATCAGAGATCCCCAGTCCACGTTGACTGCGGTGGTTTTCGACGTTATAAATGGCCTCATATTCCAATATAACGAAATATATGTATATCGGCATGTATGACGACATCTGCGGCTCGCCAGTCCTCTGATCTGAGGACACCCGAACAACTTTCAATGAAATCGGGTTGTACTGCGTCTTGATGAATAGTGCATTACCCAAAGGTTATTTCGCACCTCTTGTAAGCTCAAACTTGTCAAAAAACCAAAACACCTTAATCAGCTACTCACCATAATTTCCTGCATTACCGCCCACACTGACACAGACACAAAAACTTGTTAGCCCGTATAGTACATGTACGGGCCTTGTCAGTCTGACTGCCATCAGCAAGATTGACAAATCATGAATGACGTCATCCTGCGTCCAACTTGACATCGGAGTTGTGCCTTCATATCCAATTCGACGGTGAAATGAACCCGGGCATGGGGGGGTAAGCCCGAGATGTCAATGGATCATTGTTATTGTCATGACCGAGGTATTGGGAGTTTGGGTTGGTATAGTGATGGCGAGTTCTTTTGTTGTGTCGATTCATATGATTGTATGTGGAAGTTGTGCGTATGGTTTGGGGCTTAGAGTGGTGAACGGGTAGGATTCTGGAGTTGAGGTGAGGGGTGGGGAACGCGGGGAAGTGGAGTACCGATCCGGTGTAGCGCGGCGTTCTGGCAGGACAGATCAGGTCGGGAGTGCCAGGGGTCCTGGCGCAGGAGCAGGAGTCCTAGCTCGTAGTCGGCAGTCCTGCGGCGTGTCGTAGTCGATCCTCGATAGATAGAGCCGCAGCCTCCCGCCATAGAGGTTTGGCGTGAGTTTCCCTTTGCAGTCCGTGCCCGTTCCATTGGCGCAGGTAGATATGAAGGCGGAGTGAGTAGGAAAGCAAGAGGAACGAGTCCTGGTTCCTAGTCGGGGGTATGACGTGAATTGGCATTGAGAGTAACGTCAATAAATTTATCTACTAAAGGTAACGTGAACCAGAGGTGACGTGAATCGGTAAAAGGAATGAGATTGGTGGTGCATACTGCGCTTCGAAGGTGGTAATGAAATGTCAGCGCGAGGAGGAATTTCGAAATGCGATCTGTTTCAATGCCGGCGGTATGGATACGCGAGTGGAGCGAGAGAAGCGGAAACAAAACCGGATTGTATAAATGCACGCCCGACAAGGCCCGCGAGGCGTGAGTAGGTACTGGTGCCCATTGGGTTGATTTCGGCTTGGCCTGCGCTAGATTGAGCGGGATGCCACAAGGGCAGGAAAGACTGACAGGAGGGCTTCCTGTAGGGATACGTGCGGGCGAACTGTTCTATCATGCAAGCGAAGATGTGTAACCGACGGGGCTCGCGAGGTACTATGAGGTGATAATTATAGTTGGTCCCGTTGGCTTTGAATTCGGCTCCAACGGCCTGCGGTAGATGAGTCATGAGGCCTAGGGCCAGGAAGGACTTACAGCATCAGGTGAGTCGGGCGCCCTGAGAGTTGTTGTACACGACGACCTCGGGGACTGAACCGGTCTTGTGTCTGGGGCGCTGTCACCGAGCCCGAAAGGGGTTGTTATCGCAAGACGATAACAGAAAATTGAACGGAGAGACATTATACATTTTGAGACATGGCGAAACTATGAAAGACGACTTAAGAAGAGAAGTCAGTCATTATATTGAGGCGCTGATCAGTGATTAACCACGAGATAGGAGACATGATCCGAGTGAAAGGGTGGAATGGAGGACGTACTATTTGTACCGTTTGCGCAGCTAGTAGGCCTATCACGAGAGAAGGACGACATGCGGAGACGGTGAGGCTAGAGTTGCCACGTGTCTAAACCACAGATAATCGCAAGATTTTTTCAATATCTCGCCCGAGCTCAATGCCCGGGCTTCAAGAATTCATGTTCAGACCTATATACTTGAACGATTTTCATTGAGCGTCAATTAACTTTTACCTTCACTCTTTTGCAACACCTGGTCGTGAGTGGTCGTCTGCTGCCTCGTGTTCTTAAAGTTGACGTGTACGCGCCGCGTGCCTAACGTAGTAACGTTGTGATTTCACAACAGAGTTTCGCACAGCCACAAGCTTATATCAAAAACAGAACTCTTCATCAAAAAAAATAATCGGCACGGGCCTCCCTGGCAGGCTTTCCTCTTGCACGACCGTCGACGACCATGCCATCCGTCCTCGTCGCCGCCTTTCTACTCGGTGCGCGCGTCGCGTCGCCTGCCGTCGTCCTCCTAGCCACTCTCTCCCTGATATCCTCTAAGCGTCTTTCTCACCAGTATCAAAGTCCAATAACACCCGTCGTCGTCACATCTCGTGTCCCACGGAGAACACTCATTCTCGTTCTTCTCAGCATCAGCGCTTTCACTTTCTTGGCAGATGGTCTCGCATACGTCGTATATGCTGTCCTTAACAAAGTTTGGCCTAAAGCCACTGGTATCGAAATCGCAAGTGTTTTGGGTTTACTAGCGTATGCCGGTTTGGCAGCTCTTGGCGCATGGAAGGACGCCAGCGACGATGAGATCTGGAATCGGAGTCGAGTCAAGGTCGCAATAGTTATCGCTCTCGCACTCGACATCCTCCAGGTCGTCCTCTCCTTCATTGGAACAGGTCCGTTCTTACTCGCTTCCATCATTCACTTCATTTACCTTATCAATCAATGAAATTCAGACTCCCATCACATTTGCACATCACCTCTGCGGTCATGCATACCTAATCTTTTGCATGGTGTCCTACCACTCGCACGAGTACTTGCACTCCTTCCTCTTCTTGTAGCGCTCTTCTGCCCTCATGTCGTTTACCTTGCTGCGCAATCACGTGGTTACACAGAAGAAGCTGATGAGACCGCTCCTTTGGTATCACAGCACGTCCCTCACGACTCGTTGCTGTTGCAACCAGAAGACGCCGACCCTGATGGTCCTAGTAGTACCGCAAAATACGGCACTTTTACGTCACGAAGCGGTCCTACCACCCGCAGCGCGTCCCCGGTTCCAGGCGTACGAGAGCCAACCAAGGTCAGTAAGCCCAACCTAGTGTAGCACAATCTAACGCTTCCACAGACAACCTCACGTGAAGTAGCCGTCGATCCCTCATGGCGGGAACTCTTCACTCGTATATCTCGCATCACGCCCCATCTCTGGCCCTCCCGCTACCCAAAGCTGCAATTCATCGCAGTACGTCCTTACATTACATTCTATTACCCCAATTAACCATTTCCTAGTTGATCTGTTTCCTCATCCTTCTTCTCGGTCGCGTAGTCAACGCCTTTCTTCCTCTTACGCTCGGCGCACTCATCACCACATTCGATACGCCGGGCGTAGCTCCATTCCCTGCGTTTGGCGCAAGCCCATGGCCATACCTAATTACCTACGTCCTTCTCCGCTTCCTCGCTTCTTCAGGTGGTCTCGCAGCCATCCGCGACGCACTCTGGATCCCACTCATGCAATACAGCGATCGCAGCATGTCGATGCTCTCATTCAACCATGTCCTTGCTCTGTCTCTCAGCTGGCATACAAAACGCAAGACTGGCGAGCTGCTCCGTATCCTTGATAGAGGAAGCGCAATAAACCGCGTTGGGGAGCTTATCGGGTTCACTGTGATTCCTGCACTCGTGGATATATGTGTTGCGCTCGTCGTGTTTGTCTTTAGGTTTGAACCTGCGTTGGGCGCTGTCGTCGCTGTCGTGATGGGAAGTTATATCTGGGCGAGTGTCGTGCTTACGAGGTATAGGACTAGGATACGGAGGCGGATGAATGAGCGGGATGTGGTAAGTGCTCAGTCCTGCTTTGTTTTGACTATGAAGTGGGTCTTAACTGCACGCATTCTCAGGTCACGCGCGGGATCCATACGGATTGTCTCCTTAACTATGAGACTGTCAAGTATTTCGGTGGGGAGGAGTATGAGGCGCAGAGGTATACGGAGGCTATTGGGGAGTATCAGAGTTTGGAGAAGAGGGTCGTTCGTGAGTGTTTCTGTCTCATCACATTTCAAAAGCCACGTCTTGTTTCAACGCCGTCCGATTTTCAAACCAATCCTATGTTGCATTTCAATGGCAAACACAAATGCTGATTACACCTGTAGTATCTCTCAACCTCCTGAACCTCGTACAAACGCTCATCATCACCTCCGGTCTTCTGGTCGGTTCTTTGATCGTCGCGTCGCGCATCACGAGAGGACAGAGTAATACTAGCGATTTTGTGGTGTTCATCACTTATTATGCGCAAGTGGGTATTCTGTTTTGTGCGACGATGGCGCAGAGCTGACGTCCTTTGACCATGCCAGCTCTACTTCCCTCTCTCGAACCTAGGCGGCGTATATCGCGCAATCAACCAAAGCCTTGTCGATACCGAGAAATTGCTTCATCTCCTCAATGAGCCCACTGAAGTTGTCGATGAGCCTGATGCCAAGGAATTGATAGTCACGAATGGCGAAGTTGAATTTGGTGCGTGACCCTCTCCATTCCCATATACATCCGCCTTAACCCACCACAGACAACGTATCCTTCTCCTACGACAATCAAACTTCCGCACTGCACAATATCTCCTTCAAAGTCCCCCGCGGCGGACGCGTTGCCCTCGTTGGCGAAAGCGGAGCAGGCAAAAGCACGATCCTGCGTCTCCTCTACCGCTTCTACGACCTCCAACCCGGCTCAGGACGTATCCTAATCGACGGTCAAGACATCCGCACAGTAACGCTCTCAAGCCTGCGTCGCGCAATAGGCGTCGTACCCCAAGATCCCGTGCTCTTCAATGCCAGCATCGGATACAACATCGCTTATGGCCAACCTTCGACCACGCTCACTGATGAAAACATCATCGTCTCCAGTGCCCAAGCTGCTCATATGCATGACCGTATCATGAGTTTCCCAGAGGGGTATGAGACGAAGGTGGGAGAGAGGGGTGTGAGGCTGAGTGGGGGTGAGAAGCAACGGGTGGCGATTGCTAGGACTATGGTGAAGAATCCAAGGGTGTTGCTTCTGGATGAAGCTACTAGTGCTTTGGATAGTGCGACGGAACGCGGGGTGCTGGAGGGCGCGCTTGGGAGGCTTGTGGATGGGAGGAGTTGTTTGAGTATAGCGCATCGGTTGAGTACGATCAAAGGGGCTGATTTGTGAGTGATTTTCAGGGTGTTTTGTTGGTGATGCGGTGCTGATTTGTTTTCTTGTGAAGGATTATGGTTCTCAAGGACGGACGGATCGTTGAACAGGGCTCGCATAGGGAGCTCCTGGAACTCAACAGCCTCTTTGCATCCATGTGGGCAGATCAGATCAGCGCGTCCGAAGATCCCAAAACCCCAGCTGGATACGACGTCGACGACGATGCCCCCGTCGTCGACATTCCTGAATCTGAAACGCGCAGCACAGCAGTCGAAGAGCCCTTAATCATTGATTCTCCTCAAGTCGTCCCAGCATCCCTACCAGCCAAACAAGAGGCACCTATATCTATATCGTTCCCCGTAACCGACGAAGCACCCCAGGCGTTCCCAACGACAGCATCCACGTCCGACGCGCCTTCCGTCCACAGCTATCCAGAGCGTTCAGCCATACCTGCGCATGTGCAAGGCGCGAGCGTTACGTTTGATGCGAAAGCGACTACGCCTCCGCGGACGGGTTCGCCTGAGCCTAAGAGAGGGCTCTCGGCGCATAATATCCAAAGACTTGCGAGGAAGATAAGTCTCAGCGGCAAAGCTCCGAAATTGCCTGCGGTTTTACGCCGGGACGCGAGCTTGCGAGAGGCGAGTATGGCGAGCAGCGGGAGTGGTGCTGGAACTGCGAGCGGGAGTGCATCTACGCCCCCCACTGGAAGCGCTAGGGAGAGCGTGGATGAGCCGCAGACCGAGGCTGCTTTGAAGAAGGAAGAGAAGAAGAAGAAGAGGAAGAGTTTTATCTAGAAGTTCCTCCTTTCTCTCTGATTCCCGTCTCTTTTCATCGTTGTGTTCCTTTCGTTCCCTTTTCCTTCCTGTCCCTTTCCTTTCCCTGTCATATGTTCTGACCACCTTACTTCTAACGACCCCTGTCACGACACATCATCATTTTTCCCTCATCATTGACATGCATTTTCAATCACATGCGACTTGCGATTTTGATTTTTGTTCTGTTCGATACATACACGTGTTGTGGTGCTGTATTGATACCACTCGATCGAATGTCTGCTTTAAATTTGGTTGTCAAACATGGTTCTTGCATTGTTGCTCTGATGTTGGTTTGCGATCTTGGTCTGTTATGGGCTCGCGTTTTATACGCTTTGTATTTGCTATGCATGTCGTATGTAGTAAATTATATTGTGTGGTGACAAACAAGGGGAGACTGAAGCAATTACAAATATTGTAAGAACAGCGGTTTATTAGCTGGAGTACCCTCAAGCATTATAAAGTAGTACGTGTAGCCACTGTAGTGGCCCAGCCCTACAGACTAACATTCAATAACCGTATTCCGCAAGTAAGCTTGTCAACTTTTCACAAACTAGGCTATGGACGGCTTGCTCCGACTGATGTCGGCGTGCGCGCATTGCGGGTGATGCATGCGGGTCGTCGGGGAGCAAATTGATGCAAACGTGTGCGGAAAACCGCATCCCAAGGCTTTCCAGTTTGTCCTTGTTCTTCACCCACCAGTTATCCATGTCCGTATAATCTTCCAAGAAGGTGACCACAGCGACGACTGGTACGCGCCCTGGCCCGGCGGTAGAGCCCACGATGTCAGTGAAATTTTTATAATCCCTGGCCAGTGCCTTCTGGGCACTCGACCCCCTCATGCAATACAAGATAAGATGGACTCCGTCATCTCTGTACAACTTCTCGTACGACTGTTTGAGGCGCCGTTTTGCCCAAAAGGTCCGCAAAGAACCCATTGATTTGAGTGAGGAAACTTCCCAAAGTTTGAAGTGGCGATCTCCAAGACTGATTTCGGGGGAGGTATGTTCGAGATTGCAGGGTTCTGAATCTGGCGACGTCTGTGCAACGTCGCGTCCCATAATCAAGTTGAAAATAGAACTTTCCCCAACTCCAGTCTCCCCGAAAAATAACACATTCAAAGGACCTGCAAGCGACTTTTGACCGCGTGGAAGGATCAGTACACATAAAAGCAATGAACCACTAGACTCTCACCAGCGACGAGACCGTAGAAAAGAGATGGTGTGCCCGAGGACTAGAGGGAACAGTTTTGGGTGACGGAACAAGGCTTCGCGAGGAGTACTGAAACGACGGTGCAGTCGAAATACCAGCCTAGTTGATAAATATTTAAGCCGAATTACTTCAACCACAAGTTCGCAAGTCCTTACCTGCTCCGCGACCAAGTATGTACTTTCATCGCTTTCCTCCACCTCACCAACAAGGACATCCTGTCAGAGTCAGAAACTCTACTCCTACATGACAAGACAAGTCATGAGCTTACATCTTGTGTCAAAGCCTCTAGTTCCCCCCTTATGAAGCTCATGGCCGTGAGGGCACATGGACGAGCAGATGGATTAATTGACCAACACTGCTCGATGTGATTCCAACGGGCGTCTGTGACGTCAGATGTCGCCTCGGATACCTCAGGGCGCGGGATATCCTCTCCTTTTAGAATTTTTTGAACGACTTTATACTCGTCAATGTCATGCCAAGGAACAGTCAGAGTTAACAACTGGGATGAATGATACATTAAAATATAGATTTTGTGGACTTCGAACACTTAAACTTACATGATACATGACACGACCAAAAGAGTACATGTCGTTCTGCGTGGTCGGTTTGATATCGGAAGGGGGATCGTGTGGCCTGAGCAACTCAGGCGCAGTCCACCTGATTGCACCAGGCTGAGCATCTGATACTTCAACTGGGCGGCCATTTAAATGTCCACAGAGGACATTGGACAAACCGAAGTCCGTTAGGCAAGCCGTGTATTTTCCGTCCTTGAGATCTACCAAAACGTCGGACTGGATTGTTTAATGAGTGGAACTGAATGTAAAGAGGGTGAGCTCACGCTCTTAATGTCACCGTGGACAACGGGGAAAGAGTGAACTGACAGCAAATTTATCAGTCGAAACAAGACGACCGTGAAGGGAACACAAACGATAGAAGAGCCCAGATGCTATGTCGTGAAGCTAGTGAATAAGGATGATTTAGTGTAGGTCCATTGCAGCCAAACAAGTTTAAGTTACCAGTTTCAATTTGGACTTAATGGTTAATGTAGCACCCTGTTCTGTGATCAGACGGAACAGCGTGCCGTCCGGAAACCACTGGGAGACAAGGGCTGTGGTTGACCCAAAACCCTCTGTCGTTCCATAAAGTGTGACGATATTGTCGTGGATGAGGTGTGCCCATATTGCAGTTTCTCGTCGAAACCTCTAGCAAATCCACATAAAATAGTGTTCAAAACAGAAAACATACACCCTTACTCTTAAGTCCTGCTCTGAGATGCAATTCGTGGGATGCCTGAAGGTTTTTACTGCGACCTGTAGTGCGATAATGAACAGGCTGATCAGTAAGTTACGCCGGCACTGCCCACTGGCCAGACCTTGACAGGGCCCGACGGCCGTCCCCATTCACATCTGTAAACGTTTCCGAATCTACCACAGGTGACGTAGTCGTTTATCGTACCGAAGATCTGACCTGTCAGATCTTCTGCTAGTGCCACTGGTACAAAGAATCTAATGACTTCCGTTGCCTCCGGGCGATCATCTGGGTTCCAAGACCAGCATTTTTGAATCAAGTTCCAGTGATCGTCAAGAAAGTTGTCGGGACGAGCAGGAGTCGCTCTTTTCAATAGCTCAATGATGATATGAGTTGAGTTTTTCTTGTCTTTCCACGGTATATCCCCCGAAATGATCTGAGAGGAGAAAGCTTAGAATAGAACTACAGAAAAACAAAAGGATCGCACAAAGAACATGACACCACTAAAAGAATATACATCACTCTTAAAATTCGGTCGTACAAGTTCAGCCTCTGGGTCGATTCCAATGACCTCAGGCGCACGCCATTGAGGATTGAAGCTGCGGTTTGCGGTTGTTGTATTCAGCTGCGACTCTGCGTCCCCTACAACTGTTGCGAGACCGAAATCTGTGAGACGTGGATTCCCCGCACCATCTATAAGAACATTTGCCTGAGGCTTATGAATGAGTGTAACATCCACGGAGAGACGACCGTACATACGGGATGAAGGTCTCCGTGAACGACATTCTCCGAGTGAACTTGGTGGACATCAAGAACAAAAACAACAATAGGATAGCGATGTACGAACGATATCCGAGGCCATCGGCAACGCCCCTGACCTTTTAGCATAAAATCGATCAATGCTTGGGGAATGTGATTAGTGAACAAGAGACTCGCCAATTCCACTTTATTCCAAGCGGTGATTGTAGCCTGCTCAAGGTAGATATACAATGTTCCGGAGGGCATCCATTGTGAAACGAGAGCAGGACACGGAGACCCGACATGTGCGGTGCCAAGTAGCGGTACGATAGTTTGGTGTTTCGACAGTCTAATCCACACATTGAGTTCCCGAAGCATTGCCTACATAGGCCATGGAGCGAAGTGTGATTTGAGTCGCCAAACTCCGGTTAGATGACTGACCTTCTCATATTTCTCTACAGCTCTCCCAGGATCGATCTTGAACACCTTTACTGCGACCTGACGGATATCAGATGGAGAATTCAGGAGGTTGGGCAACTTGAAGGTGGTCAGGCAAACCTCTTTTGTGCCTTCGCTGGTATTGATGGTGCGCCGATAAACGGAACCAAATGAACCAGATGTGCATGGATCCCCGAGCTTCAACGCAGAAATTTGAGACGTGAAATCGGTAGGGATATCGCTGCAAAACATGATGAAAGGACGAGAAACATCATGGGAGACGACTCACTGTTGAGGCGCGAGTCTCTTCATGCCAGTGGGTAGTAGGATTACTACTTTGCGGGAGGGAAGTGAGGCTGGTTTTCAAGTTGATAGCCGCAAGGCGCTTATTGGGTTCGTAATAAGGGTCTTTGCGAGTCACTTGGAGCAGTTCTGCTTGGAGAATCACATTAACATTGTCTCGACTACCGTGCTATGAATACTCGATGTTCGCGATCCTCGACATATCCTATTTCTGAGCGATTTGGGCGAAGGCGCGCAGCGCCTCCCGGTCCCGAGTTGCGTGTCCTGCCAGATAAAAGGTGAGCTGCGAGGGTGGGAGGGAAAAGAAAAACCATCGCGAACTACTCATGACAGGGATCGGGCGCAGTCCGGACCACCGAAGAGGGAGAGCGATGAGCGATGCTTGAGTGTTGATACGGCCCATCGCGTGTTTGAAAAGGGAGCGGTGGGTGGGGAAAAGAGAAGGAGGAAGAACGTCGTCGTTGAGGACGACTGAGACGATACGGCGCGACGTTGCAGTACGAAGTCAGAAGGTTCGTACTGCCCCCGACGCTTGCGCAAAGACTTAACTCTATTCCTACACTCGTTCCTCGTTACATAATAGACTATCAATCTTTGCGAGTCACTTGGAGCAGTTCTGCTTGGAGAATCACATTAACATTGTCTCGACTACCGTGCTATGAATACTCGATGTTCGCGATCCTCGACATATCCTATTTCTGAGCGATTTGGGCGAAGGCGCGCAGCGCCTCCCGGTCCCGAGTTGCGTGTCCTGCCAGATAAAAGGTGAGCTGCGGTTCCCAAATGTCTAGGAGTCCGACGACGCATCGAGCGAACCGAAGATACCCATAGAACTAGGAGGAGGATGGATGCTTACATGAAGAACCCGTCACCGAATGCGGGGCATTGTGTGCCGCAGGAATTCATCTTGAATGGCAGGCGTTGCTTGAAGGTATGGTGCGAGAATCTGAGCGTGATCTCGAAGATAGATCTGGAAGGCATCACTGGCCCATCTTCCCATCGTCTTGACGACTTCGAATGGGATGTTTCGGAGGAGGTATTCCAAGGTGGCGCCTATTCTGATAGCGTGGCCTTGCAACGGGTCAAGGCCAGCATCCTTTGCAGCGCGAGCGAGCCGTGTGATGAACTTCGTTTTTGTCAAAGGACGGTGTGCCTCGCCGAACTTATAGGAAAAGAGTGCGATATCGAAGTGGGGGTTGTTGATGTTGAGATGGTTGGATAATGCTGCCTCAGGATCAGTAGGGCCCTCTTGTTTCGCCCAGAAAACATCCTCCCCATTTTGCGATGTTTTCGTGCGGGGCAAATGAAAAACTGTAGTCGCGAGCCCATTGCGGTCTGTTTCATGGCGAATGTCGGATCGTTTGACATGAATGGAGGGATCGAATGATGAAAGGGTTCGGACCGTGAATTCTCCAGCTCTGGCCATTGAATAAAAGGCTGTTGTGAGACAGCTACCCACTGCGGCATCGAGAGGGTTGTTGGGGTCTAGTTTCTGCAAGATGCTAGTTATGAAAGCCACAGTGTAAGGTGGTCTTTTCTTCCTTCTTGATGACGAGGGCGTGAGGTTCTTGGCTGCTCTTAGCATGGCATCTATTTTGTCGTCATCTAAGGACCATGATTTTCCATGTAAGATGTGCCATGCACGAATACCGTGGACATAACTCGATATAGTTTTCCCTGAATATGATCCGGCTAAGTCTGAAATAAAAGCTGAAATGAGTTCAGAAGACGCTGGTGCACGCATGGCTTCGTTGATGGAATTTGAGTCACAGTACACATGGTAGGCAAGGATGCCACTTCCATATGCCTCCTGGGTGCTGCCGGCCCATGCGTGGATCATGACATCTTGAATGCGCTGTGCATCGGCGTGAGGAAGGGAAGATAATGATTCGTCATCAGTGGCTGGTCGCCATAGACGGAGCCTGTCCTTAGCTGCACAATGGGGTCTTAGGACGGAAACCCGAGGGCTGAGATTAGCAGGATAAGCCGCAATAAGCTTGCGTCGCTTTAAAGAGCTCTTCTCCTTGGCGACGGAGCTCGTCGTTGAGGTGCTCAGCTGATTCTCGCGAGCGGGCTCGGTCATTGACATGTGGGAGCGCTTTGACGTTCTTGCTGCGTGCATGGCACTCAGAAGGGATAGCGGGATCGTTGAAGTTTGTGATGAAGGGTTGGAGTGGCTGGGGAATGCTAATTGGGGGAAGCAGTAGGTCTGAGGGAGGGTAGATTCCCCTGGACGGAGCGTCTGCTGGGTTTGTAGTTACTGGGTACATAGCGCGTGAGGAAAGTGCATTGTGCGGATGCAGTGAGCTCATGGATCCTTTTGAAGACAGTATTGGTGGCTCTGTTGCGGCTACGCCCTTTCCACCACCCTTCGACAACTCCTCGATTGTCCCCGAATATTTTAATGCAGCTGCCCGTTGGCATGAACCGAGGAGTGCAATAATGAGGAATTCCATACCGAACAGCCTCTGCCCAGCCAATGTCTCTGTCCTCGGCTTTCCAGCCTGGGAGGAGATGCCACGCTCGCCATCTGCCGTTGATCCAAATCGCGATGCCAGTGCCTGAGCTAGCGTCTGAGTAAGCCGAGGGGTCAATGACTTCGACGGGCCCTGGGATTGGCCGAGAGACGAGTGATTGAGAGAGGCTGGCTTTCCACCACCGGAGGTCATCACCTGTGTGCTTGGGGGGGGAACGAGGCATGTGTGGACGGTCGTGAAAGATGGATAGCATGGTTTCGAGAGAAACGAGGGTAAGCTCTTCCCGCTGGGAGGACCAGAGAAGCATGTAAGAGTTTCCCATAAAGCTCCTGGACTTCCCGTAGTGTGTGCGAAGACCGAATCTCCCATTCCCTGATAGCTGCCACATACTTCTCCTTCTTGCTCTGTGGGATCGAGATAGAACGCGACTCGATGTCCCAAAGGAAACCGATAAAAGGGGCACATGACGAGAAAAGGATGTCCTTTGCCAGTTCCCAGGGTATTCCAAGAATTTTGGATAGGCGGTTGATGTCGTCAAAGCAAAATGTGAAGCGAGCATCTTCTGGCGATCGCGGGGAGGCTGTTGAGAGATCAATGATGGGAAATGAACAGTCTTCGTCAAACTCTTCAATTCTGCCGTCAGGCATGGTTGAACCACGATACCATTTTCGACCTCCTTCAATAAGCATGCCACCATTTCGTGCAATGATAGCAGCACGAGATTTGCGCAGGTTGTTGTAGCTGGCAAGGTGCTCTCGCAGAATCCGAATGAATAGGTGATCATCCACCCATTTGGATACAGGACCAATTCCTTGTGATCGGAATATGTCTGCACCAGCATCTGCAACCTCGCCATAGGTTCCCGCTGATGCCGAGAACCCGAAACAAAAGCTAGAATCAATTGCAAAGCTGTCTTCTCCTGTCCTGATGACCAAGCCTGGCCATTGAGAAGGATGAAGAGGTACTGTGCGGTAGGCTTCAGCCACGTCACGAACAGCTGCCTGAGATCCTGGGGGGAGAGACCAGATGAGTAGACAGATTGTTGATGCTGTGCCCCACGTGCATGGATATAAGTTAGAGTCGATAGAGGAATTAATGGATGATACTGTAGCTGATGGACGAAGCGGGAATGAGAGGTTTTGTACGAGACGGAATCTTCCTGGCTTTCCCGGCTTAGGAACCATGGAGAGTGGGGCTGTCTGAAAAGGACCAATGAGTTCTTCAGTCTCTGATTTAGATATAGGTCCGATATAACGACCAGTGGAATATTCACGGTCCAGAATGGCAGTAAAGGCGTCAAAATGTGCATGTAGTGAGGGGTTATTAGGTGGGGTATAAGTTTGAGATATGGTTGGGACGCTGCCCATGAAACCAAAGCGAAAACCATTCGGAATATGTGCATATTTACGTATGAGATTTGAAGAAATGAGAAACTGCAGCCAGGCCTCAGGCCTATAGGGAGTGATAGCGTTAGATGCTCTCGCTTTGAGGGCAGTCTTGAGCTCCGTGATCCTTTGCTCCGCATCCTGAACATTCGTGCACGTGAGTTCGAGAGGGGTTGGTGCATCCCTTGGGTCTCTGCCAGTCGTAGCAGATTTCGAGGCCCTCTGGATTGACCAAGTGACCCTCTGCGTTTCGACGACATCGAGTCTTGGTTCGTTTGTCCCATAGGAACTCGGATGCGCATTTGTGGATGGGGTGACGGAAACCGGCCGAGGCATAGGGCGCAGGCTGATGGGCTGGTTTGGCCTGCGCCCGCTGGAAAAAACTGCTGCGACTTCTGTGGTTTCTTTGCCATTTGGTTAGCAGGGCGGTACGGGTGATAGCGGCCATCATTCACAAGAGGTACCGTCTCTGCATGCCCGTTTCGGCTGGAACTCATGTCTCTCCCCCGAGAACGGAAGGAAGTGTTGGGAACTGCAAGCGAGTTTTGCAACTGAGTGAGATAGAGCAAGCATGAAAGGATTCGAGTAAGCCAGGGTTCGAACAATTATACGAAAGCAAAGATTTGGTTAAACCATGGTATACAGGGATGTGCGAAAGCAGTGTGGGCATAAGCGAAGCAGCGGTTAAGTTGTTTGAGAGGGACACAGGAAAGCGGGAGCACAGGAGTTTGTGTCAGCATGAGGGTAGATAGAGCGGCAGCATAGCGAGCGCAAGCAAGGGAGAGCGGAAGACAGAAGACGAAGTCATATACATATGTGTTAGCACGTGGGAAGCAGATGGGAATTGTACCCCGAAAGCAGGGATAGCCAAGAGTGAAAGCATTTAGACAGCCAGCAGGGTCCGTTTCCGAAGTGAGATTGAATATATGAAAGAAATTGGTCAGTGATCGAATGTTGGTGGGTGACGCACTACGCACCATTTTGAGACCCTCATCTCGTTCAGCCTCCCATACGTCGTCAGATATCGAGTTGTATAGGGCATTATTGAATAAACCAATGTTGAACCCTTGGTCTTGCGCTAAGCGATCATGCCATTCACGGCGCACAAATCCTGCGTAGCGAAGCAGAGCCTTTTCTCCTCGTGGCCGCATGCGATGCTCATGGTTGGTAATGAGCGTGAAAAATAATGCTAAAGCCTGCTGATGCTTTTGCGGCCAGTTGTTCTTTTCAATGTGCACAAGAAAGCTGGTCTTTGCGAGGTCAAACTGCCGCCAAGATAGGTCATGATCCTGTAGAGCCTTCTGAGAGGCTTTGAAAGACGCGATCGTCTTGAGGGCAACTACACCATCCACTTTGGCGAAGCCAAAAGCGTCATCTGAGTCTGACGTGGACCTAGAGGTGGTGGAAGCCTCGTGGCAACCGTCAGGGCTAAAGTACCACAATTCTACATACTCCATGTTCTTGATCCTTTGGATAGCATACTGGGATGGGCGAGGTATGATAACGTCTGCAACGAGAGCCCCTTCATCAAAATCGTTGATCTTGGGCTTTTTCTTCTCAGCTTCGCGCCTCTCTAGCTGTTCCTCGGCCTCTTTTTCAGCTCTCTCGCGCTCTAACTGTTCTTGCAGGGTGCGAGCATCTTCCTCATTCTGTTGCTGCCAAAGGATAATGCGTTCCTGGCGCTCGAGTCTCCAGCCTTCAGCCATTTGCTCGAGTGCATCTTCTCTGGCCGTGCCCCCTGCCACAAGGGCGTTGAGCCATCCCGCGTATGCTGCTGACTCGAAATTGGGCTGCGCTTCCAGCGCTGGGTCTGCTAAGATGCGTTGCATGGTAGGCCGGGTGAATTCGGAGAGTGTTTGCTAAGAGTGTGTTTTGGAGAAATTGACTGAGTGTTTCTAAGAGTAGTAGCAAGAGTAGGAAGAACGGAGAAAAGAGAAGGAGGAAGAACGTCGTCGTTGAGGACGACTGAGACGATACGGCGCGACGTTGCAGTACGAAGTCAGAAGGTTCGTACTGCCCCCGACGCTTGCGCAAAGACTTAACTCTATTCCTACACTCGTTCCTCGTTACATAATAGACTATCAAACCAGGTCCAGCCCACAGTGGCGACGGTCATGCTGCAGAAGATGTTTCGCGTATACGGTACCACCTCCAGGCCATGGTGGAATCGTACAATGTGACTTGTTTATTCAAGGGGCTTTTATGGACAAAGTTCGAATATTCTTTACCAAGCACTGAGCAGTGCTAGTACCGTGGCATTAATGTAATCGGAGTCAAGTCAAGGTCGCAATAGCTATTCATTCTCCCACTCGCCCGTGACATCAGGGTTCATTCTTACTCGCTTCCATCATTCAGTTCATTTAACCTTATCAATCCATGAAATACAGATCCGCATCACATTTGCACATCATGCATATCCAATCTTTTGCATGGTGTCCTACCACTCGCACGAGTACTTACTTGCACTTCTTCCTCGGGCTGCTAGAGTATAGCGCAACCTCACGCTTCCACAGACAACCCCGCGCGAAGTAGCCGTCGATCTCTCAAGGCCCGTATATCACGCCCCATCTCTGTCCCTCCCACTATCCAAAGCTGCAATTCATCGCAGCACGTACCTCCATTACATTTTATTGCCCCAACCAATCACTTCCTGGTTGACCTGTTTCCTCGTCCTTGTTCTCGGACGCATAGGCAACAACGCCTTGCTGTCTCTTACACTCGGTGCACTTACCACTACCTTCGCCACACCAAGCATAGCTCCATTCCCTGCATTCGGCACAAGCCCATGACTATACGAAACGCAAGATGGGTGAGCTGTTCCATATTCTCGACAGACATCCTCAGATCGAACCTGTATTTCATTTCAATCGCGAATGTGCTGATCACACCTATAGTATCTCTCTTGAAGCTCGTACAAATGCTCATCATCATTTCCGGTCTTCTGATCAGTTCTTTGATCGTCGTGTCGCGTATCACGGGAGGACAGAGTAATACTAGCGATTGTGGTGTTCATCACTTATTATGCGCAAGTGGGTATTCTGTTTTGTGCGACGATGGTGCAGAGCTGACGTCCTTTGACCACGCCAGCTCTACTTTCCTCTGTCGAACCTATGTGGCGTATATCGCGCAATCAACCAAAGCCTTGTCGACACTGAGAAACCGCTACACTCCCTCAATGAGCCAACTGAAGTGGTCGAAGAACTCGATCCTAAGGAATCATAACGACCCCTGCTATGACACATCATCTTATCTTTCCATCATCATTATCATGCATTTTTCAATCACATGTGACTTTGATTTTTGATTTATTCGATAGATACACGTGTTATGGTGCTATATTGATATCCTTCGGTCGAATGTATGCTTTAAATGCGGTAGTCAAACATGGTTCTTGCATTGTTGCTCTGACGTTAGTCCGGGATCTTGGTCTGTTGTGGGCGTGCGTTCTATATACTTTGTATTTGCTATGCGTGGTGTAGTAATCTATATAACCCGCAGAGATGGATTTCGGCGCTAGTATAGACAGGAGAATGACGATACATGAGATGTGATTAATGATATGAATTATATAGTAGAGTATGTAGTATCAACTCAGATGTGCAGCGTATCCTCGATAGACGAAGTCTACAATTGCAATTGGGTGAGCATAAGGCATAGTTAAAGTCATCAACCTACGTCTTGCCTGATCATATCAGCCAACTGTTTTGCAACGTCTGGAGATACACCACAACGCTTGGTGAGAAGAGAGACAAGATCCTTCCTTTTCACAAACGGGCCCCCGGCAAGTAACTCCTTTGGCCTACGCATCAACAACGCAAACAAGTTATCCCCTCCTATCCATGCTTACTTCTGCCCATCGGCGGTAAATCGCTGAACAAGATTCCAGATCGTGATACGTGATTCTTTGTATCCTCCGTCCAATCTGTTAACGGTGATGCACGCATGACCGGCGAGCTGGATCTGGTATTTTTCGAAGGTGCTGCAGTTTCTCACCCACCAGTCCTCCAACCTGTGCTCTCTTCCAAGGTTCGTTACTGCAAGAACGATTGGGACCTTCTTCTCGCAAAGGAATTCGTAAAAGAGCCGGTAACTGCTCTGAAGCGTAGCAGTGACTCTGCCGGCGCGTACGCAGAATAGAAGAAGATCGATGCCGCCTTGTCTATCCAATTCCTTGATGAGCCGATGGGAGTTTTCGACAGACTCGAGGTACTCTTGATTCCCAGCTGCGGTTCCTCGAGTCCGACAGTATTGAAAACCTTATATGAGTCTCCACCGAAAACCGATGGTGTACTCTTGCCATTGCATGTCATAGGGTTTCCGCGCTATCTCTTCGTCCGCCATGAGGTTGACGAGTGACTTTTTTGCCTGCTCCCCTCTCCCCAAATCCACAATATATAATCTTATGATGACTTGGAGCGCGGCGTCCACCCGCGTGCGTCTCACGTGCGCTTACTTGACCAATTTCTACTACCACTACCATTCAGAAACCTACTAACGTTACCATCATTAGCTTCGCTCCATCACTTACAACATTGCCGAGTCCTCGTGCTCACGAAATTTACTTCATTTGGTTGCGAGCACATCATCAATTCCTTATAAGCTGACCCTTTCATCTGCGTCATCTTGCTGTTTGAACACCGCAGCTCCAAAACATGTCGACGTCATTTACGCACAACGAAAAATATAAATTCTGAGTCGTTCTTCATCAGTTTGCCCACGCATCATTTGTGTTTTACGACTTGATCTATTATGCCCGGTTCATCCATGAATCCGTCTTGATGATATTTCACACAGTCGTATACTACAGTGCTGACACTGTAAAAGAAGATGATCAGCTCATAGCAGATCACCCTGAAGCGACACCTGATTTTCTCGCAATTCTCTCACAAAATGGAATTCCAAAGCACGAACTTTATCTCAAGCAGGGCTGTATTTGCTCACTTAGGCGCAATATGTCTGTTCAGAAGGAACTGGTGAAGAATGCACGCCTCATCATACAACAATTGCACCGCCGTTATGTCAAGGTTCGAGTCATCAACAACAGGACAGGTCAACTTGGAGATACTCAATACATCCCCCGCATCCACTTCGAATTCACACCCCCACGCGTAAGTTAGACTGTTCATCGTCTACAATTTCCCCTCCGTCTTGCATATGCAACAACTTTCAATGGTTGCCAAGGTCTAACCCTTGACAAGACCGTTCTCAACCTTCGCTGCGAAGTCTTCGCACACGGTCAACTGTACACAGCCCTTTCACGGATCCGTCAACGAGACGATTCACGCATCCTATTTTCAGAAGACAAACCAAATGACGATTTCAATACGTCCAACGTCGTGTATAAAGAATTGTTATTAGATTTGAACTAGATCCATCCAACGAGCCGCGCAGCGGCAAGCACTTGTAGTACAATAGTTTTATGCCTGTCCTCACTTGTTAATGTTGAAAAAATACGGAACTTCATCTGGAGACTGATACCTTGTGGCCACTACAGGAGGGATGGTCCGTGTAATGCTATACAGCGTTTGAGGTTAGAAAAATGTGATGTAAATGGTACTCGAAGATTATTTACCTGTCAGCCATATCAGGAGTGGTCCGGATAATACTACATCGCATTTGATAAATATAGTGCAAATGACATCGGAAAGAATACGTACCTTTCGGACATTTTAGGACGGATGGTCAGGATAGTGCTAGGTAACGTTTGAGATCAGAAAACTACAACGCAAATGACATCTGAAGACTACAGACCTTTCGGCCATTTCAGGAGGGGTAGCCTGAACAGTGCTATGTAGGGGTTTAAGGTTGGAAAAATACTGCGCAAACATCATCTGAAGGCTACATACCTCTCAACCATTTCAGGAGAGGTGGTCCGGATAGTGCTATATGGTGTTTGAGGTTAGAACAGTGCGGCGCAAACGGCATCAGAACAATCCATGCCTTTCAGTCATTTCGGGACGGATGGTCTGATTAGTGCTAGGTAGAGTTTGAGGTTAGAAAACTACAACACAAACGGCATATGAAGACTACAGACCTTTCAGCCATTTCAGGAGAGATGGCCTGGATAGTGCTATGTAACGTCTGTGGTCAGGAAAGAAAGGCGCAAACGTCATCTGAAGACCACATACCTGTCAATAATTTCAGGACTGGTGGTCCAGATAGTACTATGTAGCATTTGAGGTTGGAAAAGTGCGGCGCAAACGGGATCAGAACAATACGTACCTTTCAGTCATTTCAGAACGGATGGTCCGAATAGTGCTAGGTAGAGTTCGAGGTTAGAAAACTACAACGCAAACGGCATCTGAAGACTATAGACCTTTCAGCCATTTCAGGAGGGATGGTCCGGATAGTGCTATGTAACGTCTGTGTTTAGGAAAGAGAGGAAAAAACGTCATCTAGAGAATATGTACCTTTGAGTCATGTTAGTATAAAGATTTCGAATCACGACTTTTGCTAAGCTCTCCCCCAACCCGCAGCGCATCGTGAGGACTCCAAGAACGTCGGCTTTGCTTGCTTGCCAGGTTGAGGGGTCATCTGCCCCAACGATCCTTGCATACGACCAATCTCCTCTGTTCCAGTGCTGTGCTTGTCGGCTGATCAATTTGCCCACTTCTGTTCTGGACATTTCATACTTCTCCCTGCATTTCGGGTCTGGATTGTCTGCTGCAGTGATACAAGCATGATCGACATACTTGACCGCCTGACGATCGAACCATTCCTTGTTGTGCGCGTGCCAATCGTCCATGTTATCCTCTCCCTCCAGGTGAGTGGCGATGAGCGCGACTGGCACCTTCTCCTCAAAGAGAAACTCATAGAGTAGCCTGTAGTTAGTGATGAATGTTGATGGTATTTCGTCCCCCTTGATGCAGTACAACAGCAGATAGACTCCTCCTTTCTCACGAAGCTCCTTGGCCAACTTGTGAGCATTGGTGATGGCGTAAAGGAATCCGCTAGGGTTCGTGCGGTAGTCGTCGAACCCAGTAGTATCATAGACGCGATACGGTACGTCATCGATGGTGATACCATATGCGTCGTAATGCAATGTAAGACTATTCTGGTCTGACGAGGTCTCAGCGACCTGTCTACCTGCTAGAAGGTTGATCACAGAGCTTTTCCCAGCGCCACGTTCTCCAAAAATGATGATGTTTTTCGGTGTAATGTATTCAATGACTTCCGCGGCATCTGGGCGATTCCCCGGATCCCAAGACCAGCATTTTTGAATCGATGTCCAGTGATAATCAAGGATGTTGTCGGGACGCAGATGTTCGACTTTTTGCGACAGCGCGATGCAGATTTGAACCGAGCTCTTCTCCTTCCACGGTACATCCCCGAGATGATCTGAGAGGAAACAAATTAGGATAGAGCTGCGGAAAACACCAAGATCGCACAAAAAACATGACACCACCCAAAGCATAGATATCACTCTTGAAAGACGGTTTTTCAGGGTCACGCTCGATTCCAACGATTTCAGGCGCACGCCATCGAGAATCTAAGGTGCGGGTCGCGGTCGTCATGGACAACTGCAGCTCTGCGTCCCCTGCGACTGTCGCGAGACCAAAATCCGTGAGACGTGGATTCCCCGAGTCATCTATGAGCACATTTGCCTGAAGCTTATGAATGAGTGCAACATCCACAAAGAGACAACTGTACATGCAGGATGAAGGTCTCCGTGAATGATATTCTCCGATTGAACTGGGTAGGTATCAAAAACAACAATAACGAGATAGTGACAGAAGCCGACTGACGGTAATTCAGGCCATCAGCGACGCCCATGGCCTTGTAGCATAAAATCGATGAATGCTTGGCGAATGTGATTGTTGTGAACGAGGGGCTCACCAATTTAATTCTAGTTGAATCGGTCGCGTTAACTTGCTCGAGGTACATATATAATGTCCCAGAAGACATCCATTGGGAAATGAGAGCCGGAAATGGAGACTCGACCTTCGCGGTGCCAAGTAGCGGTACGATAGTCGAGTGCTTCAATCTTAGCCAAACCAGGAGTTCTCGACGCATTGTCTACATAGATCATGGAGCGAAGTGATCACAATCCGGTTAGCTGACCCACTTTTTCAATTTTCTCCATGGTTCTCCCAGGATCAATCTTGAACACCTTCACTGCTACCTGATGGATATTCGATGGTCGATTCACGAGGGTTGGTTAGTCAGACAGACCTCCATTGAGTCTTTTCTCGACTTGATGGTACGCCGATAAACCACACCGAAGGAACCCGAATTACATGGAGATCCGAGCTTCAACGTCTCAGAAATTTGAGATGTGAAGTCACTAGGAGTATTACTAGTATCGCTGCAACATGTGAAGTGTCAAGGCAATGCTTATTGGACTCCAAGAAGGCTCACTCTTCAGGTGCGGGTTCTGTCATGGGTAGGGCTACCTTTGCAGGAGGATGGTTTCAAGGAGTGAACTTGAACTATTCTTGCGATCCGATCTTTGCAAGGCATTCACCGAGATTTGTAAGAAAGCCTGGCAGCATGCGTGCTGCAGAGTCCAGACCGTATTACTGATCATATCGCCTCGAGGCATGGATGGACCCGTAATAATATTGAATCAACAATTCGGGAATTGACGCGGAGTCGTGCAATGTCATTTCATCACAATACGTATAATGTGACATTCCATGCAGCCCATCGCCTCATTGATGGCTTCCTGGTTATCGGACATGGCATGATCGATGAGCATCCGCACCTTTGACACCCTCGACGTTGTACCCTTTCCCGTCCATGGCCCTACTTACTCCGAGTTTCATCTTATATGTCCTCCTGCGCACAACGTCCTGGCGTTGTGGATGGCGAGCGTGGCGCTGATGAGGTATCAGAACAGTATATGGAAGCAGGTGAACGAGATATGGTAAGTATTATAACATGCTTTTTGCTTTTTGTGCCTTTTTTTTACTTACGTCACGGTGACGTTGGTCTTGGTTGTCTGCCTTCGAGAGACGGGTATTGCCTGACGTCATCCAGGTGATTCTGAGCGCCTGATGGGCTGAGGAACCAATTGAATTGGTGATTGAAAATGGGAAGTTCAACCCATCCTAATCCCCACAATCTACCTAATAGACTCGGAAAAAGGGAATGTTCTGCGACAGCCAATCCCCACTCTACACAACATCCCCTTCAAATACTTCAAGCCCTTCCCTGAGGCGCGTAGCTCTTGTCTGCGAGTCCGGAGCAGGCAAAATAACCATCCTCCGCCTCCTCTAACGATTCTACAACCTCCAAATGATCGACGGACAGGATATCTGACCTCGCGCGATTGGCACAGTCTCACAAAACCCCGTGCTTCTCAACAGTAGCATGAGGTATGACATCGCTCGCGGCCAACTATCAACTACTCATCCCCCTGAGAGCACAAACTCCTTGGCAGGTGCACGACTGCATCATGAGAAACGAGCGTACCAGATGCAAGTATGGTTAATGTGTCAGTCCGTCGTACCAAGTCGTGTTTGTTCATCATTAATCTACTTGAGCAATAGCCTCTGAGATATCATGTTCCAACACTCTGAAGCTTTTTCTGTAAGCAAATCGATTTAGCTTGTGATTGACGCTGATTCTTTCAAGATTATTCTGCAGCAAAAACACACGACCGTGAACAGGACTCCGGGTGGATTATGTATGACACGACACCTTTCACTGGATACCTACTGGTCCGTGTTGAGTCCAATCAACGACTCAGAGCTCCTGTGATGACATTGAAGTAGTCCTGTGCTGATCACCGCGTCATCTTTCATTACTTCTGAAATGGTATGCCAGTTCAAGAAACACGTATTTACATGATTTTGCGTCAATGCCCCATATCTGATTTCATGTCGTAGCTCTATCCCAACTGCCCTTGCTGTTATAGCCCTCTTCCAGAACTCCCCATTTGCACGTTCGACACCGTTTACCAGGACTCCTCCACGGCAACGGAACCCCACACTTCAACTTGTATATGTGTGAACGCGCTCCATTTTGAGATAGTTGATGATTTTGCAGTATGGATGATGCCATTATTAAGAGCTCATGACAATGTGCAATCAAATACAAATGGTCACGCGAAGCCAAATCTCTTTCCTGTCACTCTCGCTCTTGGTGGCATGTCCTACGTTGGCACGACAAGCTCGCCAGCCCACCCCTACTCGTAAGTGCGGGACACAATGCTGCGAGGTGCTTAGACGGCTTTTCCAAACCCTGATCTATCGATGTGACAATAGCTGTAACTGAAAGCAGTGTCCGGGGCGGCAACTATCGCCCCATACTTTTCAGATGTCTTTATGCCGTCCTAAATCACTACTCAATTGGTTCAAGATATGCATCCGAGTATTAAGGTACGTCTCTGTTTGTATAGGCATTCACGATCAGGCAAACAAGTTTTACGCCAGGTCCTGTAAATGCCAGAACTCCGAGTTTGGCTGAAATTGCTGCAGCCTGTAGGGTACACCAATGCGATTCGCCGATTCCTGATGCTGATGTTAGTTTTATTTCAAGCTGAGCCATTTCGTAGTATAACATGTAGATGGCTGATGAGCATAGATCTCGCTGAATACCGCTGCTATCATGTCAACAGTTCTGGATTTGAAAGCATTTTATATGTATGCGAGTGTTGCAACGAGTGTGCCTGTTTCACACTCACCAAGCTAGCATTTTTCAGGCTTTTTATGTAGTCCTCATACTTCCAGATACAATCTGGTCATTGTACCAGCGTGGTTTGCATGCAGGACGCCAACCGTCCAATGGCTGCGGTTACCGCCCTGCTATTTGTACTGAGTTCTGTATAAACTTTGCATTTGCTATGCGTGGTGTAGTAATTTATGTAATTTACATGTAGTGCAAACAAAAGGAACAGATGCACACGCTGCGATGGTATCAGGATGTAGGGTTGGTAATTAGGTAGTACAAACAAATCTTCGTGATATCTATGCTGGAGCAGTAAGTATACAAGCTGGAGTATCTTCGAAGTATCATAAAGTAGCACATGTGGCAACCCAACCCTACAGATGCTAACATAAATCCAAGAACCACAATTGTTTCAAGAAGCGGACACTATATTGGAGCTAACGGGGGTGCTCCCCGTTTGATAGGCCTGGTAGAGGAGGGTGCGGATAACCTCTTCTGATCGCCGTCGACGTCCGCGCATGGCGGGTGATGCATGTGGATCGTCAGGGAGGGAAGTGATACAAGCGTGTGCAGAGAACCGCATCCCAAGGCGTTCCACATTGTCCTTGTTACGCATCCACCATTGATCCATGTTCGTAGGATAGTCTTCCAAGGAGGTGACCACAGCAGCGACTGGTACACGGCCTGGACCGGCGGTCGAGCCGACGATGTCGGTAAAGGATTTATAATCCTTGACCCGTGCCCTCTGGGCTCTCGATCCCCTCATACAATACAAGAGAAGATATACTCCATCGTCTCTACACAGTCTCTTATATGACTTTTTCAGGCGCCATTTCAAAAGTAAGGTCCGGAAAAAACCCATTGGTTCGATGGACGAAACTTCCCAAAGTTTGAAATGGCGGGTTCCAATGCTGACTTCGTAGGGGGTATGTGTGAGCGTGGGAGGTTCTTGATCTGGCGAGGTCTGTGCAGCATCTCGCCCCATGATCAGATTGATAACGGAAGCTTTTGCCTACTCCAGTCTCCCCAAAAATCAAAACATTGAAAGGTTCCGAAAGTGACTTCTCGCATGATAAGCAAGCATGAAACGATGCACCATTGGGCACTCACTAGCGTTGAGACCGAAGAGAAGATATGGCGTGTTAGAGAAGTGGAGGGAAACGGCTTGGCTTGGTGAATTTCGCGAAGACTGGCTTGCACTTATTGCCACAATTTCAGCCTAGTTAATAAGCATTGAAGCCAAATCGTGCCAACCACAAACTAGAGTTAATCACCTGATGTTGGGTAAACTGATCGATGTATCGAAGAACTTCTGTTGCCTCTGGACGACCCACGGGGTCCCAAGACCAGCATTGTTGAATCAATCTCCAGTAATAGTCAGGAATGTTGTCGGGACGTGCAGGAGTAGCTCCCTTCGATAGCTCAATGATGATATGAGTTGAATTTTTCTTCTCTTTCCATGGTGTAACCCCCGAGAGGATCTGAGAAGGAAAAGCTTAGAATAGAGCCGCAAAAAAAAACGGAGATCGCACAAGGAACATAACACCACCAAAAGAATAGATATCACTCATAAATGTCGGTTTTGCAGGATCATACTCGAGTCCAATGACTTCAGGAGCACGCCATCGAACATTGAGTTCACGTGCCGCAGTTGTCGCACCCCACTGCAACTCTGGGTCTCCTACGACTGTTGCGAGACCAAAATCTGTGAGACGTGGATTGCCTAAATCGTCTATGAGCACATTTGCCTGAGGCCTATGAATGAGTGCAACATCCACAGAGAGACGACTGCACATACAGGATGAAGGTCTCCGTGAACGACACCCTCGGAGTGAACTAAACGGGTATCAAGAACAAAATTAATAACAGGGCAAGGATCTACGAACGATACTTGAGGCCATGTGCGACGCCCATGCCCTTGTAGCGTAAAATCAATCAATGCTTGGCGAATGTGGTTGGTGAACAAGAGACTCACCAATTCAACTTTAGCGGAAGCAGTAATTGTACTTTGCTCGAGGTACATATACAATGTACCAGGGGACATCCATTGAGAAACTAGAGCTGGCAATGAAGAATCGACGTATGCGATGCCAAGTAGCGGAACTATGGTTGAATTTTTTGACAGTCTAAGCCATAGTTCGAGTTCCCGACGCATTGCCTATATATACTATTGAGCAAGTGTGGTTTTGAGTCGGCACACTCTAGTAAGATGTAATTGACCTTCTCAATTTTCTTCATAGCTCTCCCAGGATCGATCTTGAGTACCTTCACTGCGACCTGATGGATTTTAGTTGATTGATTGATGGTCTCGGACAAATTGAACAAACAAACCTCCATTGTACCTTCGTTGGTCTTGATGCTGCACCGATAAACCGCGCCGAAGGATACAGACGCATATGGGCGTCCGAGCTTTAAGGCGTCAAAAATTTGAGATGTGAAGTCGCCAAGGGTATTACTGCAAAGTATGACAAAAGGTGAAGGGCACATGATGGAGGAAAACTCACTCTTCGATTGCAAGTCCCGTCACACGTATAGCTAGTGGGTTTCAGTGAGTGAGGCGGACTAATGGATGAATGAAAACTGATGAATACATCCAAGCACTTCCACAGCCCTCGGGCGATCCAATGGGTCCCAAGACCAGCATTTCTGAATCAAGACCCAATGATTGTCTAGAATGTTGTGAGGACGCGCACTGACAGGGTTGGCTCGTTCCGCCAGCCCAGCGACAATTTGAAATGCCCCCTTATTTTTCCATGGCACATCCCCCGAGACCACCTAAAAGGAAAAGGCTCAGGTTGAAGGTAAAAGAAGCACAACAAGATCGCACAAAAATCATGACACCACCGAAAGAATATATATCACTCTCGAAAGTCGGTAGTTCAGGGTCACCCTTGATTCCAATGACCTCAGGCGCCCGCCATCGAGGATTGAAGTCGCTGCCTGCGGTCGTGCTACCCCACTGCAACTCTGGGTCTCCTACGACTGTTGCGAGACCGAAATCGGTGAGAAGTGGATTACCCGCACCATCTATGAGTACATTTGCCTGAGGTTTATGAATAAGTGTCAATATCCACAAAGAGACGACCGCACATACGGGATGGAGGTCTCCGTGAATAACATTCTCTGAGTGAACTGGATAGACATCAAGGACAAAAAACAACAATAGGATAGGGAATACGAACGATGCCTGAGGCCCTCGGCAATGCCCGTCACCTTGTAGCATAAAGTCGATCAATGCTTGACGAATGTGGTTAGTGAACGAGACTCACCAATTGAGCTTTAGCGGAAGCAGGTAATTGCACCTTGCTCGAGGTACATGTACAATGTGCCAGAGGACATCCATTGCGAAATGAGACCCGGTAAATGAGACCCGACATGTGCGATGCCAAGTAGCGGCACAATAGTTGGGTATTTTGACAGTCTAAGCCACACCTTGAGTTCCCGACGCATCGCCTACATGGACCATTAAGCAAAGTGTGATTTGAGTCGGCACACTCCAGTTAGATGACTTACCTTCTCAATTTTCTCTATAGATCTCTTAGGGATCATGGATCTTGACCACCTTCACAGCGACCTGATGGATGTTAGTTGGATGGTTGATGAGCTCAGACAAGTTGGTAAGACAGTGACAAACCTCTGTTGTCCCTTTGCTGATCTCGATGGTGAACCGATACACGTCACCAAAGGATCCAGATGCACATGGACGTGCGAGCTTCAACTTCTCAGAAATTTGGGGTGTGAAATCGCTAGGGATATCGCTGCAAAAATGATGAAAGATCAAGGCAATGATAATTATGGGAGAAGGCTCACTCTTCAAGTTCGGGTGCAGGTCCCGTCATGGGTAGGGCTTATTTCAGGAGGCAAGCTCAAGCCCTACTAGCTATAGGAAGTGAAGCAGACCAGTTTTCAAGTTCAAATGCAAGGCGCTCCGAGTCATTCAATAGCCACTTTAATTACGGCATCGCCTGGCCGGTGGTGCTGGTGAGTCCTTACTCGGTTCCATCAAGTCACGTTCAACGGTTGACCCACTAATTATTTACTGCATATCAATCTATTATAAGTCCCTCCCCAAGACTACTCCTCTCATATATATGCATGCCAGCGGTATGTCTCTACATAAATTACCTAACTTTTTGCTCTTGCAACCAGGAATCATAAACGTTCACAATTTACGATTGACCTATAAATCCATCCTACCTTTTCGATCCAATCCATCTTTGAGTCAGACCCGCATTGCATTCCAAATCTTTTGCATCCTGTCCTACCTCTCGAGCGCATCCATCCTCGCCTCCTCCCTCTCCTCATCGCGCTCTTCTTCCCCCGCGTCGTGACATGATAGCGACTTTGCGCAGGGTTGTATAAGGAAGATTCGGAGTCAGGTTGAATCTGCCACTGCTACACAGACCTTACCATTTGACTCTCGCACGCCTGGGATTGTGGACGCACATGCGCGTAGCAGGTTCTGCTAGGGCCGTCAGTGTCTGCCTCCTCTGGTTGTAAGAGAAATCACTCAGGCGCGTGAGGGACATGCTGTGACATGAGCGGTCTCGTCAATTCCTCGTAGCAGGAACTCTTCACCCTGTATATCTCGCCTCACGCCCCATCTGTGGCCATCCTGTTATTCAATTCATCACAGTACGTACATTCCACCAACCCATAAGTCCTCAGTCATTGATCCCTTCCTAGTTGATCTGTTTCCTCGTTCTTGTTCTCGGACCAGCGTTAATGCCTTGCTTCCTTTCACACTCAAGCACTCAGATCAGCACCTTTGATACCCGGGATGAGGTTCCCTTTCCCGCATTCGATTCAAGTCCATCGCTCTACTTCATCTCATCAAGCTATGTCCTGCGCTTTCTCGCATCCTCCAGCGACCGGTGTCGCAGACACTCTGCCAATGCTTTCTATGTTGATGTTTTGATTCGATTTTTGGGCGTGCTTTTATCTACTTTGAACTTGCTATGTGTGTGGTAGCAATTTATATAACCCACAGACAGAATCCTAGCCCATGAAACGAAGGGAGACTGAGTACTGAACACGCATGTGATGTGATGATATCATAACTATATAGTACAACGAGTACGTTGTTGCAATGTATCATCGATAAGGACCAAGTCTACCATTGCAATGGGGTGAGTATAAGCATAGAAAGGGTGTGACTAAGTATCCTCTTCCATAGATCTACTCGTCTTGCTTGATCACATTAGCCAACTGTCTTGCGACATCTCGAGACATACCGCAACGCTCCATGAGATGAGGGACAAGATCCTTCTTTTTCACATGCGAACTGCCTGCAAGTAACTCCTTCGGCTTACGCATCAACGACACGAACAAGTTGTCCCCTCCCATCCATGCTTGCTTCTGCTCGTCCAGCAGTAAACTTTGTAGCAAGATTGCGGATCGTGATGCGCGATTCTTCATAAAGGTCTCTGTATCTGCTGTCCAATCTGTTTGTGGTAGTGATGCACGCATGACCAGCGACCTGGATCTGATATTCGTCAAAGGTCCTCTTGTTTTTCTCCCACCAGTCCTCCATCCTCCGCTCTCTTTCGAGGCTCGTGATCGCAAGAACAACGGGGGCCTTCTTCTCGCAAAGGAATTCATGAAAGAGTCGGTAGTTTCTCTGAATCGTGGTAATGATGTTTCCAGGGCGAATGCAGAATAGAAGTAGATCAACGCCGCCTTGTCTGTCCAATTCCTTGATGAGTCGATAGGTGTTTTCGACAGACTCGAGGTAATCTTTGATTCCTAGCTGTGGTTCCTCGAGCCCGACGGTATCGAAAACCTGATATGAGTCACCGCCGAAACCGATGGTGTACTCTTTCCACCGCATTGTACAGCGCTTCATGTCAGGAGATGTGGGCGCTAGCTCCTCTCCCGCCATAAGGTTGATGAGTGAGCTTTTGCCTGACCCCGCCTCCCCAAATAGTACGATAGTTTTATGCCTGTTCTCGGTTGTTAACATTATGGAAATACAGAGCATCTGGAGACTACATGCCTTTTAGGAGGGTTATGATCCTCAACCAGTTGCAGCTGCGGCCCAGACATACTAGGAGTCGTGTTACGCTCGGTTCTACTTATTAATATTTGAACAAATACGGCAAGAGCATCTAAAGGCTACGTACCTTGCAGCCATTGTAGGGGGGATGACCTGGGTAGTGCTATGTAACGTCTCAAGTTAGAAAAATACGGCGCGAACGGCACCTGAAGACTACACACCCTTCAGCTGTTTCAGGATGGATTGTCTGGGTAGTGCTATATAGTGTACAGGATTAGAAACATACAGCACAAACGGCCTATATGAAAACTAAATACCTTTCAGGAGCGAGAATTCGAATCACGTCTTTCGCTAGGCTCTCCTCTATCCCGCAGCGCTTCGTAAGGACCCCGAGCGCATCTGACTTGTACGGACGTCCGGTCAAGAGGTCTTTCAACCCTCCAGTGAACCTCGCAAGCCACGCATCCCCGCCGTTCTCAACCCCGTGTGCATGGCGTCTGATTAAGCAGCCCACTTCTGCTCTGGACATGTCGTACTTTTTCCTGTATGTTGGGTCCAGATCGTCTGCCGCAGTGATACAAGCATGACCAATACACTTGACCGCATGGCTCGAGAACCACCCCTTGTTCCGCGTGTACCAATCATCCATGCAATCCTCTCTCTCCAGGTTAGTGACGACGACCGCGACTGGGATCTTCTTCTCGAAGAGAAATTCATAGAATAGTCTGTAGTTGGTGACAAACATTGTTGGCATCATGCCCGCCTTGATGCAGTACAGGAGCAGAGCGACTCCTCCTTTCTTTCTCAGCTCCTTCATCAGCTTGTCAGCATTAGAGATGGCGTTAAGAAATCCGATAGGGTCCACGCGGCTGTTGTCGGCCGCAGCAGTGTCATAGATGCGATACGGTACGTTCTCGATGGTAACATCGTATGCTTCATAATGCAATGTACAAACCTCAGTGTCTGAGGAGATCTTAGCGACCCGGCGCCCTGCGAGGAGGTTGATGATGGAGCTTTTCCCTACGCCACGCTCTCCAAAAAGGACAACATTTTTAGTATCCATCGACAATGGACCTAGCACGGCGGTTCCTCAGTACTAGGTTTTAGCTTGTAAGGACACAATAGTGAGCTCACGGTTACAACAAGTTATTACTTCTGGCCGAGTTGATGATCTTGGATGAAAGCAAGGAGTCAACGACTTCTGATACTTAGTATGCCACTTGCAGATACAAAATAGTGGTGCAATAAAGGTTACGACCTGAGAACCAATTACGAGGCTGGACATTTGCCAGTTTCCCTTTTTGCTGAGTCCAGAAACCAGCTTTCGCAGGTGCGGCATGCGAGCAACGTTGTGTTGCAGCCGTGAAGTATGAATTATGACCGATCATCTTGACATGTCTGGTTGGTGTCCACCAGCGGTCCACTACAATTATGACTCCCTGAGAGTAATATTCCCTGCACCACTGTACAACCTGCCAGCGCTCGTGCTGCTCGCTATTAGCAGGTAGCCACAGACACGAGTGACGATATAGCAGCGTTTTCATCTTGAATGCTGTCAAATCTCGATAACTTCCTGACGGCACGCGCTAACCTTGCATTCACCTCCTACTTAAGTACTAGTGGAAGACCCTTGATCTAGAAGCATAGGCAAATTCGAACCAGTTGCTACCTGGTGATATGTCTGGAGAAATATATCAGTAATGTCCACAGATATCGATGACTTGCAATGTATCAGATATGCCACTGTGATCGAGCGACTCGACTACAGGTTGCACTTATAGACTTATAGTCTGTCACTGGGTGGGTACAAGAAGATAAGCACTCGAGGTCGAAGTTCAGGAACACTCAGAGTGGATTGGAAGCGAGATTCGACCGCAACTATGCCATAGTATCGCAGTGCTGTGGGTTGAAAATGAAGAGAACCAATCTCAGCCGAGTCCGGCCAGGGTGTTGATATTTGCAGGCCTGCAGGTCCGGTCGTTCCGGGACTAGCGGACTTTTAACTCTTGAATTATGACGTGTCTCTCGCAAGTCTCGATCCATATTTGTTCGATTAACTCTTGACGTTTTCTTTCACAATGAAATCGAATGAATCCCGCAACACACTATGTAATGCTTGCACACTCGTATGTGGGGTCATGTTCACACTGATATGCTTTATGTGTTTATAACTTTCTAACAGGCAACCTGACCAATCCCTGCCTGGACCATCCAATATTCCTCTCTTCACTCGATCTCTTATCTGGACCTCGAGGCCCATCACTGCCGTTAGGCTTTAAAGTGGTGCGTGTTCGAGGTTTATCTATGTACGAGTGCAAAACTTGAGCTCCGATTGAATATTATATTACTGCTCGCCGATTGGAGTGAAAGTCATTACAAGTCACCTGTGAAGGTGATTGGCATGAAGTAACGCAACTGAGTGCTGCCAGATCGATGATCCAGCCAGCCTTCCAGATAACTTCCGAAGCAGGAGGCGGATGCAAGGTTAGCACGCACTGTTTAAATTAACGACCTACTTGACGGTCGTCTGAGTCTTGACGATGTCGAAAACGCTATCGCGGTCTACCTACTGACAACAAGCAGCACAATCTTGGCGTGTTACATACATGGTGGTGCGGGGCTATGATTCTCGAGTAGATATATCCCGGCCAACTACGGATCATTGGAGGGTGTACGATTTTGAATTCTGACTTACCAGTTCTGGGAAGAAGAAACAAGATCGATTCCATTTCAGAACGAGCGCCTGCACAACGTTGTTTACACGTTTCAAATGCCAAAGTTTCGTTCTAGTGTCAACGAAAAAGGGTAGCCGATACCCAGCCTCATGTTAGCTTTGCAGGTCGTAACCTTCGTTGTGCACCGTGCCCTGCCTGCAGTGGCATAAGTATCAGAAGCCGTTGAATTATCGCTCTCATCGAAGATCGTCCACCCAGCCAGAAGAAACAACTTTGCTATAATCGTGAGCTCACCTTCGTGCCCCCTTTTTGCTTGAAACCCAGTACTGAAGAAGCGCACTAGGTCCATTGCCGATGCCTCCCAAAAACATTGTCATTTTTGGAGAGAGTGGCGTCGGGAAAAGCTCCATTATCAATCTCCTCGCAGGGCACCAGGTTGCTAGGACCTCTCCGGACACCAAACATTGTACATTGCGCTATGAAGCGTACAATGTCACCATCAGGGACGTGCCGTACCGCATCTATGATACTGCCGGGGTCGACGGCAATCGCATGGACCCTAGCGGATTTCTCAACGCCATCATCAACGCTGACAGGTTGATGAAGGAGCTGAAGGATAATGGAGGAGTCCATCTGCTGCTGTACTGCATCAAAGCAGGCAGGATACCACCGACGTTTGTCACCAATTACAGGCTATTCTATGAATTTTTCTTCGAGGAGAAGATACCGGTTGCGCTCATCGTTACTCACCTGGAGAGGGAGGAGCCCATGGATCATTGGTACACGCGAAACAAGGGATCGTTCGACCGCCATGCAGTCAAGTGTGTTGATCACGCTTGCATCACTGCGGCGGCCAACCTGGACCCAAAATACAAGAAGAAGTACGACGCATCCAAAAAGGAAGTGAGTGACTTGATCACACGAAATGAAGATACGGTAGTGGACTGGAATGGAGGAGATGGGTGGCTTGGCCGGTTCATTGGAAAGTTGAAAGACCTCTTAACGGGACGTCCAAGCAAGTCAGACATTCTTGGGGTCCTCACGAAGCGCTGCGGGATGGAGGATAGCCTAGCAAAAGACGTGATCCAAAAACTTAATAGATGACGCAAGTTTACTCGTTACGATAGCTGGACAGAGGCTGTTTCATTATAATTGGTTATCACCATGTAATACGACTGTAGGCGGGACTAGAATATTCAGTTCTGCTATTCTTCCTACGATGTGAGATACTTGGAGATTCAACGTGGAGCACGCCCACCTACAGCAATTCATGTGCGTGTTGCCCAGCTGCAACTCAAAATCCCCGTACTGACTACCTCGTGCTTGCGGCTCTGCATGCGGTTTTTCAAGGCGGCATGCTTAATGTATACCCTAGATATACTCAATACGTATCTCAGTTACGCCTCCGCCCGTAGTAGCACGACTGTCGCGTGCCAAAGATCAAGTCAGGCAAGGGAAAGTCGTGGCAGAAAGCTTCTGCATCATATAAAGATGCAATATATCAGTAGATCCTAGGAAAAGTTACGTCAATTCTGACCGTCCAAAGGAACAATTCGCTTCACCTCGACTACTTCCCAACACTCGCCAGCTACCCATTATACACATCACGATGGCGAAGAAGAAAAGCGCCGTTCACGCTAAGAACATCGTCATATTCGGCGCAATGGGCGCCGGAAAGAGTTCCCTCATAAACCTCATTGCAGATAAAAATATCGCTAAAACTGGCCCCGACCAGAAGCGCTGCACCCTCACATGGACCAAATATGAGTTACCCGACCTCTTTGATGATGGGATGCAATGCAATATCTTCGACACGATGGGTATCGAGAACCCAGAAATCGAATCAAAAGAATACCACCGATCTATCAAGAATGCCAGCCACCTTCTCCGCAAGCTTGATGCATGCGGCGGCACCAGTTTGTTGATATATTGCATTCAAAAAGGCCGTAACAATAGCGCATGGCGGAGCAACTACCAGTTATTCCACGAAGTGTTATATCAGCGGCGAGTCCCCATAGTCATGGTAGTAACGCGCCTCGAGGACAGTCATGGAGGAATGGTGGACGAATAACCATGCATTGTTAGAGAAATCTCACATCATCGTGGAGGGACATGCATGCGTAACAACCCTGAAGGAAGAAGATGTGAAGTACAAGGCATCGAGGGAAGCCGTGCGTGAGCTGATCCGGCAGTATGCAGCCGTTATGCCAGTGCCTGGGGGATGGAAGCAGGAGGGGAGAATCAAGGCGTTCATGCGACGGTTCAAGCAACCTGATCCGGAGGACAAGGAGAAGGAGGATAAACTACAGGAGGACCTCGAGGGTCAATGTGGCATGGAGAAAGGAGTTGGCTTCGAAGGTCGCAAAAGCATTCGTGTACACGTAGTAGACCAACAGACTCGCTGCTGTGGCAGCGATTGATCGCTATATATATCATGTACTATGCAGTGGCTTCAGTGCGTACCGGGCTGGCTTTCAAGCTGTAGTCTGTAGATAAGTATGCATGGTATCGCCGGGGTAGAGTTAGTTGTTTGTCGTTCAAGGAAAACTGTTTGTACAACGCTTATGTAAGCACACAACCCTCAGTTGGCGCCAACTTGAACCTCTTGGCGCCGGGCCAGGCGCTCATTGTATCACAGAAATGTTTGTAAGTAGTCAAGACTGTCGTCCCTTAACGTTTAAGCTGAAGCTTCAGCAATGATTAATGATCATCGCAGCCCGCTCTCCCATGAGAAGTGCCGTCGGATACGTTGTTCTGTATATGTCGTTAAACCGCACATCAAACAATTAATCCCTCTTCAATACCCACCGCGCCAATGTTCAACGGCGCAATGGACATATCTGCGACCCTTCAAGTTCGACACGCCGTAACATCTTAGTCGAGCATTCGACGACTCCTTGATCTGCCTGCTGACGTTCTTGCACTCCTTCCTCTCCTTGTGGCGCTTTTCCCCCGTCGACCACTTTACCTTTCTGTGCAATCCCATGGTTACACAGAGGAAGCTAATGTGGCCGCTCCTCTCGTATCTCAGCATGTCCTCATGACTTGTTTCACGGTGTTGCAACTAGAGAGATGCAGATGCTGACGGTCCTAGCTCTGCGTATCACTACATACGGCACTTCTATCTCCAGAAGCAGTCCTACCATCCGTTGTGTGTCCTCAATAATCAATTCAGGTGTGCGAGAGCCAGAAAAGGTCAGTATATAGGGCAGCTAATCTAACACTTCCGCAGATAACCCCGTGTCCAAGTAACTGTCGATCCCTCATCGACGGGAACCCTTCACCCTTCACCCTTCATGACCCGCATGACTCCATCTCTGGCCCTCCCATTATTCGAAGCTGCAATTCATCGCAGTGCGTACATCCCTTGCATTTTATCACTAACCTAATCATTTCTTAGTTAATCTGTTTCCTCGTCCTTGTTCTCGGACGCATAGTCAACGTATTGCTTCCTCTCAAACTCGGTGCACTCATCGCTACTTTCGACATACCAAGCATAACTACATTCCCTGCATATGGCGCCAACCCATGGTCGTACCTAATCACCTACGTCCGGTTCCGGTTCCTCGCATCTTCGGGCGGTCTCGCAGCCATCCGCGACGCATTCTAGATTCCACTCATGCAATACAGCGATCGCAGTATATTAATACTTTCATTCAACCGTGTCCTTACTCTTTCTTTCAGCTAGCATACGAAACGCGAGACCTGGCTAGCTGCTCCGTTTTCTCGATAGAGGAAGCGTAATAAACTGCGTTGGTGAGCTTATTTGGTTCATGGACTCGTGGATATATGTGTTGCGCACGTCGTGTTTGTTGTGAAATTCGAACCTGCATTGGACGTTGTGGTTGGAGTCGTGATGGGGAGTTATATCTGGGCGAGTATCACGCTTACGAGCTATAGGACTAGGATTCAGAGGCGGATGAATGAACGGGATTTGGTGAGTGCTTGGTACTGCTTCGTTTTGTCTATGACTATGAAGTGGATCTTAATTGCACGCATGCTCAAGTCACTCGCGGGATCCATACGGATTGTCTCCTTCACTACAAGATTGTCAAGTATTTCGGTGGGAGGAGTATGAGGCGCAGAGGTATACGGAGGCCATTGGGGAGTATCAGAGTTTAGAGAAGAGGGTCATTTGTGAGTGTTTCCGTCTCATCTCATTTCAAAAACCACGTCTTGTTTCAAATGTTCAAACCAATTCTGTGTTTCATTTCAATCGCGAACGCAAGTGCTGATCACACCTATCGTATCACTCAACCTCCTGAAACCTCATACAAACACTCAGGTCTTCTGGTCGGTTCTTCAATTGTCGCGTCGCGCATCACGAGGGGACAGAGTAATGCTAGTGATTTTGTGGTGTTCATCACCTATTATGCGCAAGTGGGTACCTTATCTCTTTCGTGTGGTGCAGAGCTGACGTCTTCTAATCACAACCATGCTGATGTCATCCACACCAGCTCTACTTCCCTCTTGTCGAACCTTGGCGGCATATACCGTGCAGTCGACCAAAGCCTGGTCGACACCAAGAAATTCTCAATGAGCTCACTGAAGTTGTTGATGAACGAACCTGATGCCAAGGAATCGGTAGTCTCCGCTTTCGCCAACTAACGCGTCCACTGCTGGGGACTTTGAAGGAAATATTGTGCACCGTGGAAGTTTGGTGATCGTAGGAGAAGGGTAGGTTGTTTGTGGTGGGTTAAGATGGATGTGTATGGGAATGGAGCGAGGACTACATACCAAATTCAATTTCGCCGTTCGAGCAGGCAAATGCACCATCCTGCGCCTCCTATATCTCTTCTACGACCTCCAACCCGACTCAGGGCGTATTCTAATCGACGGTCAAGACATCTGCACAGTAACGCTCTCAAGCCTGCGTCGCGCAATAGGCCAAGACCCCGTGCTCTTCAACGCCAGCATTGGGTATAAGATTGCTTATGGCCAACCTTCGACTAGACCCGCTGATGAAAACACTATCGTCTCGAGCGCCCAAGCTGCTCAGATGCATGACCGTATCATGAATTTCCCAGAGGGGTACGAGACGAAGGTGGGGGAGAGAGGGGCGAGAGGCTGAGTGGGGGCGAGAAGCAACGGGTGACGATTGCTAGGACTATGGTGAAGAATCTGAGGGTGTTGCTTTTGGATGATCTACTAGTGCGTTGGAGTGTGCGCTTCGGAGACTTGTGAATTGGAGGTTGCTTAAGTATTGCGCATCGGTTGAGTAAAATTAAGGGGACTGATCTGTGAGTGGTTTTTGGACGTGTTTTCTTGGTGATGCGGCGCTGATTCATTTTCTTGTGAAAGGTCATGGTTCTCAAGGACGGACGGATCGTTGAATAGCGCTCACATAGGATTTCCTTGAACTCAATGGCCTCTTCGCATCCATGTGGGCAGACCAGATCAGCGCGTCCAAAGATCCCAAAACCCCAGCTAGATACGTCCTCGACATTCCCTAATCTGAAACGCGCAGCACAGTGGTCGAAGAGCGCATAGTCGTTGATTCTCCTCAAGTCGTCCCAGCATCCCTACAAGCCAAACAAGACGCACCTATATCGTTCCGCGTAACCGACGATTCCTGACGACAACATCCACGTCCGACGCGGTTGTAGGCGTGCGTTTTATACACTTTGTATTTGTTATGTGTATGGTATGTAGTCCAACACATCTAAGCACGAGATCCCGCCGGCGATGGCGTCCACCACGTCATGCTGTGTTGTTGCCTTCTGTCTCGGCTCTTTCCGTCTGTTGTTGCGCGTTCATGCTCCGTCTCCTCTTTGCTCAGTACTATAGCGACCTCTGCTTCATTTCACGGCGTTGTTTGTCTTCAAAACGGAAGCGGATATCAGATCGATAAAAAGAATTTCTTGCGCTATGACGGATTCATCGCCACTCCAGAAATCGGAGATATTCGTGTAAATGTATTCACATCTGGCGCTAACACTGCTTCTGCGGAGGACGGAATCTATCTATTGGATGCGCGGATAACTATCGATCCCATCATAGAGGCCGATCACGCATCATTGAGTGCACCAGAACACATACCTGACTACCTTGCAATGTTGACCCATCCCGGAGTATCTGCTCATGATCGCCTGGATCTCTAACAGAACTGCATTTGCGCTATTCAATGAAACCACTCGGTGGGAAAAGGCTTGGTCAGAAACGCGTGCGTGCGGATAGTTGCTCTGCATCGTCGATTTACTGAAGTCCAACTTATCAATACTTTCGAAAGCCACTGCATTCCCCGCATTAACTTTGCGTTTCATCCAAACCGTTCGTCGTGGACGGTAAATCGAAGACAGTTTCCTTTGCGACTCGCGTATGCAACTACATTTAATGGTTGTCAAGGCTTGACGCTGGCATGAACCGTGCTCGACCTTCGAACGGATCCCTTTGCTCACGGTCAGTTGTACACGGCACTATCTAGGGTAAGAACGCGAAGAGACACGATGTGTCTATTCGCAGAGGCGAATGAAGGACAAGATTGTGCTAATATTGTATCTCCTGCGTTGCTACTGTGAAGTATTGTTGTATACAACCGACCGAAGGAGAGTCTTGCTACTGTAAACATAATGTATTGTCATGGAGCCGACCGAAGGGGAGTCCTTGTAAATTATAATGTGTAATGACAAACAAGGGGAGACTGAAGTAACTGTATTGTACAAACAGCGGTTTATGAGCCAGGAGTATTATAAAGTAGCACGCGTAGTAGCCCGGCCCTACAGACCAACATTCGAGAACCATGTTGCATAGGTAAACTGGACAACTTTTCATACAGTCGAAGCTAGGTTGGAATTCCGAGGTATTTCGGTACCTGCTTGATAGGAGTTATAAATGAGACTGCGGATGGCTTGTTCTGATCGCTGTCGGCGTGCACGCATAGCGGATGATGCATGTGGGTCGTCGGGGAGCGAAGTGATACAAACGTGTGCGGAAAACCGCATCCCGAGGCTTTCTAGGTTGTCCTTGTTCCTCGTCCACCACTTATCCATGCCCGTAGGATAATCTTCCAAGGAGGTGACCACAGCGGCGACTGGTACGCTGCCTGCCACAGTGGTGGTGGAGCAGACTATGTCGGTGAAAAAATTATAATCCCTGATCAGTGCCCTCTGAGCCTTCGACCCCTCATACAATACAAAAGAAGGTAGACTCCGTCATCTCTGTACAGCTTCTTGTACGACCTTTTCAAGCGCCATTTTGCAAAAAGGGTCCGAAAAAAACCCATTGATCCAAGTGAGGAAACTTCCCAAAGTTTGAAGCGGCGATCTCCAAGACTGACTTCGTGGGAGGTATGCTGCAGTGTGCAGGTTTCTGCGTCTGGCGACGTCTGTGCAACCTCTCGTCCCATGATCAAGTTGATGATGGCGCTTTTCCCAACTCCAGTCTCCCCGAAAAGCAACACATTCAAAGGACCGGCATGTGACTTGACCGCGTGGAAGGATCAGTACGCATAAAAACAATGAACCACTAGACTCTCACCAGCGACGAGACCGTAGAAAAGAGATGGTGTACCAGAGGACTAGAGGGAACGGTTTTGGGTGACAGAACAAGTGTTCGCGAGGGAGACTGAAATGACGGTGCGGTCGAAATCCCAGCCTGGTTAATAAACATTTAAGCCGAATTACTTCAACCACAAGCTGGCGAGTTCATACCTGCTCCGCGAGCAAGTATGCACTTTGATCGCTTTCCTGTACTTCACCGACAAGGACATCCTGTCAGAGTCAGAAACATTACTCCTACGTGACGAGACAAGTCACGAGCTTACATCTTGTTTCAAAGCCTCTAGTTCCCCCTTTATGAAGTTCATAGCCGTGAAGGCACATGGACGAGCAGATGGGTCAATTGACCAACACTGCTCGATATGATTCCAGTGAGCGTCTGTGACGTCAGACGTCACCTCAGATATCTCAGGACGCGGGATATCCTCTCCTTTTTGGATTTTTTGCATGACTTTGTATTCGTCAATGTTATGCCAAGGAACAGTCAAAGTCAACAACTGGGATGAATGATACATCAAATATAGATTTCGTGGACTTGAAACACTTACACTTACATGGAACATGACGCGACCGAAGGAATACATATCGTTCTGCGTGGTCGGTTTGATATCGGAAGGGTTATCACGTGACCTGAGCAACTCGGGCGCAGTCCACCTAATTGCACCAGCCCGAACAGTTGATCCTTCAATCTGACGCTTCCTTAAACGTCCGCAGAGGACATTTGACAAACCGAAGTCCGTCAGGCAAGCCTTGTATTCACCGTCCTTGATGTCCACCATAACGTTGGACTGGATTATTTAATGAGCGCAGTTTGAATGTGAAGAACATGAACTCACGCTATTAATGTCGCCGTGAACGACGGGAAAAGAGTGTACTAACGGCAATTTTTTTAGTCGAAGTAAGACAAACGATGAAAGGAAGACAGACAATAGTAGAGCCCAGATGCTATGCCGTGAAGCTAGTGAATAAGGATGATTCAGTCTAGGTCCATTGCAGCTAAACAGGTTTGAGTCACCAGCTCCAATTTGGACTTAATTGTTAATGTAGCACCCTGTTCTGTGATCAGACGGAACAGCGTGCCGTCTGGAAACCACTGGGAGACAAGGGCCGTAGTTGGCCCGAACCCCTCTGTCGTTCCATAAAGTGTGACGATGTTGTCGTGGACGAGGTGTGCCCATATTGCAGTTTCTTGTCGAAACCTCTAGCAAGTCCACATAAAATAGTGTCCGGAACAGAAAAACATAAACCCTTACTCTTAATTCCTGCTCCGAGGTGTGATTCATGTGATGCCTGAATGTTTTTACTGCGACCTGTAGTGCGACAATGAACAAGCTGATCAGCAAGTTACGCTGGCACTGACGACTAGCCAGACCTTGATAGAGCCCGACGGCCGTCTCCATTCACATCTGTAAACGTTTCCAAATGCACCACTGGCGACGTAGTCGTTTATCGTACCGAAGATCTGACCTGTCAGATCTTCTGCCAATGCCAGATGTATTTCGGGACTAAAAAAATGAGGGAACTAAATCAATGAAGGCTTGTTTCAGTATGAGCACCCTACGGAGGTGGAAGTCCCGAGGTGGATGACTAAGTAAGATACATTAGGATCTGCCACTGATTAGGATACCAGTAGACTGTCGAACCTGTGAGTCTTCATCCCAAGAATGGGTGATGCACTCATAGACTTTTGTGTTCCCCGTGAGCTGCCCTGCATCCTGTTGACTTGAGGTGCAGTGGTCGTCATAGCCAGTGTCGGTACGCGCTGCCGTCGTCACTGTCCTCCCCAAAGAGGATCCTCTTCGGGAACCTGAGAGTGTGAAAGTATTGGCAATGGCTGTCAAAGTGCGTTGACCCCTTCCACTCTGCACGACCTTGGTTTTGGAGTGCATGGTATTAATGGATGCAGTTCTTTTCTCTGCATCAAATATTGCATTTGAATGACTTTTCTAAGTGATGTGCATCAGGACCTGCTCCTGATTTGAATACTGCTGTCAAACCTGCGTGTCGTCATTCCTAGACTGATCAATGTATTCAATGATGCGTGCAGCCTCAGGCCGGTGCCCGGGATTCCAAGACCAGCATCGTTGAATCAAGTTCCAGAGATCATCATGGATATTCCCAGGACGCGCAGGAGTAGCTCTTCTCGACAGCTCAATGGAAATTTGATGTGAACGTTTCTTCTCTTTCCATGGGATATCCCCCGAGATGATCTGGGTGGAAATTTTTTAGGGTGGCACCAACGGAAATATGAGAGAGATCGCACAAAGAACATGACACTACCAAAAGAATAGATATCACTCTCGAAAGTCGGTATCTCAGGGTCACAGTCGACTCCAATAAGCTCAGGCGCACGCCATCGAGAATCAAAACTGCGGTCCGCCGTCGTGGTGGTGAGCTGTAGCTCTGGGTCTCCTACGACTGTTGCAATACCAAAACCTGTAAGGCGTGGATTCCTTGATCATCTATGAGCACGTTTACCTGAGGGCTTACGAATGAGTGCAATATCGGCGAAGAGACGACCGTACATACGGGCTGAAGGTCTCCGTGAACGACATTCTCTGAGTGAACTGGATGTGCATCAATAACAAGTAACGACTTAACAGAAATTGACAGACGATAATTGAGGCCATCAGCGATACCCTTGGCCTGTTAACATGAGAATGTTAGTTGGATGTGATTGGTGTGAATAAGGAACTTACCAATGCAACTTTCATAGAAGCAGTGAGGGCTGTTGCTTGCTTCTCCAGGTAAATATTTAACGTCCCGAAGGGCATCCACTGTGAGATAAAAGCTGGTAATGGAGATTCGAGATACGCAATACCAAGTAGCGGCACGATAGTCGAGTGTCTCAACCTAAACCACACCCGGAGTTCCCGACGCATTGCCTACAAGGTCCCCAGTAAACGAAATGTGATTTCAGTCGGCGCAGTTCAGTTAGAAGACTGACTTTCTCGATTTTGGCCATGGTTCTCTTATGGTCAATAATAATTACCTTCACTGCGACCTGATATTGAACATCAGGTGGTTATTTGATGAGCTTAGGTCACTCGGACAAACCTCCGTCGTGCCTCTGCTGGCCTCGATGGTGCTCCGATAGACCTGGCTAAAGGGACTGCATGTAATTGGAGATCCAAGCTTGGTAATTAGAGGCGTGAGGTCGCCAACGATATCACTGTAAATATGATGAGGGAGGACGATACACATTACAGGTGTACACTCACTCTTCAAGCGCAAATCCCCTCATGAATATATGTATATACGAGTATGCAGAGGTGCAAACAAGGAGTACGGTATGCAGGTTTCACTCCAAATGGTTGCCCGTACGGCCTTCTTTCAGGTGAAAGGTAGTGAACGACCTAACACCAAAGTCATACAACTAACTTCTCTGACATTTCCACAACCCCGACAGTCGGTCATCGGGGCCGCTTAGCGGAGTTGAGCGGAGCTTTAAAAACCACGAAATAGTTATGATTACATTATTTACATACTACTTGACCATGCTTCGTCTACTTACATGTCTAAATTATGCCTAAATTACTCTACTAGTAGAATGTTGGTAGAATCTCTTCATCAAAATGAACCCTCGCAGAGCGCTGTGGACGGTGTATCATAGAAATACCGTG